AATTTCCTCACATTAGATTCAGAAGACCTTGTCTGGCTGTTATTTATATCATGTATACCGGCATGTCATTTTAATGGAATAAATTATATTTAAATGTTTAACTATAATGATAATAGTCTGCAGTTGTCGTGTACGTCGGTTTCAAAGAAAACTAGCTGGGAAAGCGCTTGATAATATCACTGAGACATCTGAAATAATAAAGTCACATCACGCAGTCTGCAGTTTCTGACGTACTGTTTTGAAATATTTGTATCTAACCACTGTATGTTCAGTACCGTGGAAATAAAGTCTTCCCCACTGTGAAGATCCACAGGGCGGTATCACCTCGTTCAAAGAAGGACCTTCTGATAGCTGTCTGTCTGTCCGCCAATCATTGACCCGTCTATAACTTGGAAAGTACCGCTTGGATGTTGATGAAATTTTCATAAAAGGTTGCTACTAAGCCAAGATTTATAGTTTTTTAAAATCGGTCCAGAGAGTAAGGGGGCTGGCGACAAAAAATGAAAAGAAGAACGTTCAAGCTTCGTTTTTTGGCGTTTCGGAGGCTCTTGATCATTTTCTGGAAAACATTTGAGGGGTGAAGAAATGGAAGTAAGGGGTGGGTATATGTATATTCTAATTTTTGGCAGCAGGCTATTAGTGCACCTTTTAGTGCATATTTTACACATGATGCATCAGGTTGGCTGCGCCTGATTGCATCGCTGGAGCTGTCGCTCTCCAGTTATATTGTCATGGCTGGCACTTACGGCATCGCTGACCGGTGTGGTTCAGCATCATTGGCTGTTGGCGGATGGGGCTATGGACTAATTGTATGGGTCTGTTTGACTGACTTGATCCATTTTTTGATAACGTAGCTTTAGTAACTGATGACAGTCCCATTTGGGGGTTGGCTTTTAACATTAGACTTGATAAATTTCCAGCGTATTTAGAATACGGGACAATTCAACATATTCCTATTGATATCTTAGCGAAAAATGTATAAGATCTATTTTTATATAAACCTTCCGTCTCAAAACAAATCAAAGGATCGACACTTGAAATTTGGCCAGATCATTAATTAAAACCCTGAATTGTCTCCCACTATGATCGAAAATGTGGCGAAGCATCAGGAAAGGTAGATTAAGTTAGGAACTGGTTGCCAGCTGAAATTAGTTTAGCTGGTGAGAAATCAACATATATTTCTTAAGTACAAATCATGTTTGATACATGTGATCTGATAGACCGCCTAATGGAATATTTCGGTACGCTATTTATAAACAACTGCATCATATAAAATATTGCACTGGTTCAGACGAACTTTCTGGCAGCGTGTTTTTGTATAGAAGAGCATTGCCTTACATAAACATCGAACAGGATTTATACAGGTTTGTTATTTTCACATTGCGCTCTTCACATACATAGGAATTATAGACCGCCGAATCCTTGAAGTATACCAGTTTATTATTGGATTACATTCAGAAGTTATCCAGTTACGTAAACTAGTAACTCTAGATACTCGTAATACAATACATATAACTCGATAAGAAACGAACACGTTTTAGAGATTTATCAAGTCAAGTAGCTTGATATCTTAAAAACTACTTGACAATACTACTCGACTTGATTTTTTTATTTTTCTACTTGTCTTGAGGCGTTTTCACAGTATTTGATATTTGATGGCAAATTATGTTTTTGTGCTACAACAGATGACCCGTGTTATGTATTTTAATACAAATAATCATGAAATCTAGTTTTAGTGGCAAACATTTTTTTATCTACACCTGCAACATGAGCTCTCATTGAAAGGAACGTTTCTAGATCATTACGGAAGTAGCTGGACAATCAATTCAAGTCGTGAATCCTTACCCTGGCTGTAAGAAATATTTTGGTCTTAAAAAAAGCAGGGTCTGATAACACACAGGTAATTCGACAAATTAAGCCGCAAGTGAAGTGTGGCATAAGCAGTACGAAGCCACTCGTCAGAGAAAGAATGTTTTCTGGCCCCTAAAGTCACCAGATTCAACGACTCTAGATTTCTTTTGGGGGAAATTACAAAAAATATAGTTTATTCCAACAAACCAAGCACTATATGTGTATTAGTTGCTAAACACGTGGACATGCATGAGCTTAGTCATAGCTTAAGTATCATCAGCACAAAAGGGAAAGCTGATTGTGAAGATCGCGCTTTTCATAAGCTATGCATATAGTACTGAAGCGTTTGTTCGGCTAATATTTGAGAAGCTCTTCAAAATACTCTTTACAAGCCCTCTCTAGGACTAATGAAAGCACAATTAAGGAGGCATTTATGTAATGTAATTTTCTATGTCTAACTCCCAATTTTCGATGTAAAGTCTGTTATAGTCTGAAAATATGCAAATAATCCAAATTATAGGAAATGTCTATAGCTTTCTCCAGAACCCCCATCAAAATTCTCCTACTTAACACAATATAAACAAAGCAGATATATTCGATGCGTCCAAAGTAAACTCACCATTATCGTTGATATTTATTACATTGCTGAATAGAACAGAAAAATCTATAACAAATGATAAGGTCATCAAAAACAGTGGTAACCATAAATCTAAACAAAAAAAGTCCGCCAAGCTGTAAAAAAAATTATCTACCAAAAAATGTTTTAGTTTTCTTTTGAAAACAGCTATGTTTGACTCATTCCAATTCTCATCATTGAGCTTATTAAAGATCATACATCCCATCTATCTACAAGGTAACACGTTGATAAATAAGTCTATTTTATTTCATTTGAAAATTATAAAATCAAATTCGCTAGTTATATTTTTATTATAGTATATTAAAGTTGAAACAAACAGAGCTTAAGCTCAGTTAATCCGAAGAGCGGAAGGATCACAGGTGTCGTACACATTTTTCTCCAACATCCTTACCTTGGCAATAGCCATAACTCGATCACATGATAGATGATTAATCACTCTTTGTAATTTTCATAGGAATCACGTGAATCATTATGAATACATTCATAGACGATAAGTTATCGTTCAAAACTGTTAAATTTTTATCGGTTTTGTTTGAACGCTGCTATGGTTATCACTTATTTATAAGACGTGGTCATATGTAGCATATTTTATTTTCTTGCAAGGAATGATTTACCAAAACTTTCCGAAGAGATTATATATTTTTGTTTAGGACAAGTTTTAGTCAAAACAATCACAAAGCCAGAATAACGTGTCAAAACAAGCACTATTAGTAGTAACAATATCAAGGTACGATAACCAGACCAACTAGGCAAAAATTGATCTTATTGTGCAAAAAAAAGTATAGATGAGTTTTACATTTGTAGTCTTGTTTATAGTTACAAAGAATTTTCCTGCGCAACTCTTAAGAATCAAAGTTGTAAAAGTCAGTTTCGCATATATTGAAAGAACTATGATGTTTTGGAGTGTTAGCTATACAATAGTTTTAGGACATGGAAAGACTTTTAAAATGATTCTAATTCTGTCCAGTTTATTAAATTAACGAAATTTTTTTTTGGTAAATGAGTAAATTTGAAAACCGACGACTTTTTGCAACATCTATTTTGGCATACGGTGTTATCATTTCCGCCTATGATGAGGTAATAAATTTAACGATAATCATCTATTTAAATTACAGCTAAAGATGCATCTGCCGTGTTTATATTTTGTTCAAATGCTAAATACTTGGTATACTTGAGTCTGCGTCCGTTTGTTATGGGTATTTCCAACAGATTGAATTATTCGCGTGTTTTTCGGTTTGTATTGAAGGTTTCATTATTGAACGACGTTCCATATTATACAACTCTTCCATAGGCTATGCCACGGGCAGAGGGAATCGAAGCCAACCCTCCACCCGTTTGTCCAAGGGTTCGTTGTTAATATTTGAAATACATAATTAATTCCACTTTTTAATGATGAACTCCCAGTGATTTGAAAACATGGACATTTATAATATATTTAATACGTAATATTGATCTTAAAGTGCAAAAAGGTACATTATTAAACCTGAGTACCGAATCATCGCCTATAATAAGGATTTCATTCCATCACTCAATAAAGATGTACCAATTATTCATAATAACTCCTGAAGCTAATAATAACTTGGGGGTCCACCCTGGAAAATTTGGGGTGACCTTGAGGTCGACCCCCACTCTTTTGTAATCACGACACCTGCGGAGTATCTACATGATTGCAAATCTCCTAGGAGCTCTAGCTGCTACCGCGTACTGCCCTCAGTACAAGCCAAGCCATCGCCCTGCTATACGACTAGACCTTAACAAGATGGCGGACCACGCCAAGTAGCGTTGCTATGTGTTGGGTCTGGAAATTCAGGGTGAGCAGCTGTGCACAGCTTGTGAGAGAACAAAGAAAACTGTGCTTTAGGTGCCCATCCACTCGCTTACACGGAAGTTGTTTCTTCAAGCTGTTTGGATCAACCAATCAGACTCAAGCTATTCAAAGCCAGAAAATGCCATAGTCCGGTCCAATTAGGGAATTTTGAAATAATATTGCCGTTGCAAGTATTTATATCAATATTTCGGTCTACCAGAAATCCTGATGGATATGAGTTTTGCGTTATAGACGAAAATGTTCGTGACATGTACTTCCCATTACTATTGTATAGCAACTGCAGGTTCTGTCTCTGTTAATTGCTAGACGTCTGAGTAAATTGTTATGCTTATTTTTATATAAACCTCAAGTAAAGACGGATATGCTAATAGTACTAATGATTTGAATCTGTAGTGTTGTATAACAGTAAATCATATTTTTCTTACCCATCACATAGCTTGCAAGGTTGTTTCCACAGCAGCTGTTTCATGGCCGCGTAGATAAAAAAATTCCAAATAATACTTAATACATATTAGTCTTCAACTAATATGTGTAATTTTCTGCATTATGTATTTGATTTGGAAAAACTATATACATTTTTCTAAGTGGAGATGAAAGCAGGTGCTCGAGATAATATACATGTGCTTGAGATAATATTCTATCTGTCAGGAATATTTAAGATCAGTGTATATATTGAAGTTCGATGTTATGTGTTCTGTGCTGGCGTTTTTTTCCCCTGCAATAGTGGAAAATAGGTGTGGCAGCTTTCTGATTTTCTGAACCTCACTTTTTGGGCGAAGTTAAAAATCTCCGGATGCGACAAAATTTTGTATCAAAATTAAGCTATTCCATCATTTTTCAAGTTTCTCATTACTCTAGGGCGTATTCAAGCAGATTCTGGGGCTCGAAAATCTGACTTCCGATTTTTGCATAAAAATCTGATGATAATCTAATAATCAAAAAAGTTGTTCAAGGGGAATCGTGTATTGAGCATTTTTAGTTAGACGTATATGAATGCATGGTAAGTACTGAGTTAAGCTACTAGAGAATTGTTTAGACTGATACTTGCGATCTTATTATACTAAGTGACATATAAATCCGAACACCCAGTTTAAATGTTTTTATTTTAATAAAATTTTGTATATGTACTTAATGAAACATAATAAGTAAATGATAAAAATTTCAAAATGATTGCACTGCTTTAAAGCCCTTTGACCTTTAATAATGTGTGGATGCACCCTGATGTGCTACGCATTCTCCAACGCGCCTAGGCATGCTTCTGATCAGGTGGTCAATGTCCTCCTGTGGTATCTCATTCCAGGCAACCACCAACTCCTCTCTAAGTGCTTCTAGAGTCTGAGGAGGACGTTGCAAATTGAGCAATCTCCTACCCATCATACCCCACACGTGCTCAATTGGGGATAAGTCGGGAGATCTTGGTGGCCATGGTAACAATGTGACATCATTATGTTGAAAGAAGTCGATTGTGACTCTTGCAACATGTGGTCGGACATTATCTTGTTGGAAAGTTGGATCTGCCAGGGTGTCAAGATAGGGTAAAAGATGGGGTTCTAGAACTTCGTGGATATAACGCTGCGCGTTCATGTTACCTCTGATGAAGATTAAAGGTGACCTGGAACCATAAGCTATAGCACCCCAAACCATAACTCCAACAGTGTGATGAACATGTCTTTCAACAAAAAACTGTGGATTCCTCCTTTCACCACGTCGCCTTCTAACCCTGGCACGACCATCGTGCATGCCTAAACAAAATCGAAACTCGTCACTAAAGACAATATTGTTCTATTCCTGATCCCAGAGTGACCGTTCTCTGCACCACTCAAGGCGATTACGTCGGTGTTCTCGAGTTAAAGGGAGGACCCAGTGTGGCCGGTATGAAAACAAGCCAAAACTTCTCATTCGTCGGTAAACACTTCGCATGCCAATAGGTCTTCCGTGTTCTGCAAACCATTCATTTGCAATGGACCTGGTAGTGGAGAAACAGTCCCTTAAGGCCCATAATCTTAGGCGGCGATCTTGACGGTCTGTTGTTCTACGGCGGCGTCCAGTGCCCCTTGCTCTTTGCGTACGGCCTTCTCGAAGCCATGCCTGACAACACCTAACCACAGTGTCTACACTTCTTTGCACTCTAACTGCAATTGCCCGAAAAGAAAGTCCAGCTTCCCGAGGTCCCACTATACGGCCCCTATCAAACTCACTAAGTTGACGAAATCGTACAGGTCTCCGTACTCTAGGCATCGTAACCGATCGTAAAGGATGTCAAGAACCAAAATCCGCCAACGTTGATTCTTTACTGCGGCTGAAATATTCATTTTTAAAGCGTTAGTGAATTAAAAAAAAGCAGTATAAAAACCGGAATGTCCAACTGATAAGGCTGAAAATTTTTTCACTTGTTATTTACAGTAAGATAAATACATTCACCAACTTTTATTAAAATAAAACCATTTAAACTGGGTGTTCGGATTTATATGTCACTTAGTATAATATAGATGCTATGTGATGTTGACAAAAGTCACCCATGGTCTCTTTGCACAGATCTTCATATAGATTGTAGATGGTATTGGCCTGATGCTGCTAATTAAATAGTGAGCGAGCGTATAATGATGCGTTGATATTTTAATCTTATCTCTAGCATCTGTAAATGAAGCGTCTGTATACATTGTACTGTTGTTGGGTGGCTTATGTATACCCGGTGACATTAAAGTGTTACACCCAGAAAAAATAGTTTCTTCAACTTCTTTTTTTGGCAACATAACTATACAGGGTGTTCGCAAAGTTGGGGTCTTCCTTTTCAGACATAACTACGCTTGATATAACAAAGCTAATGTGTGGTGAAACGTAAGCGAACAAGTAAAAAAAAAGTTAATTAAAAAGGTACTCACTGTTCAGTTGAATTGAAATTCCAAGTACGGCTCTGTCGGAAAATCCGTATTTACATCGTAATCGTACGTCGTATAATGCTGGCGCTGTGGACATGATCGAGGGATAGGACAGGACCGGCTTCGGTTTGATTGAGTTTGCGGAGCCCAATATCTCGGTTCTCTCAAGACATTGGTGCATATGCTTCTAATAAAATCCGCTTATTTTCTCAAGCTCTTCAGGTCGTGTAAAGGAAAACCCCAACATTTGTATTTAAAGCATGCTGTGGCAACAATGTCAACGTTTTGTCTCCGTTTTTGTTTACCTTTGTTAAAATGTTATCTCTTAGTTCTTGTGAAGAAAGCAGTTGCTGAGAGCCGAGTAGTACAGATATTTTTAGCGTCAAGCAGAAGAAAATGTTGTCCTATCGCGAAATTTTCCGCTGTATTAATCGTACTGCAATGACGGTAATGCGTGTGTAGATAGAAGAAGGTCAACTGGTCCACCGAGGCGTACCACAGAAGGTCAAGATAGGCGCTTTAGACCGTTTTGCTACTACGCGTCAGATCTTTGACCAATGGTTTGGAGAAGAAGGTAGACCGGTTACTATCATACACTCTATCGCCGCATTCGACCACTGTCGTCAACATTTGAACTGGAGCAGAGAACGGCAACATTAGGACGCAGAATGTCATAATATCATCTTCAGCGACAAATTGAGGTTCTGTCTAGGTACGCACGATGGCAATAGAAGGGTAGGACGCCGCCGTGGAGAACGGCGTGATATTGGATTGGCTGTTGAAAGGCATCTACACATAACTGTTGTAGTAATGGTTTGAGGGGCTATTGCCTATGTAAGCCGATCACCCCTTCTCTTTGTTGAAGACAATATAACTGCTGCGCGTTATGTTGATGATGTCCTACAAACCGCTTTACTGCCGTATCTAGACGGCGGTCCACACGTCTTTTTTCAGCAAGACAACGCACGCCCTATGTTGTTCGTCGTACTACGGACTTTCTTCAAGAAGCAGCCGTTAATGTTTTGCCGTGGCCACCCCGTTAACCGTATTTAAATCCCATCGATCGTGTGTGGGATATAATAGGGAGTAGGCACTTTGGACCATCCGCCACTAACTCTGCCACGGCTAATCCACGAAGTTCGAGATGCTTGGAATGATGCTTTGAAGTATACAGGGGTGTACTCAGCTGCGGGGTCCCCAACACATTGTTAATTTTTTTCTTATTACTTGTCAATAAAATTTCGTGAGAATGTTATCGTTTCATTCTTGATGTAAGACTGCCTCATTGACAAAAAAGGAAGTTGAAGAAATTATTTTTTGTCGGTGTCACACTTCGAACGTCACTGAGTATATTTGGGAGCTAAGGTTATATATCGTCTTCGTTGAAATGAACGAATTCGGACTAAGTAGAAGGAGCAAATATACAATTTATTTGTAACCAAAAATGCGTAGTCAGTAGTCAGGTTACAAGTTCATATTGCAGGTGGATCGGACTTCAGTTTTCAGTTTCTCAGTTGTTGATACTTCGCCACTTTAGATTCGTATTTTTCCGCGTGCGTTTCATACAATCCTAGTATTCCAGTTGCCGAAAATGGTGCAGGAGGGATACAAAATGCAGTTTAAACTGAGTAAGAGCAGTGTTATCGGCGTTGCAAAAGAGCATATACCTCAACATTGTATTTTTACCTGGACTGTTGTGACGTAGTTCTGATTTTGGCCAATTAAACCACATACGTATATATATTTATTGTCCAGATAAGCACCGGGGATTATCGACATGAAAACCATAGGATACGCTGCAGATGTTACAGTAATTTTGATTCATTTCATTCGACTTCTTATTTCTTTGAGTACTCAGTCCCAATCTAAGGTTTGTTAACAACAACGTTGAAGAATGCAAAATGTGAGACACAAAATAATCTGATGGATACTCAAAAGGGCTATCAGAAACTTCAATTTTGAACATTATCTACTTTATTCCTGAATCTAGAAGTTCTAAGGCCCGTACCGTCAGTCGTCCCTATAATTGTAGGGCGCGTTTATGGCCTCCTTGATTGTCATACTCTTTTCTCTCCTTCAAAAATGTCTAGATTACACTCGTCCCGTGTCAGCGTCAGCGCTCTCTTATTGTTAAGATATGTTTTCCTTTTAAATTGTAGGAAATTTCAGGCTGATAAAACATGATAAAACTCAAAAGCAAGCACAATTTGATGCAAATAGATGATTGTGACATAACCTCAAAATAGAGTTCTGACAGGAAGAAGTAGAAAACTATGACAATCAAGGAGGCCATAAACGCGCTACAATTGTAGGGACGACTGACGATACGGGCCTTAGAAAATTCCTTCAGTTTCATGTTATAAATAACAATTTTACGTTCCCATTTTAGTGCCATGCGATTCTACTGAGGAAGCTCAGTAGGCCAGAAAAAAATATGAATATCAAATTAATTAAACTCTAATGTATCCGAATTCGTTGGTTGAAATCGATTTGTACCTCAAGCTTAACTAAGCTTCCCTTTTCTTCCCACAAAACTTCCTGTTGGGCAACTGCAAGTGTCATTTTGACCTTAATATTATGACAAATTATTATCCGTATGGTGCCTTTAGGATTTGAGTAACATAATGTGCCTGCATCAGACACCTACAGCTCCAGAATATCTTCTATCCTTTAGTAATGCGAAAAATAATAGAATAAACTATAGTTTAGAAACTAAAAAACACGCTTTGATAGCAGATCGTACTAAAATGTGGAAAACTGTGAAGTTAAGGAGAGTTACTAACAAAAAATTTAATTACAGCAAATAAGTATTAAATGCGTGGGGTGCTTGATATTAAATGCTACAATTATTGGCGTTATGAAAAAATAAAATTAATTATCAGCATTTTTACTATAAATGATTTTTTTTGCTAATATATGGACTTTTTATTGCAGTAATATAAACTCTCCTATACTTGAAAATTATTTCTCACCTTTTACCTCGATTTTCTATTAAAGCGTGTTTTTAAGTTTTTTGAACAAAATTTGAATCTGAATTTTTTGTCTCAAAACGTCAACAAAAGTGATTAACCAAGAGGCTTTGCAAATTTTATATTTGACAATAAACCTAAATTTTCTCAAAATTGTTATCAATTTTCGAAATTTCTAAAAATTTTTCAAATCTTCAAATCATTTCACAAATTGTATAATTTTCCAATTATTTCCCAAATCTTCAAATTCAACTTTTTTCTAAGTTTCAAATTATATTTTTTTTAATTTTCAAACTCAATTTTTGGCACGATTATTGTATTGCCATCGGTTGTTGACACTTGTGCAAATTTTCAAGTTAATCAGACTTCCTGAAATTGTTGAAAATTAAGTTCATTTGTTGCGTTACATACATATGTACAATGTCACGTATGTCAAGCCTCTAAGGGAGTGTTAAGAAAGTCGGAGAGGGGAACAAATATTGAATCAACCTCTCTGATAATATTTTTAGAAAGGGTTTCGTAAAACCAAATATTTTTTTCACCTGTGGATTAGCAAATAAATATTCTTTTGTTCCAGTTGACCCGGACATGTCGATAGCAGTCGGGGGTGGAGGTGGTGGAGGGGGCACCACGACTAGCCCCGCCTCGGCCCCTGGGGCTACCCTACTCAACAGTGCCGGCATATCGCAGCAATGCGCCATATGCGGAGACCGAGCAACTGGTAAACACTACGGAGCTGCGTCTTGCGACGGATGTAAGGGCTTCTTCAGGAGGTCGGTCAGGAAGAATCATCTGTATACTTGTAGGTGGGTGACATTCAGCTTTTTACACACACTGTTCCTACAAAGCAACTCGACTTAAACGCAGATTCGTCTCGGTTTGAGACTGTGAAAGAAGTCACAAACAATGCGTGATGATAAGATAAGATGACATGACATGTTATAGGGTTTTTTTTGACGTCTCATGGATTTTTTACATAATAAACGTGTCGTCCGGCGCAAAATTTAATAATATCATCATATACTGCCTAAAGAGTGCCAATAGAAAAGATTCATTATTTAGTTACATTGCTTAAAATAAAGTCAGAAAAAAATAAAAAAAATTTCAATAAGCTATGAAATTTCCGCAACGGCAATAAAGAACGCAACTTTTTCCTAATTTAAACTAAGCTATATCTTCCACAGGTAATCAGATCTCCATGCATAGGATCTTTATCTGTATATTAAATTGAATAAAAAACAATGGATGTGACCACTGACCGGATTTTGAATCTCACTCCTATATCACGATGATTATTTTCAAGCTGAGCCTGTTGTACATGTTTAATAGCTAACGATGTATGATCCTCATATTTTGTTCTTGTAAAAAACATGTAAAATTAGCTGCTGAGCATTAACATTGCAAGTAGTTTATAAAAATATCAAGCTACTTGATGAATCCCTAAGTAAGCTACTACTACTTCTTTTATTATTAAAAACCTTGAATAAAAAAGAAGCGTGTAAGTAACGTTTTCACAAAAAAAAACGATAAACATATGGTATGTGGTAGTATCAGAAGTTACTAAAACATAACTAATGTTACGTACGTGCAATGAACGATCAGCGGAAAGTAAAACCTTATACAAAACCATACTCCTGGATTGAAATGGGCATGTTTGTTTTCCATCGCTGTAACCACGACTGATTGAGATAACATTGTTTCGTGCACATTAGTAACTCGTCAGTGCGGTATAGGTCTAGTAGTCGCGAAGGGAAACATGGAAGGAAAGAACTAACCTATGACTTGCGAGTATAAAACTAGAAGTGAATTTCATGCTACAAGAAGTAAGCATGAAGTGAACGACAGCTAATTCCAAGAAGACGTCTTGTTGGTAAACTTACATAATGTCAAAAAAAAAAACGACACAATTTCATTTTTTAAGTTACGTAATATGCCAGCGGGTGCCGCTTTAAGTTGGAAGAACGCGCTCGTTGAGTTGGTAATATTTGGCACTGAATTCGAGTACGTTGAAAAATTGTGAACTGACGATGAAACAAATTCAATGTTAAAAGTGGGAGGTTTTTGGATTCCTCGCAGGTCCTAGCGTGATACGGAATCTGTGAACCTGTCTTAGGCAAGACGCATACATTCGTTTTCCGTATACAGTTTCCTAATCAGGAATTCAATTCGGAATTCCGTGAGCCTAGCGCTAACGTTCAATTTTTGAAAGTGAATATTATACTAAAAGTACGTTCAGTGGCGGCTCTGTGAATGCTTGGCGATGGAAAACGACGATTTAATTGCGATTGCACTTCTATTATGATTATCAAAAAAGAAGAAAAAGAGTCGTCGGTACTGGGTGCATCCGTTAAACAGTTAGAGAATGTACGAGAGTCCATTTTATCTAAAAAAGCACAGTTACGAGCAGATCCAGATAAATTCTTTGATTTCTACAGAATATCAATGCAGTCTTTCGATGATCTTCATAATAGCTTACGGGATAAATTAAGGAAGCAAGATACCTGGATCACATTATCTCTGGGTACACAACATAGATCTACAAACCGAGGCCGAAGCATAAGAGACGAGTTTGCTTAGTACTTCATGACGCCGGCAGGGGAAATATCATACCTATATAACGAGAGGATTACCAATTTGCAACAATAAAAGTACAGTAGGCAATAGTATTTATAATAAAAGTGAAAGATAAGTAATTTTACTCTTGTTTTCTTTTTCCACTTTTGTGCACGAGTTCCAATCCCGTATAACCTCTTTAAAAACTTGCTCGTACGCCAAATCTTTGACATCTCTGTTGTGGTAGTCCTTGTCATGAATATCCCACAAGCAGGAGTGCTTTTCAACAGCCATTGTTATTTATTCTGTTTCACACATTGACCTGATGCATTCGAGTTCTTGAAGCCACGACGTGACGTCCAATACGCACGTCACTGCGCGGTTCTGGATGAAAATTTCCGACTGTGTGCGGCGGTACATTACAAATGACGTCATCAGGTTTTATCCGTTCCGTTTTTACGAACGTACATGCGGAATGTGTTCCGTTCGGAAAAAAAAACGAACTTGTGCGGCAGTCAATGCATTTTATTAGCGTTTGATGCATTTGGGTCTCCGAATACGGAAAACAAATTCGAAAATAAAACGCGGAAAACGAATGTATGCGCGCAGCCTTATTCAGAAAACGAAATTGCTTTCGCATCACTGATATACAAAGGCTTTTGAGATTTTTGATAGGAAACCTCAAGCTCGTCGCATATTTTTCGAAATATGGATAATATAATGCATGATCATGAACTTTTACTCTAATGCTGTAACAGTTCAAAATTAGCAGGTTACAAACAGAAACAAACAAAATTAGCAGGCACGACTCCGTTATTTTCCAGCCTATAATTTCATCGATTTTTGCGTGGGAATTCCTACCAGTTTCGTGTATTCTGCAGAAAATTTGTTAATGCGTGTGTACGATTATCTACGCAAATGGTTTTGTAGAAAAGAAGACGGACAACTTTTTGCCTAATATACGGACGTCATCTATGTTTTTATAGCATGTAATTGCCTTTTTATATATAATTAAGTCCCATATATTACCTTGACAGAAGCAATAGTAATTTATGCATGTGTGGTGTAACAACGATAACGATGATAGTATGACTACACATGCATGCAGGGTATCTAGAAATATGTGATAGTTCAGGTAGCTAAGATTGAGCAGGTTAACTTCGAACTTTCGAACCTTAACGAAAACAGTTAATATGTGAGCTGTTGAAGAGTCTTGAAATTGACCTTGCCTGCTATGATTCATTTTTTTTGTAAAACTGCAAAGTATTCTTAGATTTTCATAGAAAATAACTGAGAACTTATGACATCTGAATGGTGAGACGTTTTCAGTACATTGTGGGTCTTACAATGCAACTGAAAAATAGACTACGGAATATAAAATGATCACAGCAATATGACTCTGTGTGATTCGGTAACATGATTTCATGAGTTGTCTTGTGTCACCAGAAGTTGAAAAAAATTGTTCTCTTTGTAAAGGTGTGAGCATTGCTCGCTTTACAAGAAATACTTAAAACAAGAAAAATGTAATTAATGGAAAACTATGTGGCTGAAGCTCTATATTTCCAACTCATTATATTCTTGAAAGTTGAGAACTTCGCTTATGCCATTTTATTGTATTTATATACAGTTTCAAGCATCTTTTATTTGAAAAAATAAGATAAAACTACATGTGTCAAAAAACTCCGCATGTTTATTAAATGTCAGCCATTTTGAACTTTTTTGACCTACCTTCTAATTTGTAAGCTGATTCAATGTGATCTTGAAAGAATATAGATGTACTGTGGTGGATCGAAAAAACGCTTAAAATGGCTATAGAATACAATAAACATGCCAAGTTTGAAGATTTGCTCATGGTACTTGCTATTTTACGATTTTTGATTAAATTCAAATAAATATTTGATATAAATACAATAAACTGACCTAAAGCATAATTTCGAATTTCACGTATATGAAGAGCCTTCTTCATGATGTATCATTTCTGAAGAGCATTTTTCTAACGACTGGTTTGTTAACTCAATGACTGTCTTCAAAAAGTGCAGCATTAAAATTCTTCATTTTTCAGTTAAGTAAGGAGAACAATAGGTACGATTTTATATATGGTCTAACAAAGTTTGAATTACTTCAGTTTTTTGATTGGCCTACTCAATGAAATTTTGAAACGTACAACTTGGCATGCATTTTGACATGAATAAGCAGCATTTTGTTGTACTATAAAGCTCAATCCTTGCCATGACACATGCAAAGTCATCAAGTGCTGCAAAGCAGAACTTAGCGAACAATTTGCAACGCTCCATGGTATATCTCAAACGAGACACTACACAGAGACCTTGACATCCCTTACTTGAGGGATTATGTCAAGCTTCAGGCGCAGCGACGTTATAGTCAAGCGGAATCGCACAGAAACCCTCTGTTGCGTGACTCAGTGGACTACACAGTGAAGCAAGTTCGTAAGCATGCCACGGCTCGCACTGTAATCAAAAATTAGCGCGAACTTTTAGTTAAAGTTACACTCTAACAAAACGAAATCAAACTTTGTTTAGTTCACCTCAAAACTAATCCGTGTAGCAAGTCAAAAAGCCTAGGAGTTTCCTCTTAAACTAAACACTTCTGGTGTTCTTTGCTCTTCTCCCTTTTTTTCTCTTTCCCTTTCTCTTTTTCCTTGACATTGTCTGGTTTCAGGGCAACCAGGACTGACAGATTCGACTAACGTACATTAGACAGTGACTAATGGGCAAAGGTCCTACGGACCGCCCAAAGAAACAAATGACGAATAGTAGCTCAATCCTGAGAATTTTTGAATTGTGTCACACCACATATTTTATATTCTACGATACGCATTGATGATTTGGTGGCGACACTATCGACAAAAACAATATTGCATTGTTAGCTCTGGCGTCGAAAATAAAGTGAAAAAAAATCATATTATGCATTTTTGCTAGAACCCGTTATTATAAAATAAGTATGTTTATTATTATGTATTATTTCTCTGCTGACATTAATTTTATAAATATTTTTTAAGCAGGTATATTTAAATTTTATATTAGGGTATACATATATTGTAGTATTGTTTGCATTCGGATTCTGGCACATTACGTTATGAAAAATAGTTATTATAAGAAATGAATATGTTTTTCTTCATAACTCGAAGGACTCACTTACCTGGTGATCTTGAAAGCTTATCAGCTTATGCTTATTGACAGTTAAGTTATTCTCTGGTGATCCTCAATTGAAGGCAAATTTACCAGCACCGAATTTATCTTAATGAAAGGTTGAAACACTCCAGACAGTTTTTTTTTGCTGACGACATACCCCAGTCATGATGTTATTGAAAAGGTACACAATAATGCGGTTCGAAACTTTATTATTTGTAGGGCAAAGATTCATTAGTCTTATCCATCTTATACAATTCTCATCATTTTACTTACAGATTCAATCGAAATTGCGTTGTAGACAAAGACAAGAGGAACCAGTGCAGATATTGTAGACTGAGGAAATGCTTCAAAGCAGGAATGAAGAAAGAAGGTGTGTTGGTTTCGTTCTTGTTAGATTTGGATTTTGATTTTTCCTTATTTTACAGCTGTGCAGAATGAAAGAGACAGGATTAGCTGTAGGAGGCCTAGTTACGAAGAAAGCAACCAGAATAATGGACTCTCTGTAGGATCGTTGTTGAATGCGGAAATGCTGTCGAGACAAGTTGGTGCCGCACTGGAAGTAAGTAAAAATACTAGAATACTTAGGGGAGATTTTTTTGAAAACTCGTATGTATACAATACTTTAGAATAACTACGATATTCAAAAGTGTGGCTAGATCTGTTTAACTTAGAACGTGTTGTTCCTTTCTTTGTACGCCCTGTATATCTAATAAAAGTTAAAAGCATAATCTGTACATGTATGTTTTACTGCGAATGCCTGTGTTGCTCATGACATTCATCATATGTATACTTTTTCTGTTAACCTCATTGATTTTGACATATATAATTACATATTATTTAATAACAAATTCAATTATTCGCTTATTTGGGTGCTCCCCTCCAGTGGTTGAGTAGACTAGCTGTCAGCTACTGGTATTATATATATTTTTTGTTATACTGAATTTTCTTTGAATTATTATTATTATTATTATAAGCTGCACGGTAGTTTTAATAACTGTGAAAAGGCGTATAGTTGGGTGCTATTTCTGACTTTATTCATATTTCAGCAAATGGGATCAACACCTGTCAACGACTATGACCTGTCGAATCGGCAGCTAGCTAGTATCAACGATGTCTGTGATTCAATGAAACAACAACTATTAATCTTAGTTGAATGGGCAAAATATATACCTGCCTTTACAGAACTACAACTAGACGATCAGGTAAGCAATCAAAAGTATGAAAAGGAGGATATTCATTTTTCTTAATCCTCGCATAGACTATAGATCAAATATAAACGAATGAAATCAAGCAAGCAATAGTAATAAATACTCTTCTTGGAAAGAATGTCGTTGCGATATATCTACGCTACCGTTCAAAAGTATTTGAAAACCCAGAAAACAAAGAAACTGATGGAAGTGATTAAAGAAAATGTTACAATATATTTATTTTACTTAATTCTTATCAACGTACAACTATTTATAATCAAAATAATCATATTTTTGACTCATCGATATGTTCTGCTTTACTTTTAATTACAGCCTGGCAAATGATGGGTAAACGCGCAACTAATTTTTATAAAGAGAATGGGGTTATTTTTCGCCATTCGTCTTGTAATATTCTTTCTCCATAAGTGTTTTTGAGAATATTTCCGTACTTGTCTGCCCAGTTCATCCCACAGCAAGTGTATCAGATATAAATCCGGAGATTGGGGAGGCCATCGCATGACTTTCAAATTTTTTTTTTATTCTTTCGCTTCCAAAAATTGTTTACACAGCTTGGATGTGTGTTTGAAGTCATTATCATGCTAAAACGACGATCCCCGGAACAATAAGATGAGTCCCAGAAGGCACAACATGATTTTGTAGTATGGCTTTGTAACCTTCTTTATTCAGTATTCCCTGAGCTCTCACAATATCCCTCAGAGCGGAACCACCAAAATAGCCCCAAATCATTATACATCCTCCGCCGTGCTTGACTGAAGCGACGGCGCATGATTCTAATGCGTGGACAAATACTCGTCTCTTGGAACCAAAAACTTCAAATTTCGATTCATCTCTCTAGAGGACCTTCCAGTCAGCAACTGTATAGTTTTGATGTTGTTTGGGAGTTTCTTTTTTTTGTTAGTAGTCCTGAGGAGTGGTTTCGATACTACTATGCTTCCCTTGAGTCCAGCTTCGAGAAGCTCCTCTTAACTGTAGTCACGTTTATAGGTTTGCTACGGCCCACATTCAAATCCGCTGCTATTTCGGCTGCAGTATTGCATCTATTGCATTTACTTTTGACTATTATGTTTAAGTCTGTAGTGGAAGTTGTAACTCTGGGTATCCCTGAGCGACGGCTATTGGATGTTGTGTCTTGAGCTTTAAATTTATTAATAATGTAGTGTACAGATGACAGTGGTAAGTTTAGAAATTTCTCGAATACTTTTGCCGGATTTATGAGGACCAATAATAACTCTTTTTATCTCCGCAGAATATTGTTTAGTTTTACCCATTTTGTCCAGAAAAAAATAAACGAAAACGCACCTGTTGAACAATCTTGAACTATAAGCTATTAAAGTACTGTTAGTTTACCAAATGATACAAGATATCTGAAGTAAAACTGTATTATGGGCTTATGTATCACCAAATTAAAAAAAATCATCGAAAAATAAATCCTGAGAAAGAATTCCTAGGGGGCAAAACATAGCAATATTTTAAAGGCAAAAAAATTCCTATTATGGCTAATGATGAGATCCCAATAATAGTTTGAGCAAAGTTTTGATTCAAATGACCTTTCAGTGATGCTTGATTTCCATGCTGATGTTATTTGGTTGGTTTTTGGGTAGTTAGGCCGTCACAAAAATAAATACGTACTGAATAGTTTTTTTTTGTTTGTTATGATTTTAAATAGAAATTTGCAGGTGTTCAAATACTTTTGAACGGTAGTGTAGATAACATGGAAATATTGGTGCATATATCTTCTTGCAGATATTTTACTAATATCGTATGGGATATTGGGTGCTAGGAATTAAAAAGAAACTTGGCATATCTCATTTGTCAGCTGATTCTCATACTTTTTGGCATTCGTTTTGTTGTGTTGTTTGAAGTAAACAAATTCAATGCCAACTAAATTTTCTCACGAATTTTTAAAATGTGATTTCATATGTCTGTGTATGCTGCCAAGACGGTTATCGAAATGCCTTGTTAAAAACATGCCGTTTTGTTGGAATAGGCATTTTTTATTGTTATGCTTCTATTGATGAATGCTTTTCATGCCATGAAAGAGGAGGAAGATTGACAGATTGTTTTAAATTGCGTCAAAAAAGCTCGTTATCTAGCATACATACAGTAATGGACAAAAGTATATAGACAAATATGAATATTTACCTAAATACCTTTAGAAAACGAATTCATACTTCATTGCTCCATAAACAAATGCGTTATTAGTAGAAAAACTAAATTCCTTGTTTTTACATTATTTCCAATGAACACAATACAAGTCTAAATATAAGCAATTTTTTATGAGGGACAAAAATATGTAGACAAATTCTTTTCAATATTAGTTTAGTACAGTTTCGCGTCAGAAGAGGATTAGTTTGTGTTCATCAAGTATTGTGGAATAAGTTGAGTGATTTTAAGACCGTGCCGCGAGGTCCAGAAATTTCTTTCGATGTGAAAACTAAGGTCATTGAGTTATACAAAAATGGTCAACGTCAAGTCGACATTGCCAAAAATTTGAAGCTGAAGCGTAAAGCAGTTTGGGCAATATTGAACAAATATAAACAATAAGGTATCTTGGAAGCCTCTAAGTGAAGTGGTCGGCCTAGAAAACTAAATGCTATATCAGTTAGATTAATAAAAGTAATTTCGTCCAAAGATTCGTTTAAGACCCCAAGACAAATAAAAGCCGAAATCGAGACAAAAGGAATTGACAGTGTTTCTACGAAAACTATAAGTAGAAGATTAAATGATTTGAAGTTACTTGCACGTCGCCCGAGTAAGAAGCCGCTAATCTCGAGGAAAAACCGTAAGGACCGATTACATTGCACGGTTGCATCTTGATAGGAGCATCTGTGACTGGAAGATGGTATGTTTCAGTGACGAATCCAAGTTCAATATGTTTGGATCAGATGGTGTTCATTACGATAGACGTCCTAGTGGACAAAGATTGAGATACACAGACATACTAAAGCATATCATATTACCCCATATGGAAGACAATATGCCCTTAATATCAATCTTCCAGCAAGATAATGACCCGAAGCACACTTCAAATCTAGCAAAGAAATTCTTTCTGGATGAAAAAGTACCAGTTCTCAAATGGCCTTCACAGTCTCCCGATATAAACCCCATTGAAAATCTATGGGAATACTTAGATAAGCAAGTACGAGATTATTCAAACAAGGATGAACTTTTTGCCGCTTTAGAGCAAAATTGGAGACAGATTGATGAATCTTATATCAAGAAACTTCTACAATCTATGCTGAGACGATGCCAGGCGATGATTGATAATAATGGTTTTGCTACAAAATATTAACACAAACATGGTTGGTTTTCTATAATTCAACGAACTTTGCTTCTTTTTTCTATAATTGTTTTGCTTTGTCTATATATTTTTGTCCTTCATAGTTCCAGTTTTTTTCCATTAATTTTTTATTGAAGGGAGTCTAATGAATTTATTTATGTATAAGTGAGTATTCTGCTATAACGAATTATGTATACAGGTTGGTGTATTAATAAAACAAGATATAAAAGAAATACAGCACAATATTAATTTGTCTATATACTTTTGTCCATTACTGTATATGTTTCTTACAGGTAGCTTTATTACGAGCCCACGCGGGAGAACATCTACTTTTAGGCTTAGCTAGAAGATCGATGCATCTTAAGGATGTACTTTTACTCGGAAACAACTGCATCATCACCAAACAGTGTCCAGGTAAGGACATTTTAATGTTATTTTTATTGCCTAACAACAAACGGTAGCTACTTGGAAAATAATTGAAAGCGCGTGTGTCAGGAAAGTATTCGTAGATAAAGTAAGTAATGGCAAGTATGGAAATAAATTGACATTTCTGTCCGATCACAACATGTAACAAACATAATACAATAGATTGATTGAGGTGACAGCAACTTCTGAGAATTTTATTTGAGAGACATCTTACAAGAAATCGACTATGTTCATTACTTCAAAAACGCCCTCTCATTGGCGCTCTGAATTAGTAAAATCGGACCTAATGAACATATAAATACTTGAAAAACTGAAGGAAATGGTGTTATGATCTAGGTTGAATAAAGACGTACAAATTCACTCGCAATTACCAACTTTTCCAGACTTGATTCATTTAAGAGACATTTGACAGCTAGTGCATTGACACATTTCTGACACACCGTACACAGTTTGATACACAGATTCATGCATGCACAATAATTTTGTTTTAAGCAAAACTCACAAGTATTTGTAAAGATAAGTGAAAGCTGAAATTGTTTAATAGTGCATTTTGACTCAAATGGTTTAGAACTATGAGTGTGTAACTTGAAAATAAGATCATGTCCTACGATTAGGATTTAAAAATATTTTGTATCGAAATGCCAATTAAACAATTTTACTTTTCTACTTTGGTTCAAAAGGTGCTACTGCAGATAATCCAAATTGATCTAAATTCTGTTCTGGAATCAAAAAGTTGCTGTAGTATTATTGTCAATGCATAATAATCTTTAGCTACGTAGTTGACTAGCGAGTAAAGTAACTACATATCTTGTAGTCTCTGTCGTTGCACCTTTGGTGGAGTTTCAAAGCTTCCCCGCAGAAATTATATTAATACATGCAGCTCAAACAATGTATTAATAAACGTACAATCCGGTCGTTAAGCACAACGGTTAACTCGACTACTACTTTATCGAGTATTGTTTGATAGCATTACTGAATGTTTGTCTGTTCACTATGCCTGTAAAATTAAGGAACTCTCCTGAAGGTTAAGTACAGTCAGTAAATATGGAAACAATGCAATATTTTCTTATCAAAATCATTAAGATTAGAAAATCACCTTCACTTTATGTTCCAAAGAAATGAACAATTATGACTCAGTACCACTTCATAGTTTTTTGTCTAAGGCCCGTAACGTCAGTCGTCCCTACAATTGTAGGGCGCGTTTATGGCCTCCTTGATTGTCATACTCCTTTCTCTCCCTCATATTACACTTGTCCCGTGTCAGCGTCAGCGCTCTCCTATTGTGAAGATATGTTTTCTTTTTAAATTGTAGGAAATTTCAGGCTGATAAAACATGATATAACTCAAAAGCAAGCACAGCTTGATGCAAATAGATGTTTGTGACATAACCTCAAAATAGAGCGCTGACTCGGAGAAGTAGAAAACTATAACAATCAAGGAGACCATAAAGGCACCCTACAATTTATTGTAGGGACGACTGACGATAGGGGCCTAAATAACCTCGCGTTTTGTATAAAACCATTCGTATTTAGCTATCTATATGAACCATCGATTTTGATTGTACGTTCCAAATTCATGCTTGGCATGTTCGTACATTGTATTTTTCCCTTCTGTTAACCTGGTTGATGGCATGAGTGGGATTTTGTATTGACATCGCTTGATGTATAGTTGCTAACATAATTAGAGTATACAGCAACAAAATCAGTATCTCCTTGAAATGAAAACAAGTACCATAATTTGTTTTAATTGGTGGTACTTGTGTAGCGTAATGGATGTGTGCACAAGACGTACATTTTCATATACGGTGATTATAGAAAAAAATTACTGTGTCATTTGTTATATGTCACAGAGAAACTGGTTAAAAACTATCGGTTTGCACGTGTTTGGTATATATGAATAAAGCTCCTTGCTAAATGTGGCGATTGGTACGGTGTACATATCAGAATGCATTTTATTTCTAAATATATAGGCACAATGCATCTAACAACTCAGGGACAAAATTGAACCTTCGAGGGAACTCATCTCAATTTTTTAGCAACTTCAGCCACATTTTCAACATTTAATATGGTAATGTGGCGTATAATATTTATGTACTTCTAACAGTCATACTTCACAAAGTTGAAGAAAGGAAGAAAAAGCAGAAAACACTAAAATTTAGGTAAATACAATGTGAGAAAAATATTTTTGCCGTACGATAATGCGGTACAATTTTCGTACTTGCAACGTGAGGAAAATTTATTAATTATAAAAATAAATACAATTACTGTTACCTGCAAGAACATTGTAGAGATTTTCGACATTGCACTTTGGGATTTTCACAACATATACTTAAGTACAAAATATGCATAAAAATTAACCACGCAACGTTTTTGACTGCCGCACTATAACTGTAACTGATCAGACAAATTTCCGTGCAAGAACATTGTAACTGCATTCAAACAATCTTTTACCAGCAAAACCATTGTAAGGCACCTTACACTACGCTTGGGGTGATATTTTTTCCGTTTACGAATATTACGAAGACATATAAAATGGCTTAGTGTAATAGATGAGATGCAATAAATTCGTATAGTCAGTCATTTTAACAACAAAAGAATCAAATACAAACAATCCACCCGCTCTGAAAGTCAAAATTATGTGATCAAACGGGCTTTCGTCCTCGCCGATACTATTTTTTTCTAATAACCAGTGGTGTACGGTTTTTTACTATATAGCCTTGCTGGCACCAACTTCAATGATGTGTACTCAAACCCCTATTAATCCATTCCCGATAAATGAAAAATCCACGTAAGTTTTACTTGCAACAAATATTGTGCACCCATCCATTTTTGATCTACCTCATTATCATAAACTTTTATTTCATAGTTACGTAGGTTTGGTGACATTTGGTCTGGAAGTAGATTACTGTAAAGCTATTTACCGATTAAATTTTTTTTTCGTAAATGCTTATATAAATAACACCATAGGCTAATACCCAGGGGAAACTTTCAGTCACGATTGCACAATGACAATATGGTTGCACTGTTTTGAGGGTGTTTGGAAATAACCACAGTAAATACAAAAATATCAGTCTTTTTTCAATAAAGTGAAAATAGGTATCCCGGATTTGAGTCACATCTTTGAGACTCATTGCAAATGTTAAATAAATAGTCACTCTAACACTCGGCAAATTCCATTCTATTTGTACACAATGAGTTTTTCAAAAGACCATACACACTTGTTTGCTGACAGTTTCGTCTGCCTTCAAGATCTAAGGCCTATACCGCACTGAAGAGTTGCTGATGAGCACGAAACAGCGCTGTCTGCGGTTGCCCATGGTCACAGGATAGGAAACGCAAACATTTCAGCTGCGTCGATGCAAATATGCATAGGACATCCATTGCTGTCTTGCTCTGTGGGTACGTGTTATTCTGACCACTTGACAGTTGACCGTGATGGTGTGGTGCGACATCGCTGCGAGTGGTATGTACCCAGAGAGCCCTATCGTGATGAAAAATCGGGTTTGATGATTTTCAGACTTTTCACTCACTTGAGCACAATCATTTCATTCCACTAGTTTCTCAGGGTATGCCTACAACTGCCTAACAAATCAGTATGTCAGAACGTATACCTACCGATCGGCCGGCCGCATGTTATGTATTGACGATATTGTTTTTTGGGTTTCTCTGATTGATGTATAGAAAAATGTACGAACATGGAGAGCACAATTAATCTTAGACGGACGATGTCCAATGTAGCCGTGATGTCACCAGACCAACGTATCTCCCCAGATTTAAGCATAGCTAGAGTCGGCGCTAGGATCATGGACGAGCTGGTCAAACCTATGACTGAGGTGCAGATTGATGATACCGAGTTCGCGTGTCTCAAAGCCATCGTCTTCTTCGATCCCAGTAAGTATCTAATCTCTACATTTTCTACATAATGTCTAGACGACAGACCTCCCACGTAGCACTACAAAAACATTTTAGGTTTATTTGAGGTTTTAGACGGTTTTATTGTAGTTTTAAAGTGGTTTATTAGTTCCAGTTTATGATGTTGTACCTTTTAAGCAGTTTAAAAGAGTCTCCTGTTAGTAAATAATATGCCTTGAACATCTCTAGCTTTGTTTCGAACTGCTTTCTTAAATGCAATTAACAGGCTCTTAAAACTGAACGATCTTAATGAATTTGGTTACCGTAAAGACTAACTATGTTTCTGGTTAGAAACAATAATACTGAACTCATCTCGGATAACAACATTGAGGTTTACATAAAACTGATAAATTACTAACTTAAAGGCGTAATTCCGATTAATCAAACTTTCTTTGTTTGAGGCCAAAAACCGTTAACAGAACTATATGTTAGAAAGAGTGCGCCAAACAAGATTCATCAAAGATTCATTTGCCAAAAATCAAAATGGCGGATCCATTATGGCGGATACGTTTACAAATATGTTTGGGTTACGTTCACGTTCAAAGTCCATCTTTTTGATGTCGCTGATAACGAATTAGATAACGATTCTTTCATCATCAAAATGGCGGACCAAATGTGGCGGATTTGTTGCAAAAAAATGTAAAAATTGCTTTCGAATATAAGTTTTGTACGTTTTAAGGGTCGGGGATAACGAATTTAGAATCGATCTTCCACAAACGGAAATGGCGGATCAAATATGGCAGACATACAGTACTTTTCTTCAATGTCCTCCTCCCCTTTGATTTTTTGAACGGATCAATTCAAAAAATTAAAACTTAAGCTAATTAAATTGATGCAATAATACCATATTTTAGAGTAAAATTGACAAATGAAAATGTCGCTGGGCGCCATCTTGGAAAAAAAATTATATGAAAACAGGGGTCTTGTGGCACATCATTTTGAAGCTCCTAACAGGTACTTTATAACCCTAGAATATAAAGTCAATACCTTTACCTACTACAAAATGGTGATACATCTAATAATTACTTGAACACAAACCCACTAACATGCATATCTCTACAAACAAATTGTAAATCCCTGCCGTATCCACAGCGACAGCGATAAAAACTTGTCTTGTTATTTTTTGTTGACAGTGACAAGAATATCAGTACGAAAACACACATCATCGAACAGTTAAAATGTTCTTATTTAGTTTTCGGTTTTAGTGCTAGATACTGCTTGAACTATTTTTAAAAAGGTCAATTCTCGTCCATTGGAAGAAAAAATCGGAGCGATTTTTATTTATGGCGCGACGAGTAACTTTCTTGAGATCGGAAGGATTTTTAATGATCGTGTCCCGAATCGTCCTATCTGTAGAAAATATTTAACGAAACTTGTGTCTAAATTTACAGCTACTGGTAGTGTAAACAACAAAAAGCCCCCAGGTCATCCAACCATCCCGAAAGAAAAGCAAGTTCAAATAATTAGTGAGATCATAGTAAACCCCAACAGTCTACTTCCTCCATCGTGAATGTTTGTGAGGTTTGTCCTTGCCTTGTATGGAGACTTTTGAAAAAGAATAGATATCACCCATACAAAATTCAAATGGTACATCAGCTAACCGAAGATGACCCTGGTCGAAGAACAGAATTCTGCGAGACTATGACGGAAACCATTGCACGGTATCCTACCTATAACAAAAATATTTATTTTAGTGATGAATGTACATTTTTTCTTAACGGTAATGTGCATAGACAAAATTGTCGTTATTGGAGTGACACCAATCCTCGCTTCTTCCGGAAAACTCGTACTCAATATCCATAAAGATTTAACGTTTGGGCTGGGATAAATCATATTGTGAGGCCTCTATTCATCGAACAAACTTTAACCGAGGAACTGTATTTGGATATTTTGGAAACTACTATTGACCCTCTAATCACCGGAATTTTCGAAGCGAATCCCAATGAATTCGATACTACTCCAGACAAGTTAGGAATTATTTAGATTGGTCGTTGGATTGGCCGTCAGGTCCTGTGGAATGACCAGCTTGCTTGCCAGATTTGACACCTTTAGATTTTTTTATGGGGCTATTTGAAGCAAAAGGTGTACGAAACTAAAGCTGCTTCAATATTGGATGTACCGCTGTGAATAACAAATATTTGTAGAAATATCGATGTTACTATGTTTGAAAATGTTCGACGAGAAATTACGGAGCGGCTGTTATGTGTCAAGAAGTTCAAGGCTACCATTTCCAGCAACTTCTAAACTGAACTCAATGTATTTATTCGAATTATCAAGTTAAATGTCAATGTATTCAGGTAGTTATTAAATGTACCACCATTTTGTAGTAGAAAGGCATTGACTTTATATGCTAGGGTTATTAAGTAGCTTGAAAATGATGTGCCACAAGACCCCCGTTTTCAAATAACTTTTTTCTAGCGGCCATCTTGACATTTTCATCTGTCAATTTGACTCTAAAATATGGCATCCACGCATCAATTTCATTACCTCAAGCTTTAATTTTTTGAATTGATCCGTTCAAAGAATCAAAGGGGAGGGGGATATTAAAGAAAAGCACTGAATATGCCTCTCTTTGTTAGTTTTACGAGATGTTTGGGAATTAGAGTACTTTTATTGATAAAATTTACTACTACGCAAAACCGATTTTTGAGCACCAAATGATGAGACTATTTGCATTTATTGTAATTCAGATCCAACATATACATACCTTAATTCATTTGAACATGTTTGGAGCTGTGATACGTCGAAAAATGTTTAGGATTATCTCAATTGGCAGTAAGAGATATTGGCTTTGAATGTATTTCTAAGTAGGTACTACGAAAAACGAAGTGTTATAGTTAGTCAAGAAAAACGTCACCACTAAAAAGCATAATTTCAGTAAAAAAAAAACAGCGCACGTGCTTCAAAATTATGCCTCATCAATAAAAGATCTGTCAAGGTATAAACGCTTTTATTTATTTATTTTTTTCTTATGTCAGAAGTTAAGAGAAGTATAATACGTGAAGATGTGACACGTCATGTTAACGTCTGAGCAGTATCATTTACAGATTTTTCTAGATAAAGCAGATCATTTTGATGGTCCAGTGAGATATAATCTAAGGTTTTACAAGGCCTTTGCTCTTCTTGTTCAGACATAGTAATTTTTGATGTCTAGAGCCTATCCCGTAGTTTATTTTGAATTATAAATGTTTTTTCGACAATGCCAATTTTGATATGGATTCGACCATTCCACTTTCACATATGAGACTTTCAGTCTAGATGTTAATGTTTCGTCTATTTCCAGATGCTAGAGGCTTGAGCGAGCCGTCCCGCATAAAGGCCCTGAGGTACCAGATCCAGATAAATCTGGAGGACTACATCAGTGACAGACAATATGACAGCCGTGGCAGATTCGGTGAACTGCTTCTGACGCTACCTCCTCTACAATCGATCACGTGGCAGATGATCGAGCAGATCCAGTTTGCCAAACTTTTTGGGATGGCTCACATTGACAGTTTGCTGCAAGAGATGCTGTTGGGAGGTAAATTTCTTATAGTTTGCGCTTAATGCATGTTTCTTGCTGTTAAATCTGATCGATTTGCTAATAAGTACGTAGGGGTTTTGTGTTTAAACAAAATGAACAAGTTTGTAAAAATAACATGTGTTTATTTTTCATTCTTATAAAATAATATTTTTAAACTACGCCTTCGGAAGTCTCTACAGATGATCATTCTTTAACTTAAATTTCCAGTAGTCTTCAGGTAAAAATGCATCCCAATTTCACATCAACTTGAGAATTGCCAAAATGTCAAGCAAGGTTAGATCGCATGATCTTACAAGCTGGTAGACACTAGTATTGCTGAAAGTCAAATTGACAATTCCAATTCCAAAGCTTCCTGTTAGTATGCCACGTGGCCTTATCTTGTTGAAAGAACATATTGTTATGTTATCCGTGCAGTTGCCAGAGTTACCTTTTTACAAATAAGCTGATCGGCTTCTTTAGGAGATTGAAGCTACTGGGAGAAATATAATTAGCTGTCAGCCAGAATAGACCAGTGGGTGATCCTGATTAATCACTTAAAAAAACCTAACCTAATCTTAGTAATTTTCTGGAAAAGATGAGAATCTGGATCCAGATATTTCTGAACCAAAAGGTTGAGTATTTCAAATCATGTACAAAAAGCCAAACTTTAGTCCTCTTTTTTCATGCACTATTGTGTTTCCAATGTGCCAATCGAGTCACTACAAGATCTTAGTCTAGATTAATCTTTAACGGATCAAAAGTTGGCGATTGAATATTGTCTATTGTCTCTATAGCTCTAAGTCGCATTCCCAATCACCTTCCTTGCCCTGAATTCACTATAATAACCCCCAGAACCTATTCTAGGCACCTCAGTGGAACCTGCATCAACCATTGCAGTAGTACCAACAGCAAACACGCCCCAGCCTCCGCCAGCTCAAAATGTGAATGGAAGTAGTTATCATAGCACAAGCGATTCAGCAGATAGTCCAGGTACTCCAGGAAGCCCACATGACCATCTGATCAATGGCGGTGGAGTGGCCAGTCCTCAAGGGGGAAATGTGTTGGTGATGCGCGATGTGACTTCACTGGACGATGGGCATCATATGCCGTATCCAATGGCGTTCAAGGAAGAGCCTGTTAAGGAGGAGCACACTTTTTGAGAGGATTACCTTTGTGGAGTGGATCGTGAATCTACTATTGACAAGGTTTCCGTAGATAAATTAATGTTCGTTTTGATATTCGACAAAGTACATAGCATGTGTATGTTCCAATATGAAGCAGAAAGATTTGGGTGGTCACAATACAGCATACAATTACAGTGGCCATGATTACACTGTGGATAGCTCACCACAGGGAGCATGGAACCTATATACCAGGAGAACCGGAGAAATGAGTAAAAAACGACCCCAAAACCTGACGCCTGACTGAAAGCGTAGTGATCAAAGCGAGTTATAGTACGAAATCCGGCCGATGTTTTTTTGATAAATTTTATTTTACGAATGATGAATAAAAGTAGAACAAATTACAGGAGGGCAAAGGCATGTTTCATTTTTACAGCACGAACAACATCGCCGTAGTTTCTACTCGTATATAGGTTCCATGGTATTGTGCTGTTCTGTGCGTTAACACCACCCTTTGCTAAGAGGTGGCGTAACACCAATTTTTCTTGAGGGATGGTCGAACATCGCCAAACGTGTAACTACTCCAAAAACTGTTTGAATAGCAAGCGGTAGCAAATATTCTCAGGGAGGGAAATTTTAAAATTATACACAAAACCATGCCAAATATGCGGATTTTAAAATTCCGGGTTTACAAGGAAGCCATCTCCTCTGCGGGCGTCCACGTTACTGTTGCGTCACCTAGTAGCACACAGTGGTGTAACCTTAACACGCTGTTTGACTCATGTCACAATTTAAACGTCAAAAAATAGCATATGCCGAAATGTGAGCACCCAAAGAGCTTCATTCTCATATACTTGCTCTGCTACACTGAAATTTTGAGAATCTACAAAGACATTGCGACACAAAAGAAATGCTACATTTAATTTTACTAGTTTTTTTTTAATTGCTCACATTATTTTTGTGTCATATCTGAACAAAATTCAACATTTATTTCGAAATTACTTTGTACTTTTCAGTGGTAAACAATATATTTATTTTATTGTTTTTTATATAACCGCATAAGAATCATATTGATTGGTGCTGGTGCTGGATATTATCGTTTTATAGGGAAAAACTTTAATGCTATATTTGGTTATTAAATACAATATAATAGAACATATATGTTTTAATATACTCGTACTTAGTTTATTAGCAAGTGGTGCGATTTGTTCGTTTGTTGTAGTGTACGTCTTTGTTATAGTAGTCTTTGGTTATCTTTTTCTGGAGCTTAATTTCCCGATGTAAATATTTTTCCATATGACGGTGACGTACCTCAATCTACTTTTTTCTACACGATACATACAGCCACACGGGTCTCTCTGATAGTATGGCCAAATGGAATCACATTTTAGAACTGTGTGATCTCGGCGTGGTACAGGATCGTTCATAAGCGAAGAAGACAAATGTAACAACAATTTCTTCGAGTTCAAGTGCCGTGGATACTATCAGATGATAGATATTATTGTATGTTTTGCACCGCCAAAAGTAGTATTTCTATAATTTCGATACTTGGACGAGGGATGAAAAGTTAAAACTACGATAAACCTGTAACACTCATATGCATAAGTAAGTTCTGAGCAGCGGGGCTTTTACCCATGTCTCACTAACTTTTGCTGCATCTTGGAATTGAAACAGGCACTGTTTCCTCGTACTTCACAGGTTACACGTTAGGTTTGCGCGCTTGTAGGAGATATGCTGCTTGAGTTATCGATTTTAAGGTACTTTCAAGTTTTTTTTTATCTAATCTCCACATCTTCAAATGGAGATGTTGGCTATAAAAACAACTAAACGAACCATCGATCCAAAGTACCTGTTTTGGACAGGGGAAAGCTTTTATAGCCACTCTGAGGCAGAAAGCTCGACAGTCAGTATGTCTTGCCTGAAGTGTGAGACTCTCCAGAAACGTGGCGTACTCACTAAAGCCCCTGAGTCGTTCGCTACACATCCCACCACGGAGAAGGTAGGATCAACGTGGTGGGTAGCGTTGCGTTAAGTTTTCATACCATGTCGGAAGTAATTAGTAACCCTCTCCTCATCTCAACCCAGCAAGCAAAATGCTATTGTTGGTTCGTTGGTCTGTTCTTCTCATCCTATGCATTGCTCAGATAATCGGCCTACACAGTTGCCGATGCTTATAAGGTTTTTGGGCAGTGAGTCCATTGCCGAGCAAAAATTCTAGCTGTTTCTGGTAGTGAACTCATCTACTAAAATCAAGTTGATGGTCGGGAATATCCTCCTCATGATTGCAATATCCTTGTTCACGTGCTCCCTCTCACCCCCTTCATGTAGCTATCGAAACGAGCATGGCTATTGAGGAACTGTTCAACATAGTAATATATCCACACTACATCCTTGACAATAATTCAGGTTTTGCTGTATGGAATCGGTCGTTTAATCCATGCAACTTAATAAGTTGCATCCCTTCTCTCCTGCCATCTAACGTAAAGTACCTTGCAACCAATAATTCAAGCAACACGTCTGCAGCGATGAGATCTGACAAGGATCTGGACCCGATGTGCGACATGTGTGATTTGACACCTCTTCAGATCTGCAAGGTACGTTAGTTATATAGGGTGTTCCATCTGTTCCTTATTTTTTAATCTAAAAAACACACTTTTTATGAGTGAGAAACTGAACTTTTTATTGAATATTGTAGGTCGGTATTTGCCATTTATGTATGGAATATAAAATCGCGCGTATGTCCACTGCGGCTCCGTTGATATGCCATCATCCGAACATCAACATTTTCTATGACTTTTTGCAGTATTAGCGGGTCCACGGCCGCGATTTCGGTGCGAATGTTGCACTTAAGGTCTTGAATCGTGCATCAACACCTTCCAATTTCGGCAAAAAAAATCCGTTATCATACCGCGATAACTTTCGGCGGTGACCGTAACGGTTTTTTCTTCTTCATCCTCGAAAAAGAACGAAGACCAGAAGACCATAATCCGCACCAAACAATTACTCTCTGATCATGGAGAGGTTGTTCATGGATCTCATATGGATTTTCCGAACCCCAAATCCTACAGTTTTGCCTATTTACGTGGCCACTGAGGTGAAAATGTGCCTCGTCTGAAAAGGGGACTTTAGCCGAAAATCCCCTTCCTTTTTTCAAGCATCCATTTAACAAAGATACGCCATTGCTGATGATTCGCTGGCTTCAATTGTTGAGCTACTTGGACCTTGTATGGGTGTAGGTGGAGATCAACATGTAAAATCCTCCATAATGTTGTTGACCTGATGTCCAACTCTTGCAAACAGTGTCTTATCGAACTCATGAACACTTTCACTCACAGCTGCCACTGATTCACGTGTACGTACAGGGCGGGCATGTTGATATGTTCTACGACCTCCAACTGGGCCAGTTTCCTCAAAACGATTGGTAATCTACCGAATTCCACGCTCTGAGGGACGATTATGTCGACCAAATTCATCACGATGTTTGCGAAAAGTACTTTTTAAAGATCGTCCGTTTTCGTAATAATTCTGGATGACCAAAATGCGTTCTTGAGTTGTTAAAGAATCCGTAATAACAAATGGCAGACCTGTGACAGTCCCTATGTACCAAATACGTGGCAATTGACACATTTAACATGTCAAAAAATGTTAGCTGAAAAAAGAAGCAATAGATGGAACACAATTTACAAACAGTAAAAATTTAAGTAGAAAGATCCGGGGAATAACCCTACTGCTCAGAACCTGCTTCACAGTAGTTTTCACCTCCGCGCTCCATCCGTTTGCCTCGAAGATATCGGTATTCCAGAAGTACTTTCTAACAGTACCCGCGGGAATGGAGTACGAAGAAATTGCTGCCATGAGTAGCAAATTTTGCCAGTCACGCTGGCAGTACAGAGGCCAGCCGACAGCACTTTTGCAAGAATAAATTATATTGTCATTGTCAGTTGCACTTTGAAAAAGTCTACCGTTGTGGCCGAAACGCTTGTAAAAAAGTAAGTGGCATGTGCTTTCATTTGGAGTTCAGCATGCAGGTCCTATCAGTACGATAACTACGTGACAAGTACCAGGTCGTACATTATACAATCTTAGATAGCTGTAATTCTTTAGGAACAATAATCTTTTGTAACGTTCGAGTAATTGCAGAAGGCTAGTGATGAAAATAGCAGCAGCCATATGTTAGATTCCTTTACCTTTTCCATCTACACGGCTTACAAAAAACACATACTTGGTAAGTGCGCAGTTGAACCAGATTTCCATACATAGACATTAAAATACAATGAAATAAAAATATACATAAAAAATAGTTAGCCACTAATTCCAATTGTTTGGTGTTTGTACATACTATTTTTTTGATATAGAATTAACATTGCAGTTGTTGAGAGTTTTTGATTCAATAATTGTGCAATTCCTGACGTTGCATGTCAAACTACGTAGACCTTTCTTTCTTTAAATAAACTTACTATATACATGTTATTCATATTGTAAACGTGGAAGGTAAAGGTATATTTCAGATGGTGTCTAGAGACAATAAGCTGTTGATCTAAAATCAACAAAATAGATGTAGATGTAGGTAATTATAATTTGCATATGCTCAAAACTATGATGCTGTGGATGGTGCCTTAAATGTACATAAAATATATTTGTTATCAGAATTGATTTAAATATTTCAATTCGGTTTGTTATGAACTCTAATATATTTCATATGCTTGGTAGAAATAGAATGACGGTATAGTTTTGCATCATTTTCATTTCACAGAGATTTTGTAGTCAGGACGAATATTGGAAAAAAATATATTGTAAACAACTGGAATAAAGTTGAAGTCTTCAAAATTGAATATCATTGGGTATTGAAATTAGATTATCAACATAATAAGACCCCACAAAGAAATTTAACAATCTCTAATGAATGATTATCACTTTTTCATGGTTGGCATATTGTAAAACACGTTTACTCAACTCATTGTCCCCAATTTCAAAAATGTATATCTTTTTACTGTGCCATCATCTTCATTACTTGTCATTTTATTTTTCAAAATAAAAAATCAGCACTTCAACCTCAATCCAGCTAGGTGTAAGTTCTTTATTTATTCTTTTTTGTGCCCCAATATATGTTCTAACTACTTTTATTTATTATATAATCATCGATCATCAGTAATAATTTATTCATCTTATGAAGTTTGAAATATATTGCAAACTTTTTGTTGAGTAAATCTAATCAAATTCCTAGTTTACTTGCCAGAATGCCGTTTGCATTCATATTTTAAGTGTAGCTCTTAAGACGGATGTGGTGGTAGATTGCTAAAACAGGCCAGCTTTATCTAAGTAGTAATAACAATCCTGACTTCTATTCAAAGTTCTCTGCAAATTTTTCAAACCGCCAAGAATAAGTTCTGAGGGCAGGTATATCGTATACCAATTTGATAACTAATTTTATTTTTAATATTCTAGTACAAACTCGTTTTTAACATTGTTATTTTCTAAAATACATTGTGAGTGATCAGTAAAATATTTAAGAATATTTCATATAATACTGTTACTGAGATTGCACTGTACCAAGATCAAACGAGATACTTCATTGTTTCATTATTTAGCTTGCAGTATATTCATGAAACAACTTTGAATAGTTTCGCTGGATTTTAACCGTGCACATTTGAAGTACTGCTCAAATTAATTGTATATAGTTCAATTTTAAGTTCCCATTTCATATATTGATGTTACTCTCGGTTTATCAATATGCCATATAGCTCTGTATCGAATAACCGAAACTTACATCCGTCAATATCCTGTTGCTCATTAAATCGCCTTTTTTGTCTCGCATAATCCTAGGTTGAGCTAGATTTGCTAAATACCGTCAAAATGTTCAAAAATCACTATTGCATGTTCACCTATTCATCAAATCAGACTATAATTCTATGATATGAACGTACCCATAGAGCAAATTTTTGATATCGAGGTACACATATATGTAATGCAATTTCTAGTGTTTTATTTCTATTTGCTATGACCCAAATTTAGGTAGACGTAAGCGTTTATGTTATATAGTTATTGTTAAATGATTTTCCTGTTTTGTACAGTTTTTGTTTTTTAGACTAACATAGGTGACTTTTTAAAGGCTGGAGGAGGCAATATTAAGTTTGTATGATTATAATAAATATTTCTATTGTTTAATCGCTTTATTCCATATATACCTTTTCGTCTTTTTATTCTTCTTTCCTCTATGTTTTTTGGGTCTATTACTCGAATAATTCAATTTTCTTATCGTTTCAAGTATTTATCAACTTGTATTGACATGTTATATTTTTCTGCCACATGAAATGACAATTTATTATAAGCCGCAACGAGGTCACTTTTATTTTATTTTGTGCCTGTGCATGTAGAATTGTGCACTTAATTTTCGTGCCCTTGGATTGCACACTATCTGGATCGTGTCCCTGAATAATCAGGTATTGCATATGTGACGTGCCAAAATCACGTAACCTTTTTTTTACTATTTTGATCATTTCCCAGTAATTTGAGTTTCACTTTATTAATTAATCTTAGAGTACCCATTCCTAGGCCAAACCTTTTCAATGATTTTCTCTTGGTGAATTTCTAGTTTATTGATTGTATAATTTAGCACGTATTATATGTTTCTTTCTCAGTGATTCAGTATTGTGTTGAAAAAAAATCTGGTTCTTCTCCGTCATTTGGTTTCCTATCGGACATACCTTCTTCAAGGCCACTCATTGAACCTTTCTTTATAAAGTTAGGTGTTTCGTGTCAGTCACTCTCCTCCTGAGATTGTGGCGTGTGCGCTATTATTTTGTTTAACCGCCAAACTCTGGGATATTAGGTGCCGAACACCAGTTTGTGGAGTAAGTACCCCTTCATATTGTACCTTACGTTTAGTTGTTTCAGTTTGGGTGCTACCCCGTCCATTTTCTTATGTGATTTCAATCTTCAGCAAGGGAAGGCACTGCGGAGAACCACCACACACTCCTCCAGCTTTGTTCGTAGCTGTTTAGCAGTTGATATGGCCGGAAGCCACCCCTTCCCCTTCACAAAAAAACCCTGTTCACATCAAGGTTTTGTGTGAATTCGGATATTTGTTTTGATTAAGTATAGTTAGTTTGATTCTTGTCTCTATAGGTTATTGGTAACTCAGAATTGTTTATTATCGTCGTTTATCTACTCTGTGCATACCCTGCTACTTCAAGGAGAGGGAGCGTTGTCACGTAACCTTTTTCTTACTATCATGATCACTTACTAGTAACTTCATTCTCGGCCACACCCATTTCAATGATTTTCTTTTGGTAAATTTATTGATTGTATTACACGTATTATACCTTACTTTCTCAGTGATTTTGTATTGTGTTGAAAAAAAAACTCTGTGGTTTTTCTCCGTTATTTGGTTTCCTATCGAACATATATTCTTCAAAACCACTCAATGCACCTTCCTTTATAAAGTTAGGTGTTTCATGTCAGTCACTTTCTTCCTGAGATTGTGGAGTGACCGCCATTTGTTTAACCTCCATATTCTAGGATATTAGGTACCGAAGACCAGTTTGTGGAGTAGTACCCCTTCATATTGTACCTTACGTTTAGTTGTTTTGGTTTGGGTGCTACCCCGACCATTTTCTTATGGAATTTTCAGCGTGGGAAGGCATTGCGGAGAACCACCGCACACTCCTCCAGCTTTGTTTGTAGCAGTTTTGCAGCTGATATTGCCGGAAGCCACCACACACATCCAAATGTTCACTTCTCTGCAAGAAAAAATGCGCACTTTATTTTCGTGCCCTTGCAGTGTCTCTGAATAATCAGGTATTGCATATATAATTTTTTTGTGCCTCTGCAAGTAATATTGCATACTTTATTTTCGTGCACTCGCACTGCTCATTGTTCTTTTCGTGCGCGCATTTTGTTGCCGTTTATTAATTAAAATGAAAGAGGTGCACAAGCTGATCCCTAACAGAGCTACAGAACTTGCATTAAGCCTTACCTTATATGAAAAATATGCAACCACAGTTAAAAACTCGGAAGAGATACCTAACTTGAACGAAGTAAAGAGTATGCTTAAGAATTACAAAAAATTGTTAGAAAATTTGAATGAGGTACAATCACTTGTTGGGCAAATTTGCAGTGTGGAGCAATTATCCCCGAACTCGATGATAATGATTCATTTGAAAAGCGGTTTTATACCGTTAAAAATGTATCTTAAGGCTTAACAGTTGACGTATAAGATAAAGCATCATGTCAATCTCGAGAAATTAATTGTTGTTGATCCTTCTCACAATATTTTTATTCTAAAAATGAAATTGCCAACCTTCTCGGATGACTTCAAGAATTTTTGTGCACTAGAGCAGGCGCGCAGGTAGAAGTCTAACTTCCAGGACGCTTAAAGCGTCTTTGCTACTCCGATTTTTGAACTTGCCTAAGGTTAGTAGAACTGGAAAAAGCCTCCTTCCACAATCTCTATACATTAGGGTCAAAGGATTTCGACATGGTTAGAATGGGAGGCTGAAGCCAGGCGGGTCTATCTGGCATGCACATCACGCGACGGCATCATGCAAGAGAGCTCTGAGGAGCAAAGCGCACTTGCGTAGCGGTAGAGGAGAGCTAGAACGCCGACAAACCGCCGTTGCAAAAGGGTCCAGAGACTGTCGGTTAGAGAAGAGTAATTTATCAGTCGGACAGCCTTTCTCTGAACAGCATCGAGCCTGAATAATGTAGTTGGGGTGGCAGCACCCCAAATATGTAAGCATTACTCGAGGCTAGGTCTTATCTGAACCTTGTACAGAGTGAGGGGCTCATACCGAGAAAAGTACTTCTTAGCCGCTATAGACAAGATGTGTTCATGTCAGAACAAGTTCTTGGTGATCTGGACCGAAATGAACGACTTTTTGATAGGTCTTTAAAAACGATTTCATTTGTATTATCTCCAATAATCCTGACTGAGTATTAAAAATTGCAAATTTTAGACCATTCTCTTGACGGGTATGGCCGAAGAGCCATCATTGATGGAGTGGAACGATATTCTACTCCCTTGAGAACTGCATGGACTACCTCGCAATTTTTTGGGTAAAAAGTTTGAGACAAAACATTTTTTTTAATAGCCAGTCATTTTTCGTCCATCCTTAGTCTACCAACAGTCCAAAAATAAACCTATTACATTTTGCTTCAATATTAGATAGTTTGTTGAACTCAGTGACACCAAGATTGAGAAACAATAAATCCAAAAATCGTAGCATTATTATTAATATATTATATTATTATACGCCCAAATTTACGATTTATGAAATTTTGCCTCCCAAACAATGCGGTTATCGAAGGATATAACACTGCAGGTGTCCTACTAGATTTAACCGATGACATTGTTAGAGTCTGGGATCAAGATGATCACATCATTAGTTCTTCTTGACTTCTCTAAGGCATTCCATACCACAAATTATTTGTCGTCTTCTAGTAGCCAAGTGTAAATATTTTCGTTTTTCTGATTCTTCCTCAAATATGATTCAGAGCGTCTTAGGTAATCAATATCAAGGGGTACACATTGACATGTCTCTATCTCCAAAATGCCTCATTTTGTTCGGAGTGTCTCAAGGGTCTGTACTTTTGCCATTTCTATTCATTTTGTATATTTCTGATCTCCACGCAGCTGGTACATATTGTAATATCCAATGTCATATTTAAAGTGCCGAGTCTGAGGTAAATGAGAATATAAAATCAATTAGTATGTATTCAAAGAATCATAACCTTCTGTGGAACCGTTTTAAATCGAGAGTTATTTTTTTCGCCAAAACTGTTTAGAAGTGATACCAAAAGAAATTTTGAAGTAAAATTAAATGGTGAGACTTTAGAAGTGAGTCCGTGAAAAACTTGGGCGTATAACTTTAGATGAATGTCTAAATTTTATACCACATGTAAATAATATCAGTCAAAGTTGTTTTTCAACCTCAGTTATATCTTAGTAAACAATTTCTTGACTTTAAAACTAAAAAAAAAATTGTGTGACTTGGGTAATGTTCCAAATTAGTTATTGCGATTTAGTTTATCTACGATTTCTTGACTCAATATAACTAACACGTCTCCAGAAAATCAAAAACTCATATTGCAGATTGATCAATAATTTGAAAAAATATAATATCAGCCCTTTTTTTCAAAGACATGACGTGGTTAAGAGTAAACGAACTGTGTGAGCTACACTTAGTTACTTACACCCACAGACTTTTGCTACCATCCACTCCGCCGTTTTTACGAAATAAGCTGATATCTAGAAGCAATATTTATTCTAGGGACATTCGATTCACTGAAAGTATTGAATACCTCTCACTTATACGTTATATACATCATATTTGTATTCACCTATATTTTTAACTTGTAATCTCTCAAATGTTTTTATGTTTTTTTGTATTGCTTTTAGTTTTTTTTTGTTAAGTGGCAGAGTAGCATTATGCGCAAGTTCGCCCCCTAAATAAAGACGATTTATTATTATTATTATCACATCAATGATACTCGGTTGAAATGTGGTTGACCTATTGTCGATAGTACCAATTGAAACTACTCCAGATATATGAACAGAGGCATCTTGCTTCGCTTACAACAAATGTATGAACATTTATTCATAATGGAAATATATCCCTCAATGTAAAAACATATATTACTTCATATACTTCTGACAATTTTCCTACGGATTTTTTCATTATTTACAAAGATTTATGTTCTTTAGTATGGTGGGTCCCCTGTTTGCTGTACCTCTACAAAATTGTTCATCAGACACGACTCGTAATCAAGAGCATAGTAGCATCTTAGGTGTACAGCCAATAGACCAAAAGCTAAGAGCGTTAATACCATGATACACGCATAATACGTCGATTTTCGTGAACCTCTGAAACAAACAGAAAATTTTCTTGAAACCTCATTTTGCAGAGTTTTCAACGATAGCAAAGAGCAAAACAGATAAGGAAAAAGTAATCACCCGCTCTATTCTTTCATAAAAGTGGAATATTCACATGCATAATGCACAAAAATGCATTTTTTGACAAAATAGAAACTGATAACAGTCATTCCTATACACAACATGAATCATTCGAAAAGTAGTAAGAAAACTTCTATGAAAAAAAGTGACATACTACGTGAATTGTCCTACAGGGATACATACTTATCTTCAATATTCTTTCCGCAGTTCTTTGGGCATTCTACAGGTTTATCATTTTCACATTCATGGTGTTCGGTTTGAGATTGTTTTTCTTCAGTGCTGTAAAACATTTAAACTTTGAAACATGGTTAAAACTTCGTGCCTATGTTCAGAACCGCAATTACTATATAATATATTATACGAGGTTAGTAAATTAGGTGATGACACTGGCAACGTAGCGTTCAATCTAGCAACACAAATGAGTGACATCAATTTCAAGCAACGGTGTGCTACCAGGTTTTGCTTCAGACTTGGGCACAGTGCAACGGAAACTGTTGCAAAACAGGTCTACGGAGGTAGTCTTTTGTGAAGAGCCCAGAGTTTCCGTAGGTGTACGGCATTTTAAGATTGAATTTGAACCACGAAGCGGAAGGCCTTCATCTTCAAGAACCGGTGAGAATATCGACCAAATGCGGGATCTTGTCGGTTCAGATCGTCAGTGATATACAGAATGATCGAAAAAGAGTTCAATTTGACTCACACCACCGTTAATCAGATCAAGAACAACTGGGCGTTGCTTCACGATTATTCTCCTTGTCACATAGCAATGTCACAAGAGTGTTTGGCCAGTAAAAGGATTCCAGCGGCTCCTCAGCCTCCGTATTGGCATGACTTGAGTTCTTATGACTTTTTTCTCTTATCGAAGTTATAAAAACACCTCAAGGAAACTCATTTTGGGTCAGCCGAAGACATTCAAACGGCTGTAACCGACCAGCTGATGGCTATTCTAATATCGGAGTTCTGGCACTGCTATGAGGATTGAGGAGTGGAAGATCCGTTTCCAGCGCTGTATGGCCTCAGAATGAGGTCGTTTTGAGGATGAAAATATAAAGTTTTAATTATAATTTAATAAGAAATAAAAAATGCAGCCTTATTAGTAAGTTTACAGACCTCGTACTACATTTACCATGGCAGACTAATAAACTTGAAGTTTGTGATGTACTGCACTACTTTTTAACGACAAAATTGTGGAGCTTCTGTATCATCGCTTGTGTTGCGGGTTAAGAATATTTTAGCATCTGAATAAGGATCAAAATAAAGATAAAATTGTAATTATATTTGAAAAAAAAGAAATAAAAAAAGGATCAGTCTCATCACTCAATTTACAGGCCTCATATGCAACGAGCTTGTCTGCCCGAAAAAAGCTACAAAAGCTTTTCGCTGAACAAAAACGATGCAGAACTTACATTATGTTCTTGCTATTTATTTCACTTCTGATAGATTGCACGTGATCAAATATTAATCGCCAACATTTTGCCATTCTCTTCTCACACATAATAATTCCTAGGAGACCGTTTGACTTGATTATCTCTTGCAACATAAATCTAACATCTTCCAGTAACACGAACACCGGATTGATCGGGTCAGTCGCGCCTATACATCTAAAATGCCCAAAAATAGCTGAAACGTAATTCCTTCCAATAGTTTCATGATTTACGGATAAGGAATTTTCATGAAGCAGCTTGGCATAGTTTTAGTTTTTCAGATTTTATTTATTTGATAGGAAACAGTGTCATGTGCAATGTCAAGCGAATACCTTGCTATGTCACGTATTCTTCAAGGATCTAATTAGGGTCCTCTGTTATTTATTATTTTTTTAAATGATATTTCTGAATTTATGGATGTTGATTTTCTTATATATGCTGACGATGTGAAACTTTTCGGTAGAATCTCTGACATTGTAAGGGTGGACAACTGGTTTGGTTAAAACAGGTTTTTTTTTCGTTTCAAAAGGTGGCATTAAACTTGTCAGACCTATCACAGTTAATGACTTACAAGTCACACTTGACAGAAAACTTTCCTCCTCGTGTCACACTAAAAATGTTGTAACTGCAAGAAATACTTGTGATTTACATAACTCTTTTCCAGTGAAAATACTGTAGTACGTTTATGTAAGATTCTGAGCTTGAGTATGCATCCCCTCATCATCAAATTTATATTGACGGCTTAGAGTACATTCAATGAAAGTTTTTAAAATATCTTTAATACGAGGCTTATTCGATTGAAACCCATTGGTCAGGTTAGCCATGGAAACAACTGACGTTTTGAAATGTGTTCGTAAACATGATACTGTTCACTTCCTCTTATTTGTATTTGACATGGATTTTAAGTATTGTGGCCTAAAAATGGCGTTTGTTGTTAACAATTCGTCCTAATATAATGAGCGTGATGTCGTTCAATTTTTGTGTGCGGAAAGTTTGCAACTATTGCAGATTCATATGCGAATGCCAGCGGTGTATGGAAACGCATGTTTTTCGTATCCAAGTGTCTCTTTTAACCGCTAATTCTCTTCAAGCTCACTTGTGATCTCTCAGACGTGTTGAAATGTCCTTTATAAGATAAAAACATCTCTTGTGCTGTTTTTCGCACTCATATTTATGTTGTTTCAGTCTTTCCATAATATCCTCCATGTTAAGGTTCATCTGGAGCGTTAGTGATTTAAATATCTTTTCGGTGTCTTCCTTCGATAATTGCAACCTAAAATATCGAACGTAGCACTTTAGACCATCAGAAAATTATGAAATACGAGTCTTACTCAGGAGAACCCTCGTCGAGGCCCAGTTTCTCTAAAAAGTCGTCTGTCAAGTATGGGAAGGCAACTACTGCTGGTAAGTTTTCAGGCAGCTGGAAGAGTAGAGAAATGTGTTTAGTCTTAAGCGCTATAAAATGTTTGTGCTGAAATCACAAATGTTGAGCGTCCTATGATAACGAAGTTTCACCATACAAAATGATTATTTATTAGGCCACATATTGCAGAGCTGCATTCTGGAATCTACGGACAATTACAAATGCTTCACGGTATGCTTGTGGGATGTTTGGATGTTTTGACATCCTGATCTTCATTAGGAGATCAGGAAGGGTCGATAAACATGAGTTGGTACACTTGTGGTCGGAAAAAAGACTCCGCCTCTCCACTACTACTACCACTGCCGAACAAAATGTCTAAACTAATACATGCCAGTTGTAACAAAAGTTACGGAACGGTTTGTATTGCTCCAGGTAAGGTATCTTTTAAAAAGATCCAGGTCAGGTCTCAATCTCTCTCATTGGGGAGTCCAACGGTGACCTTGGATTTGACCTCGAACCTCACGTTCAAGGTTATTCCGAGGTTAAATTTTGTTTACTAAACAGAGAGACCCCTTTTTTACATCGACAATCGGAAGAGCTGAAAATTCCACGTCTCACAATGGACTAGAACACAGAAAAGCTGACAAAAAATTCAATTTTGACGGCATCTATACGATTTTCAGCACAATAGGGTTGTTTGGGTCGCTGACTTTAAATCTGGTTTGTATTTATTTGGCAATTGAAGTTCACTTCAAGGTCATAGCAAGGACATTTAAAAAAAAGCAGAGAAGTGGAGGCCAACCGCATGTCTGAATCACAGATCAATTAGTTGCTATAAAGGCATCTGAAAGTCATTGGAAGGTCACTTCAAGGACGAATTCCAAACTAGTCCAGTAGCGGAGTCCAGACGCAGGTCTTATAGATTTTTGCGGTCGCTGAGATGAAATCAGAGATCAGTTTGTCTCTAGAGAGGCATTTCAAGGAAGTTTTTATACGACTCAATGGGCATAATATGGCAGTTATAAGTTTTATTTCTCAATAGTTCATGAGAGTTAGCAAAAACTGACACTACATTTTATTTGGCAGTACTTCAAGGTTCACAAACAAAATTTAGTTCAATTGAGACAATGGGTTAAGAATAGTAATAGGTTTAATTCACGGTGAGCATGCGAACAATAATCACAAATTTTTTGTTACATCAAATGAAAGTTTGTACTCTCTTTATTATGATCGAAATTCAGATACTTTCAACACACAATACAAGAGATGATATAGAAACTCTTAAATTTGCCGTCAAAAGTACTACCGAATCAAACACCACAAAGTTCCTGTTAAAGACTCTGCCATGGTGAACGTAGTGTAAGCAAAGCTCTGACTCCATGGCCAACCATTGTTTATGGTATTAGCTTGAAAATAGGTAATAATTTTCATTCATTTTCAATACATAGATAGCCCACTGTGGTCCGGATGATTATGAAAATCTAAGACCGACATCATCTCCTGATGTCGAATAAAGGTCAAATATGCGAGGTTAGGGAAAATTTCCAGGACTTTAGTAGGACTATTGAGAAAAAATCAAGATCAAATCTTTAGTAACTTGTAATGATTTCAATTTTGACCTTGGACTTTACCCTGAGCTTTAACTTCAAGGTCATAATAGTACATTAAACTCAACCTTTTTGCATTGCCGGTATCAAAATGGGGGGTACTAGTTAAAAAAATGACCTTCCCATGGCTTTAAGGATGTTGTTCAAAGTTGAATCCAAGGACACCATTAAAATCCTTGTTCAGATTTACCAAAGACATGTAAGTTTTTCAATTAATAAATAATCCTTCTAGACTTCTAGAAATTTTCCCTAGCCTCACAAATTTGACCTTGATTAGACTTTTGGAGGTGACTTCGACCTCAGACTTTAATACTCGTACGTACTTGGACGTAGAATTTGCAGTTGTATCGATTGCCAGTATCAAAAAATGCTTTCCATTTGAAAATAAAAGTTGGCCTTGAAACAACCTTGAAAGTTAGACTCAAGGTTAAATCCAAAGTAGGTAACCATTGATCTACTTACTCATGACTTTAAGTATGTGGTTCAGAGTTTAATTCAAAGACACAATTTAACTCCCTGTTCTGGGTTACTAAAGACAGGTCAATTTTCTCATCAATAAATAACCCTTTCAAACCACTAAAAATTTTCCCGAGTAACACAAATTTGATCGTGATTAGACTTTTTGAGGTGAACTCGACCTTAGATTTTAATACAGACTTGGACATAGATTTGCAGTTATAACGATTGCTAGAGTCGAAGAAGTGTTTTTCATTTAAAAATAAAAGTTGACCTTGAAAGTGAGGCGCAAGGTTAAATCCAAAGTTACTCCTTGTTGAAAGCCAGTAATGATCTTACCTTCACCTTTATCTAAAGTACTTGGAGCAATTCAGAGTAATTCAGTTTATTTTGTTACATCCGGTATGTATATTTACCAGTGCCAATGATGTATTTCCACAAATCTCGGCATCGCTTTCCGTTTCTCTGCCACTACGTACATCCGTTTGGTTGCCGCCATCTACTTTATTAACAAAGTTTCTATCGCAGAAAAAGCCCCGCTTTAGAGCCTCAATAGACTTTGCCAATCTAACAGCAGGAGAATCAGGGACGTTTGTGGTTTCGATATTATCACATGCAGAAGATGGAAGGGTGAATTTATTCAAAGTTTTCGAAGCACATCTGCAAAGGAATTGCTAGAAAAACACTCCAGTGCTTGATCTTAGAATAATAAGGTCTTACGTGGCAGGTTTATTTTGCAGCAATGATACATCGGTCAGGGTCGTCATTCTCGCAACTGGAGCTACAGTGATATGCGTGATACTATGTGAAGTGCCAGGGTAGGTTTTTTTGTTAGTAAAACCTCACTTATAACAAGGCCAATAGAACAATGTCATGCTAGACGTCAAACTGACAGAGATAATTTCAAAATCAGTAGTAGTCTTTGCACTAGTCACTCAAAAGGCTGCTCCGTGGGAGCAGAAAGAAGCCAATAGTAGTAGAAGATTTGAATGAATCAAACGTACGTTGTATCAAATTTAATATGCTAAAAAATATATCACGAGTGGGTTTGCTAAACAAAACCTGGCGAGAATTTATTGTTATTTATTTTGATTAATTAAGAACTGGAAAAAGACCTTTTCTTAAATGTTGCACTAATAAGCTTAACGAATAAATTTATTTTTTCTCTGGCGTGAATACTGGCTTGGCAAGTATAAACAGATATGCTGATAGCAGTTATTTGCAGAGATTTGTGTAATGATCAAATATTATATCAAAATAAGCACGTTTTCATTAGCAACACGATGATTTAAGGTTGTCTGCAAAGAACGGCTGGAATGATGGTTGACAGGTTTTTATGAAAAAAATTGATGCGAATGAAACTTACAACAAAACGCAGTTAGGGATTTAGGATCAGTTTTTTTGTTGTGATTAAGATAGAAAAAAAGAAAACTCAACGTACAAAGTTATTTTAAATGATCAGTTGAAAAATAAATAAAATGATAAAATAGTAACACCCTTTACAGCGCGGTATGTCACAGTTTGAGTTCTGTCAGTTGTTGTCAAATAGTATTACTATACAGGGTGTTAGAATACCATTATTATATTTGAATATTCTATAGGCTTTCTACTTTCGAATTTATTTGTTAAACTTTTAATAAGAAGTAATTTTTTAATTTTTAGTCAATCATAGTCTAGTCAGGAATTTTTTAGCTAACACACCCGCAATATGTGTTTTAACATACCAAACAGATGGGTGAAGGTCGCTTCTAATTTGAATCTTAGACTATAATGTGATTATGCCACATCAAGTCCTTTTTAGCTATTGGACCTGAATAGTTGCTGGTACTGGTCCTGAAAGACGAAGTTGTGGATCGGTTGTATGAGACTTATCCTGTCCATATGATTGTATGACATGTATTGACAGATCTTCTTTATTGTAGAAAGCATTTTAATCACAAAGGTGATCTTTTTCGGTATAATGGGTACCATCATTATTCACCAGTTTTGAAAGGTTGGCAACTTTATAGACTTTGACGTGCTCGTTCATTTTGCTACCGTGTACTCCCCTCCGGCTCGTGTCGCCATATTGACAAAGCGGCGTTTATTTTCAATTTTTTTATTCCAACTGTTCCTACGGAAAAGACTAGCTATGTGCTAAGTTAAACAACAGAAACTTTTCTACAATATATGAGTTCAGCATTTTGTAGGATGACTAGATTTGGCTTATGATGACGAATGTTTACTAAAATACAAACATATGGGAAATTACTCGTAATTCAAGGGCTTGGTACGTTTTCGAAAAGTTTCAAAAAATATTGTTTGTATATGGCGACCGTAAAAGTGTTTTTACTTCGTAATCAAGTCCATTCTTTTTTTGAAGGAAATAGCTCTATATCAAGTTAAACTAGCTTGTAAACCAACCGTTGTGCGATGGTGCATTTCAAATTTGAAAAAAATGACTTGACCATTTTTCAATGATTCTGAGGATGCATTTATTAGGGATATACTATACAGAATCCTCAACAATCACAATAAGGTCAGAGATAAGAGTTAACACACGCCTCTGGACGCTGTTCTGTCTTATCAGTAAAGTACAGTGGTATACAGGGTTATCTCCATAATGACTTACATGTAAATCGACTTATTTATTGTCGAACTAACAAAAATTGCTGATTATCCAGTAATCAACTGTGTTCGAGCCCAATCTGAGATCTGCTTAGAGTAAATTTGAAAGTGAGTTTGTAACACCGTAAGTACATGTTATGTTAGGTTATTAAACTATTTCTTCGGTTATTACACAATGTTCCATTTGATAATCTTAGCATACTATCATCGACACATTAATTGCGGTTTAGGCGACATTCTTTCATTGGTGGGCTAATTTCTACTGCCATATACCAAAAAGGCACATTTATCAACAGTTATGGGATTTCAGTGGCGTCGCACAAATATTGTGAAAGGTTAAGTCTTCCGTCGACAATAATTCAGCTTGGTCGATTTTTTAGGCATACTGTAGCTGTTACGTAATACGCCTGTAGCTTGGAGCTCGAACACATATTGCTTGGTGATTTATTCTTGGTTAATACAGAAAGCGAGATGTACAGTACAGAATTTGGGAAGAATTCGCCTACCAGAAATTTAGCCTACTTCTGGCAGACCAACTGTACTAACCAAGAATTACTCCGATAGTAACTTGTGTTTGGTCCATTATTGTTACCACGTAATCCTAGAATGGAGGAAATTTCTAATTAGTGTGTCCCTTAATATCGTGTAAACCGGTCAAGGTGTCATTCTGCATGCCATTGTAAGAGTGTAGGTCAATGTCAGTATACATCTGACTTTTCCTATTTGGTGTTGAACTTGACAAGGTCAACCAATACATGAACTTAAATTTACATGTTTTAGATAAACATGATCAGTCAAAGAAAAGATATCATTGTACGAAAAAAAGGATTGGATTAGTTTCTTCAATCCATCATTATTAGTTAGTAGCAACAGCTAAACGGGTTTATTTATTTTATTTTAAATAAAAAATGGCGTCAAATATGCCAACTGATAACGCAACGCTGTTATCAGTTCATAACGGGTTGTGTTCAACACAAACTAAACTCTCTGAGAAAAAGGTCTGTTAAACATGTCCATACAATTAGTCCACAGGCACTCTTTCCCTGCTCTACCGGTAGTGCATCTGGCAACGCCGCCTTTTCCCGATACCTAATCCGGTCAGACGTGGCAGCGTGGCCACAGCGGAGGAACCACTATGGTGTGGCGCGGCAGTAATATGTGTAACACCAGAAAAATCTATGATCTGTGAAATATGTCGAATAGGTCTGCAGAATTACCAAGGTTGGGAGCGTATAAATAAATTAACATCAAAAAATTGAGATATACTTTTTACCTCTGAAATCCTTTTTAAAATAATCGGGATGCTTTGAAAAAAAAGTATGAGCGGGTTATATTTACTACCTTTTCTTCCGTTTTTAGGCCTTTTCCTCCGCCGCCACTGTACGCTTTTCAAAATCTACTAAAATAGTTTGTATTTGGCATCAAAATCCGAGAGGTACTTCTCAACTTATAGGATTACGACACAGACTGACCTATCTCCTAGATGGCGCTGTAGCTATATGCTCATATATTATACCAGGCTACAACGCTATCTTGTAGACTATCTGGGAGACCCCAATCTTTTCAAAGTAGATCTGTGATTGATTCGGGCGGTTTTTCACTTCATCTCTGGTAATTTTACGGACGCGTTAGCTATCTTCACTTAGAATGCGTTAATCAATGGTTAGACTCAAAGTTCGTAACACATTATTTATCCAAGTAAACCATTGTTCAATTGTTCAAAATGTTCATTGTTTCTTGCCATTCGTATTAGTTATCTTAGTGAAACATTTCATTGCAATCAAGTTACAAGGATCACTTAAGGCGCAGCATTCATTCTTTTCCTGTTACGCGACAGTGTGGTGGCCTTGCTTCTTGATAGTAAGTGCGTTCAACTGTTATAGATTTGATATTTATATTCTTTATGTAACGTTGGATGGATATTACTGTTGAAATCCGGCTCTCTACATAGTTTCAGAAGTAAAATTTGAGATTATTGCATTAGCACCATGCGATATATTCATTTTTCATATCGTTTTATGTTCCATAAGTCTCAGCCATCTATGAAAAACTGTCCAAATTAGATGCTAATAAAGGACATGGACGTGCTGGTGTACCTCCGTTGGTGGTTAAACATTGTAGCTTTCTGATTTCTAGACTTCTATTTTATATTTTTAATCTTTCGTTGAAAAGTGAAACTTTTCCGGAAAGTTGGAAAACAAGCTTCATTACTCCAATACTGAAATCTGGAGATCCTTCACAAGTCAAAAATCGACCTATCAGTAAACTGAGTTGCATTGGAATGGAATTTGAGAGCCTAGTATGTGCATTTTAGCCGCAAATTTGCAAAGTACTGTTATAAGCCAGCAGTTTGGATTTCTTTCAAACCGCTCCACAGCGTTAAATCTTTTAACATTCACAAACTATGTTTTGGAATCCTTGGAGGAAGTTATTCTGTTCACGTAGTTTATACAGATTTCTCTAATGCATTCGCTAAGGTCAACTATGCTTGATTAATAAGTTACATCGTTTAGGAATTGGCGGAGATCTTTTATCATGGCTGCAATCTTACCTTACTGACCGAAAGCAAATAGTGCGTATACAAAGCTTTCAATCAAATGAGATCGATGTGCCATCTGGAGTACCTCAAAGTTCACATCTGGGTCCTCTTCTTTTCAATATACACATGAATGATATTATATACCGTTTTAAGTCTGTTAGTTTTCTAATGATTGCAGATGATTTGAAATTATTCTTAAATATCAAATACTCATTTAATGGTCTTCAGCCATAACAGGGATCCGATTGATCATACTTGTACCATGAAAGGTTGTCCTCTAACTTGACCTTGAAATTATCCTGTATTACCCATATAAATATGATTGCTTCTAAATTTCTTGAACTGTTGGGATTTATAAAACGATGTGCTAAGGATTTTCATAATATTCAGTCATTTAAAACGTTGTTTTGTTCTTTGGTGAGGCCCCATTTGGAGTATTGTTCTTGTGTTTGGTCACCCAACTATAATGTTCATATTCAGGCAATTGAGAGAGTGCAACATAAATTTTTAAGATTCATTTCATTCAAACAAAACATTATGGTTGAAGATATTATCTATTCCGTCATTGAAAGCTCTCTCAATATCTCAACCTTTCAGGTAAGACGGAATCAGAGGCACCTGTCACTATTTTATAATATTTTGCACTCTCGTAGTTTTGCTCCAGAACTTTTGAAAAATATTAATCTCCATGTGAATTCTAGTCACACAAGACTGACTCAACCATTCCATGTGAGATCATTTCGTACTAATGCTGAAAATGCTGTTTACACCATTGCCATTGAGAAGATACTTGCAAGTCAGATCGCCTGCACTTTTATCCAGTCCCCTTCCTCACAAATATTAAAGGCGGTTACAGTGCTGGATTTGGACCAAGGTCTAATACAAACCCATTCGTCCAAAGGCAATAAGAACATTTTTTTAATCATTTGTTTTCAAATACTTGAACTTATTACCATTTGATTTTAAACATCTCGATTACTAGATTAATGTCATTGTTTATTGTAGGAGATTTAACGCGTGTTGATAAGAAATTTAATTATATTTCAATCAGAGAGTATGTATTTGCACAAAAGATTTTCTAATCTAACAAAATTCCCACCAGAATTTTTCAATACAAACTATTTTCCAATAACCAGCAACAATAACAAAGAGTTCTTGCGTACAAAAATAATATTATAAAACAAAAATTTAAATGTTGACTAAGCTCCTAAACGGCCTTCAAACACCTATTAACGAAATTCCAAATACTTTTACTGGGTACTGTTATTGTAAGCTTTTGTTAATTTGGGATGTTGCTAATGGATGTTTAAAGAATATCTAGGAACTTCACGTTGATTGAAAATGGCTTATCCAGTCTCTTTTTCAAGTATTAAATTGCTTACATCTCGAAAACTGTCAAATTCCGAAGAAAGTTCTATGAACCTCTTTTATCAAAGAATAGATACCCAGAAAATCTAAAAAAAGGCGTCCAGAGCAAAAAATAAAATTTGTTCAAAACACAGAGTTGTTAAAGAGTTAGTTTTAGACAGCATTGTGTCAAAAAAGACATGGATTATAATAGAATCGTTTGGAGAAATCTAAACTATTGATTGGTTATCAGCATGTAGTGACCAAACTTCATGATTCTTTTATTTGATGCGACAAAAACTTTTTTGACTCTATTTATGAGCAATGAAGGGGCATTTATATTATACCCGCACATCGTTACGGCCAGCAATCGAAAACATATACCAGATGCTATATGAGCTCCCATTAGGTGATTAAATGTTTATTCGTGTTTGTCTTCTCCATTCCCTTTGAGTGACAAATTGTTTTATCCCGTATACGATATTATGATTAAAGCAAGCAAAATATTATTTTGCAGTTACAAAATGCGGCTGCTACAATCCGGGATTGTTATACTGATGCTGGTAGCTTGCAAGGCTTCAGGAGAGCTATTAGGAGTTACAGGTGAGAAAATGTGTACCATCTTCATTGTGAAAGTCTTCTCTTACCATATCATATACCGTACAGTACGACGCATGCAAAATATTGTTCACATGTACTCAGGTGAGTCAACGCTATCTGATAATTTGTAATGAGACAGCATTATGTTGTACCTTTTGGTTCTGTCACGTTACAGATAAAATCAAAGAACCCAACTATGAGAATTGATAAGTCATTCTTATATCTCCCAAACGTCTACAAACTAACGTATCAGTCATCTTTCTTAGAAATCACTTCCCTATTGAGATTTTATGGTTGATCTTATGTTAGTTTAACATTCTTCAGCTGCTAGAGTCTAAATAGTTCAGCTTTCTCTATTAAGTTCACATGGATGTTTATCTTTTTTCAATAATATAGTAGCTTGTAATTCTATTTTTTCATAGTGGTGTTTGCATCTATGTATCCTTTGCATACATTGGTCCTTGCATTTTCTCATTTTGTCATGTTTCAGAATTGCATTTCTTTTTTAACATGCGTACTTTTTTTTCCTTCTTTGGGGTTAAGTCTAAATGCCATCTGTCACGATAAGAAATTTTGTGCTACATTTAGTGCGCAATGTCGTACAAGATTAAGGATATCGTCAGACCCCAGCCTGTACGTATTTGGTATCAACAAATTTAGTACAGAAATTTTAATGATCTTTTCCAAATAATTTAATACTTGAAGTAAAAAGTAGGGTAATACTAGAAAACCACCAAGCTGGCGGCAATACTCAACAAGAAAGTATTTGGCCTTAAGCAAACGAAAACTGGGGTTAGAATAGATGTTTGACATTGGAACAAAGGAGTCTTTTTTTACACAGAATCATACGTTTATCGCAAACAATTATTTGTATGATAAACAGGGTTATACTCCTCAAAGTTAAAATTGTTATATACAAATTTTTTACAGATTTGGGTATTAAAGTATCGTGACATGGGAGCTCGGTGGTAATTCCGAGCCATGGATGTTGTGTTGTGTGTTGTCCATATCACGCACGTGGGTGGAGTTTTAACGATAGGTACATTTTATCGCTGGAGCAGGCTTATCTCAGTAACTTGTAGACGGCTTGTGGAGTAGTACAGTCTTGGTACTACGAAGTCGGTACAAAGGGTCAGAGGTGGTCTAGTCACCAGGATTCGCCTTCCCACCACTACTTGTATCGTGACTAATAACCTAAAGAGTATCCGTCTGGCTGAACTCTGCCTCGCTGCAGATAAAGAAATCATCATCATTATGACACAATTGGTGCAAGATGGACTTCGATACGGCGCGGAATGAACGAACATTTTTGAGATCACAATAGCTACATGACTATGTTTTTTATAATGTCTCTTTTCAGACGAAGAATATGCCACTCAACCACCAGTATTTCATTTTGATGATTACGACACATGCATGATGTTAAAGAAGAAATTGTATTGTTACGTAAACTTTGAACTTAAGCCAACAAACAGAGAGAAACCATCTCCAGTATGGAATACTATTGAGGTAATTTTATCAGTTGGCCTAATTCCATCATTACTAAAACACTATCCAACGTTGGACTGAATATGGTTGCTTTCCGTATATACTTTGAAGTTGAGTCATTAATTTTCAGATAATGATTGTAGAAGGAAGATAAACCAGAATATGTGTGTAAAAATAAAAAAAAAGTAAAAAAAAATGTTTACCTTGTTTTAAAAAGTATCCTCCCGACAAGTATTTCAGTGCGGACCTGTATTTGATCGTGAGGTCCCCTGTGAGGTCTTAAGTCACCTGATTCACGAGCCCGTTGTACTACATTAACAAAGGCACGAGGGGTTGGTTGCACTCGATTGGGAAACCGATCCGCATAAACATGTGGCATTTTTTATTTCGTTTGAGCCACGCAACAGACACTATTAACACGCTAACCGACAGATACTGACTGTATGTATAACTGAACTGAATAAAATACTCCATTGCAAAAACATCGTTCCAAATTCTTTCGCTTTTTTGTTTCCGATGCGATGAACCGGTAAGGCGGATTATATCCGTTGTTGCCAAACACGAGTACATGATATTATTATTGAGACAGGGCGGTACTCAAATTCCAAAGGGCTATAACTTTGTTACTTTAATTTTACCAGAAAAATGGTAAAGGAAAAAAACATTTCTTTTGATCAGATCTACTCACTGTTAAAATAAATGACTCAACTTCGAAGTCACCCTGTATAATCATGACCAACCGCATACAACGTTGTTTCACGCTTTTCAGCAACTCAGTATGATGTGCTCAAAGAGGAGACAATACGGACAAATGTAATCTACAAATAGTATTTATGTCTATTTGTGGTTGGCAGTTGTCAGAGTGTGTTTGCGCACTAGTTAATGTTATAAGTTATAAGTAACCCTGCTGAAGTGAGATATCTTGATCTGTAACTACTAATTTTAGAAAGTTAGCTCAAAGAAAATACACTATAGGCATGACCTCTTGAGGCATTTCATATGTGTTCCAACAACATGCCCGAAAATAACAGTATTAAATGAGACTGATCCCAAGTTTAAGATGGAAGTAGGTGCTTGTCTTAGTGAAAAATACCAGTACCTGGGTTTGAAGGGCGAAGTTACGGAGATCGCATGTAAAACCTCTATCTATACTCACCAGACGGATCATGTGGACTATATAGTTTTGTAAGTAAAAACAGTAGATACGCTTTGAAGAACACAGTTTGTGTTCCTATCTTCCAAAACCAATGCGTGGTGTTTCGTACCACGTCAATGAGCGGGAGTGGAAAAAAGGCTGGCATAGTCTAAAATTCATAGTTCATAGTTCATAGTTCACAGTTTACAGTCCACAGTTCAAAACTCACAATTCACAGTTCACAATTTACAGTTCACAGTTCATAGTTCATGGTTCATAGTTCACACTGTAAAACTCGAAAAAATGTGCGTTTCAAAAAAAAACAGTGGCCTTATTTTTATTTGGAAAAATAATGCCACCAATCCCCTGTAGTTCTGCCACTGGTGCACGTTATCTTCAAGTAAAGACTTTTGAATGTGGACAATCCTTAGGTGAATCCACGTACCAAATATTAGTTCTCTCCAGTTGACGGTTAGAAGATATTAAGCAAAATTGTTATCTATTTTTAAACTTCAACACCCCGTATCCCGTTAGTGAAGCCCTCGAGGGAAAAATTGTTACATAGAAGACACCCTTAAAATGCGGTCCTGTGTACGATGTTTCATTTTTGGTCACGACTTGTGAATCACCCTGTATATGTATAGTATGGCAGGTTTTATATTATTGAGAACCAATGCTAAATCTCTCTTATTTTCATTTTTCAGAGGTATACTAGTTACCTATATGTTGTGGGTAACGTTTGCTTCGCTGTATGATCTTTGTAAGAGATACGATACTCCAGAAAACTACAAAACGTTTGCTACGTCTTCAGGTAAGCGCCGCTTTCGATGTGTACCTATAAGCAAGTGCTGCAACAAACTGTTATTTTAGCTGGCACTATGATAACTGCCTTTTCCGTTCCTAGCAATTGGACAAAGTTGAAAAGCGAGAACAAGTCACCAGCAGCTGAAAAACTTAAGTGTGTTCAAGGAATTCGAGTTTACATGACTTTTTTGGTTATCCTGGTACACACGCTTTTATCTGTAACTGGGAGTCCGATTGCCAATACCAAGTTCATCGAAGAGGTAAGCTATTGAATCTTGATTATTCGAATACAACATGTCTTCAAATTAATCTAAAGGGTCTTGAATCATCGGATTCGAATGAATGTTACCTTATTGCACGCTTACCTCTTCCAATACCTTTGTACCGTGTATAATTTTCAGGCAAATGATAGAAAAGACCTTTTGGGTGAGTTTTCCAAAAGAGGTGTCTACATACTATCGTTTCATTTTATGATGTCGACATGGATGTTAATAGTATCAATGTTGGCCAGAGCAGACAGGAAAGAGCCACTAACTATAGATTTTATTGTTAAATCTATCATTAAGAGATACGTGAGGTAGGTGATGAGTGTCAATCACTGATACTATTTTTCTCAGCTTAAGTGCAAGTTTCAATAGGAGTCGCTTAAAAAAATAAGTAATACGCTGAAAAGTTGTGAAATATGAGAATATGCATCCATAAGAGATACAGATTGTCGTACAGCAAGTACGCCTTCAAAAAATACCAACAACCCGACTGAAGTAACTCAAAATAATGAAGATTTAATTGTGCTATCAAAAGAAGTCTGGACACCTCTTATGCCAAAATCTATCAAATCTTTTGGATTGTAGCCTGTGCAATAGAAATTTTGCATACATACCCACGCGCGAAAAACATATCCCTCCTTCTAGAGCAGACAGGAAAAAAGGATCAGATTTTGGATTTACATAGCAACAACCAGTATTACATAATATTCCATACCAGCTAAATTCAAATTCTACTTACCTAGAAATTATATCGACATAAATTCACACAGTTTGCTTATTTCATGCAGTTACATGCAATTGCTGATTACTTTTATATGCAAAAGTATGCATTTTCTGTTGAATATCCTTCTTAACGCTTAGGGGCCAAGTAAGCTTCTTAGGAGATGTTCAAGCAGTAACTGAGAATAGTATGAATTCAAGATATACTAAGCAGCAAGGACCAGGAGAAAATGAATAAAAAATAATAGATTGCAGTTGCATTATATATGGAGGAGTCCAGACTCATGTTTTGATTGCGGCAGTATCGGGTTTTATTCTTCCCACTTTTCGATATGATCCATTGCAATACTGTAAATATCTATTATTTTCAGACTTATCTCAGTTCTGCTAGTTATTATAGGACTATTTGCGACATGGTTCAGGCAACTTCCGTATGGTCCCCTGTGGATTGGTCCTTGCGAGGAAGCTGAAAGATGTAGACAGAACTGGTGGACTAACGTTTTGTTTATTCAAACTTGGGTGAATCGATACTATATGGTAATAATCTATAATATTTTAGATGAACACTGAAGTTCTAGTTACACAACATATTAAGAAGCCCCCAGTTGCGACATTACATTACACGACGTTAATGTTACGTTCAACGTGTGACGAAAGATCGATAGACTATGTAAAGTCGAGATTTCAACATATTGTGTCAAAAAAATGTATCCATACCCCTTAGTCTGGCGAGTGACGGGAATTTATTAAATAATGTAATTTAAGATCTCCTGATTATTGGTGGTTTCATCCCCATATCTTCTTTTGAAGAACTTGTAGAAGAGGAAATATTCTGATGCACAATATTATACATTTTCCAGTGTCACATCGTTAGCTGGTACATAGGAGTAGAAATGCAGTTTTATATAATATCCTTAGTCCTTATAACGCTCCTAATTAAGATGGGAAGAAGCAAAATTCCCTACGTTATTTGTGTGCTACTTATCCTCAGCATACTTGGAGCATTTTGGGACCATTACAGACATGGTTATCCATCCAGTCTGGCTGCTAATCCTGAGTAAGTTTCCCGTGAAGAATTATAGCATAAATTCTATCAGGAATCGAATGAACTTTCACTACTTCTCGGATATTGAGGGAGTTTGGTTTTGTCATGTTTCTACCACGGGTACAGGATGTTTCACAACATATCCGCCAAATTTTAACCACAGATGCACTGTTACGAAAGAAGTTGACTTCTCAAGAAAAAAGTCCTACAAAAATTAATTTATAAACCTGAGTTTCAATAATAGATTGAAAAATAAATATCTATATTTTGCGTTCATCGTCGTGATATTAGAACACGCATTAATAATTTATTGAGGAAAATGTTGTACCAAACAACTGACGAAAACAAAATACCAGGAATTTTTGAATACTGATAGGAACGTATAAATAAGGTTCAATCTGTAAGAAAGCATTTTGCGAACGGCTTCTCGTTTGTATGCACACCGATTTCCGAATAGACGCATCACGAAACATTTGGTTCAATTGTTTCACTTGCACGTGGTAGTGGAGATTTGCCCACCAGACGTGGAGTGGATGGGGGCCGGGTTCGCCCACAACGCGTTTTAAATGCCGAAGGAGAAATTTTGGATATTGTGGAAGAAAATCCGGAAATAAGCACAAGGCAGTTAGCCGAACAGGTCCCAGAAGTGTCACATTCAACAGCGTGGCGCATATTACATGAGGCGCAACTGTACCCTTATCACGTCCAGAGAGTCCAGGCGTTGCTACCTACAGACTACTCCCTAAGAGTAAGGTTTCGAGAGTGGTTGTTGCAGGAAAATGCTCGAAATTAGAAGTATACCAGATTTGCTGGATCGGAAGGGGTGGACCAATTACATGGCCTCCACGGTCTCTCAATCTATATGTAAATCCTCTGGACTTCTTTTTATGGGGATACTTGGAAAATGAGGTATACCGTACTGCAGTTCAGAATATTGAATTGCGTGACCGATAATTTGAGCCTTCAGCTACAGCAGGAAGGAGGTGTATTTGAACTAGTGCGCCGACCTTGCATTGCAGTCAACGGAAACAGTTTTTAACACTGTGAACTGTTAAACTGTATTATTTTATTATCTCGATTTCTGTAACACTTTTGGTACATTTTTTTTTTTTTAGAAATCAACTTCTCTCGTAACAGTGCATATGTGGTCGAAATTTGTCGGATAAGTTGTGAAACATCCTGTATATTCGGTTCATCAGCTTTTGAATCAAGCAAACCTTAATTTATCAAATATTTCTAAATTCTAATTTGAACAATTTTTGAGAGTTTTGGTCTTTCCAATCCATTCTATTACAAGTGCAGCTAAAGACTTCTGTTGTGAACGCTTGTGTGAGTAACATAGATACCTTTATATTAGTATCTAAAAATTGTTTCTTTTTTTTTGTTAACTTTTTAGGGATGTATACCGTCTGCAATTCAACAAGCAACCGCAATGGCACGATCATTTTTCAAGCTTTATTGGAAACTTTTCGGGATCCCTACTGGGTATTCTATTTGGATACATTTTATATATGTATGGCAGACAAAGAATATTTACCAGTTCGGTGAGTTTGTCCGTGTTTACAAAAATGCTCAACTTTTTTATTTCATCTTTCGCTTGTAGATACATGAATACATCTGGTGGGTGCTATCAGTTGGAACTTTGACAGTGGTAGCCTCTTTGCCATTTTTTGTTGACGTTGATCGCTCCCCAGCAACGTCTGCTTTGTGGGTTGCCCTGACCAGACCACTATTTGCTTTCGGAATAGGCATCCTCATATTAGGCATGTCTGAAGGGCTCGGAGGTATAAATATAATTAACGCGTCTTCTCGTTTTCGTAAAAATTATTTATTAGCTAAGGCAGTATTTGTCTAGAAGGTCAAACTTACTAAGTAAAGGGTGTCCTATAAATAATTAACGAAAGATTTGGATTTGCCGCTATGTTTGCAGTAAGGAGGTTATACGATAAAACATCGTGTTTTCATTAATGAACAATATTCCAAAAAAGTAAGTTCAGCGTCTCCAGTTCAAAAATTTTATACAAAATAGGGCCGGAACAGCGTTTTAACCTTGTCAGCTGTGAAAAGATTAATTGAAAAATTCAGGAATACTGGATCAGCTGGAGATCCTAAACATACCAGTCGTCCACAAACAGACCGTTCAAATGAATGTGTTGGTGGAAACCCAGGAGCGTCAATTCGGCGACGTGGACAAGAATTGCAAATTTCAACAAGCTCTCTCACTCTCACGAAGGATCTGTGTCTCCATGCTTACAAAATTCAATCAACACAACAACTGAAGCCTAATAACCATGAACAGCGAAGAGAGTTTGTGGAATGGATGATTGAACATCAACAAGTGGATGCTGATTTTTTCAGCTAAATCATCCTAAGCGATAAAGCACATTGTCACCTTGATGGCTTTGTTAGTCGCCAAATTTGTTATATTTGGGGTTCGAAGAACCCACGTGTGATTGTCGAAAAACAAGTGCACCCACAACGTGTCACAGTTTTTAGAATGAAGCTGGTGAAGTTAGTAACTGTAACTGTTGCTCGATATCGCGAAATGATAACACAGTTCTTTTGCCTTGCCATGGATGTGTGCAATATGTGGTTTCAACAAGACCACATGCCCTTCAGTCAGTGAAACAACTCAATTACTGCATGAGACATTTCCTGGTCGTGTACTTTCCCGTTCCAGTGATCAGAATTGGCCCCATAGGTCATGTGATCTAACACCATTAAACTTATTCTTAAACAATAAAATAACAATTTAAATACTCAAAACTGTGTTTTCCATTTTAATTCAAAACTTGCGTTAATTTTGAGGCACTCTTTATATTAACTTTGTTGTCAAAAGTTAAACATACCATCACCTGAACCGGTCAAAAGACCGGTTAGAAACTCCTGTATTGAAAATGCACTTGATTTTTTTTACTAAATGTGTAAAGTTTTGGTAAACATAGCACTGAGTGTTGGCATGTTTCTAACACTGAGAAATACGTACTCGCAGGCTAAATTCACCACTCTCTAACAGATTCAAAATTGTATGTGCCCTATATACTTATAATCATGTCACAACAGTAGTATAGTACATGTATGACAGATAAAAGCAATATATATATATATATATATATATATATATATATATAACGTGAGCAGTAATCATTGCCAAAGCCAACGACCAGTTGGGCACAAAATACAATTAATTGTTAATTGAGAAATTGGCAAATTTTTAGGCTCTTTTGACGACAAAATCAAGCTTTCGGCATTCTCTATGGAGCCTTCATCAGGATTTCGTCGTTGAGGTTGCAGCCACAAGGTGTATCAAAACGAACGTAGAGAACATAGAACTTGTAATCAGTACAAAAACAAAAGGACAGGGACACTGGGCTTGTTGAAAGCGACAGATACCTTCGTTACATGTTAAAAATATCAATCCACCCGAACAAATTAAAAAGTATTACACGTGAGAAGACATTTTAGTGAAACAATCGGAATGCAGTCTCGAACCTCTAGGTTACGTGTAATACTTTTTAATTTGTTCGGGTGGATTGATATTTATTATATATGTAACGAAGGTATCTGTCATTTTAAGCAAGCCCAATGTCCCCGTCCTTTTGTTTTTATACTGATTACAAGTTATATCTTCTCTACGTTCGTTTTGAAACATCTTGTGGCAGCAACCTCAACGACGAAATCCTGATGAAGGCTCCATAGAGAATGCCGAAAGCTTGATTTTATCGTCAAAAGAGTCAACTTAAGCCTAAAAATTTGCCAATTTCCCAATTATCAATTATATATATATATATATATATATATATATACAGGGTGGCCCATCCATGCGTGGACGGCATATTACTGTTCATAAACATATACATTTGGGAAAATCTATTTACGGCATGTTATACATAACATTTGAAAGCACATTTCTGAAATATTGGTAATTATACAGTGTGTCTCAATTTTGACCTACATATCAGAGTTGTGATTTTTTAAATGGAATGCCTCAAAGTTTATTGTATATTTGGATAAACCAATTTAAAAAAAGAAGATTGATGTAATATACTATGGGGTTTGGGTAATTAGCTACTGAGATGTAAGGTGTTTTGTCCAGAGAAACCGTCCAATTCGGTAACCCCTCGATCCGCCATTTTGAAATTTAGAGTGCTGAATTTTGTATCAACAAAAACTTACACACATTAGCTTTTATCTTATTTGTTACTTTTTCGAATTTTCATTTTTGTTCATACAGGGTGGTCAAAAACGCGAATTGTACTTTTTCTCAAAAATTTCAAATGCATCACCCTCTATAATTGTGGAAGTTTGGAATTAATTTATTATAAACTTTTCTTGGAATAAGCTTTGATTCAGATAAAATCACTAGATTTTGAGTTATTAAGCTTTTAATAGAACAACACACCAAAATTAAGGAAAAATCACATCATCCATGGAAACAAAAGACAAGCAGTAGGTTAGTTCCATATCGCCACTAAGAGTACAGATTTGACGTAGAAACTAATAACAATCAGAACAGTATAAAGCAGCTTCAAGAGTAATATAGAAAAACAGCTATAACAACATAAACAAACAACTGTCACTACTCAAGACCTAATCTACGAAAACTGATCGTAAATATCTCCACCATGTTGAATACAAAGCCGTAGTCTTTAGATAAATGACCATTGCACATCCCTCAGCATGTGTTCCCTTATGTTCAGAAAAGCATCCTTAATCCTTTCTTTCATATTTTCTGGGGTAGATGGTGGATATCTATAAATCTCTTGCTTAACGAAGCCTCATACAAAGAAGTCGATCGGTGTCGTATCTGGTGATCTAGGAGGCCAAGGTATAGGTTAAGATGTAATGCGAGATGCTAGGAAGCTATTTCGTTGGGCTTCGCCCAAAACGAACACCATATTCATCACTTCTTCATTAGAAAAATTCATTTTCAAACACGTTTTTAATAATAATGCTCACAAAGTTAATTTTGACAGTTTGTAACTAATCAACAATTTATTTGTATCCAAGGATGATGCGATATTTTAATTTAAAAAGCCTTATGTGTCTAGTATCAAAAAAAAGCTTATGAAAAATTGAATCCATATTTGCACAAATATACAGGGTGATGTATTTGAAATTTTTGGGAAAAACAATTTGCGTTTTTGACCACCCTGTATGACCAAAAATCAAAATTCGAAAAAGTGACAAATGAGATAAAAGCTGAAGTGTGTAAGTAATTCAGCACTCCAAATTTCAAAATGGCAGGCTGAGGGGTTGCCGAAGTGGTGGGTTTTTCTAGACAAAACACCTTATATCTCAGAAGCTAATTACCAAACCCCATAGTATGCATATCAGTTTTCTTCTTTTGAATTGGTTTATCCAAATATGCAATAAAATTTGAGGAATTCCATTTAAAAAACTTATGATATGTAGGTCGAAATTGGGACACCCTGTATAATGGCCAGTATTTTAGAAATGCGCATTCAAATGTCATGTATAACATGCCATAAATAGATTTTCCCAAAATGTATTTGTTTATGAGTAATATTCCGTCCACACATGGATGGGCCACCCTGTATATATATACAGGGTGACTTCGAAGTTGAGTCATTTATTTTAACAGTGAGTAGATCTGATCAAAAGAAATGTTTTTTCCTTTACCATTTTTCTGGTAAAATTAAAGTAACAAAGTTATAGCCCTTTGGAAGTTTGAGTACCGCCCTGTCTCAATAATATCATGTACTCGTGTTTGGCAACAACGGATATAATCCATCTTATCGGTTCATCGCATCGGAAACAAAAAAGCGAAAGAATTTGGAACGATGTTTATTTTATTCAGTTCAGTTATACATACAGTTAGTGTCAATCGCGTGTGAATAGTGTCTGTTGCGTGGCTCAAACGAAATAAAAAATGGCACATGTTTATGCGTTTCGGTTTCCCAATCGAGTGCAACCAACCCCTCGTGCCTTTGTTAATGTAGTACAACGGGCTCGTGAATCAGGTGACTTAAGACCTCACAGGGGACCTCACGATCAAATACAGGTCCGCACTGAAATACTTGTCGGGAGGATACTTTATAAAACAAGGTAACAAATTTTTTTTAATTTTTTTTTTTATTTTTACACACATATTTTGGTTTATCTTCCTTCTACAATCATTATCTGAAAATTAATGACTCAACTTCAAAGTCACCCTGTATATATATATATATATAGGGTGTTCCTTAATGATATGCGAATATTTAAGGGTGTGGTGAATCTACATGAAAAATTAATGTTAGTTTGCTTTATAAACTATGATCCAAAAATGTTTCCTTACAAAAACTCGGGGTTCTAGGAAAAAAATAGAAATTAATTAATATTTTTAGAACCACTTCAGATATTTCACTGATATTTCGTAGGTAGTAAAAGTTAAAAAAATTTGCATATTTTTCAATTCAAAGATATTTTTTAGCCTTAACATTAGCCTGCGGGTATTGACTTTGATATTTTTTACGAAAAAAATGATACGCCAATGGTTTTTTGCCAAATAAAAATTATTTTTGAAATACGCGTTCAATTTAAAACAGAATTGTTTTCCTTTGATGCGCCATTTTTGAGTAAAAAAATAAAAACCGTTCTATTGTCCGAGAAAATTAATGTAATAATTGAAGGATGCAATGTAGCAATAATAATGATCTAGTTGCTCTGGAATATGTCACTGGCTTTTGACATCTGACCAGTATCTGTTATTCAAATCTGTTCGCTGTGACATCTTTTTCATTATTTAGTCTTTGCATCCTATTAATAATGGTGAATTATTCAAATGCAGAAATGGCGGAAATGCATTAGGTATATGGTCTTGCCGACGGTAATGGTGAGCAAGCCAAACGGATTTATCACCAGAGATGTCCCGATCGTGCTTTGCCAGATAGTCGAACCTTTTCTAATATTCATCGTCGTCTTGTTGAAACTAGTTCGGTCCCAAAAAGGAACATCTGAAGGTAGAGCTCTAAGTGTGAGAACATGTGAAATTGAACAAGCAGTGCTGCACGAAGTCGAAGACATCCTGAAACGAGTACGAGGAAGATCGCTAGACTCTTAGATATTTGCCATCAAATTATTTGGAGAATTTTAGTGGATTTTTTGTTATATCCTTACCATATTTTAAGAGTACAGGCATTATTTCCCATTCATTTTCCAAGGAGTGTGACCTTTTGTCAGTGGTATCTTAAAAATGTGGTATCAATAAATTACACAAAATCCGCAATTTGAATCAATGATTATGTTCACGGATGAAGCAAATTTTTCTCGGAATGCCATTCAGAATCTTCGCAATAATCAGTTGTAGGCAGAAGAAAATCCCTATGCCGTAACCGAAACCCATATCCGACACCAATTTTCGGTTAACCTATGGGCAGGAATTATTGGCAACCACTTTATTGGCCCATCCTTCTTGCCGGGACGACTTGACGGACAGACTTACCTCAACTTTCTTCAACAACAGTTGCCTTTCCTGCTTGATGATGTTCCGTTAGTAATAAGAAACAATAAGTGGTACATGCATGATGGTGCACCAGCGTATTTCAGTGTAGCGGTTCGTCATTATTTACAAACTGTTTATCCAAATTGTTGGATTGGCCGCGATGGGCCCCAAGAATGACCACCAAGGTCTCCAGACGTCAACAGTTTAGATTCCTTTTTGTGGGGCTATCTTAAGATACTCGTGTACACAAGTCACATTAACACTGTAGAGGAATTAAGAGAAATAATAGTTGCAGCTTGTGATAGAATAAAAAACACTTCCGGGATATTTCAACGAGTGCGCAGTTCCATGAGAAGGAGGACGGAAGCATGCATACTAAGTGAAGGGGGCCATTTTTAACAATTTTTGTAATCATTTCGTTGATGTTAATGTCACATTTATGTTGTCAGTTGTTGTTGTTCATTACCCCTAATGCGTCTAATTTTTCTAATTAAATTGATAATAATTTTGCAAGTTAGACAATAGAACGGTTTTTACTTTTTTACTCAAAATGGCGCAACGAAGCGAAACAATTCAAGAAAGATAATTTGTTTTACATTGACCGGGGAATTCAAAAATACCTTTTATTGGCAAAAAACCATTGGCGCACCATTTTTTTTTCTTGAAAAATATCGAAGTCAATACCCGTACGCAAGCAACTGTTAAAGCTAAAATTTATTTTTGCATTGAAAAATATGGAGCTTTACTAACTTTCACTACGAATTAAATATCAGTGAAATATCTGAAGCGGTTCTGAAAATATTAATTAATTTCTATTTTTTTCCTAGAACCCCGAGTTTTTGTGAGCAAACATTTTTGGACCATAGTTTATAAAGCAAACTGACATTAATTTTTCTTGTAGATTCACACCCTTGAATATTCGCATATTATTAAGGAACACCCTGTATATATATATAATCACTGAAATTCTTTGGGATTAAGGCAAAATTTTGCAAAAGTACACTCTTTTAACTTAACCTCAAGCTTTCGATGGTATATGCCATCGTCATTGGGAGTAAGTCGGCGAGATTGTTGCTGAAATAGTTCTTAGAAAGGAGCAGATGAGAACACATAGTCAACGAGCAAAAATCTGGATTTTTGATTTTTGATTAGGAAGAAACATTTTTTTATTATAAAATTGATTATTAATTGTTTATGAAAGAAACCACAAACGGATTTTGAAGAAATTTGGAGATTTATTAACTATTTAAAAACTTTCGCACAATCATTTTTACCGGAAACCACTTCAGTGAAATTTTTCTTCCTAATCTAACGTCAACAATCCAGGTTTTTGCTCGTTGGCTATGTGTTTTCATCTGCTACCTCCTAAGAACAATTTCAGCAACAATGATGATGATGATGATGGTATAGATTGTAGAAAGCTTGAGTTTAAGTTAAAAGAGTGTACTTTTGAAAAATGTTGTCAAAGAATTTCAAGGATATTTTCTCCTAACGAACTAAGGCAACTTAATTATGAGGACTATATATATATATATATATATATATATATATATATATAAAGAGAGATCCTTTGGGCTTGAAGTACCATAGCAAGTGGCTATAACCGGCTGCATGGTTGTGGTTAGATGTCGCCATGAAAATTCGAGGTCTTCTAGCCATTTTATACTACAATGTGAAGGTTGGCTCTTGTTGTGGTCTTCGTGTGTGATTATTTTCCCTCTCCATCTTTGTTTCCTCAGGTTACACCCGTATCCGGATGTATGAGCATGTGTATCTACTTCTGTAGCTGCATATGTCCATTCATTTCGGGCCTGATGAAGCCAACCAGCAGAAATACGTATCGCTCGGGTTACCTATCCTATTTTCTGCTCGAATCCACTTTCCTTTTTGCGGATTTTGCCCATTATTTTCCTATTATATATATATATATATATATATATATGGATTTGTTCTAGTGAGTATTTTATAGGTGTAATCAAGTGGGCATGTGAATGGAGCCCTACATATTATCTGGCCAAGCTATCTTACACAGTCTACATAGGACACCCAATTCTACAACATATTAGGATAGGGTTAATGAGACATCCAGTTCATATAGATGAAGTAACAATGGTAAGTAATTACAACATACTACAAACCATAGCTCTAGCTTCGATATAATTGTAAGGTATTCTTATATACTACTCGTAAGCGACATATAAAACTCAATACTCAGAATTATTTATTGAATTTTGATAAAAGCTCGTAAACATATTTGCTAACATAGAAGTATACGCTGATAAAATGTTGAAAGCATTTCGAGCCGCACTTTTCTTGTAAAGGCTTTTTTTTGTCATATCAGGAACTTTCCGAGGGATAGATAATCGGCTTTTGCGAAGCCAGATTTTCTTTTAGAGAAATCTTTAATCGGGTGAATCGAAACGAAGCTACTGTAATGGGATGTTGTCGAGGGTGGTTCCAAGAAGGCCAAAATCGACGAGTTCATCAACAGGGCACTCGGCGGGATCATTGTTTGAGGCGATTAGCACTTAGAGATTTGATGCTGTCGAAAGAACAATAACAATGAGGACAGTTTATCGCCGAGTAAGGTCTTCTATAAACTGACGTTGGCTGACCCGTTCTTTAAGCAAACTGATAGAGCAAAGTACCCTAACTTCTCTTCAAAAGCGGACCCCTGAGCTCATTGGTTCTGTATTCTATGATATTCCATTATTGCCAAGTGTAAATAGTAGCTTAGGTTTCTTCCAATTTTTTTAAAACAGCAAAAAATCAGGTAAAATCGTCGCGCTTCTGTATTATTTATAATAATTCTCATTATAACATTAACGATATCAGCTTCCTAAGTGCCACTTATCCCACACATAAGATTTTCTTTTGCCAGTTGACTCCAAAATGTTTGCACAGCAGTTCATTCGCATGTATTTCTTTGTTTAATTCCTTTTGATATTCAGATACCTTTGACAGGTTTACATCAAATTCATCTCAATAAGGCTTCCCTGATTGGTCGAAGTGACTGTCATATTTCAATGTACGTGAAGTGCACTCTAACACATGGTTTGTACAAAAGCTCAACAAAACGTAAAAAAGTTGGGTTTATCGGATATTGTTTCTGAGGTATACAGGGTGTCCAGGATAAGGATACAGCTTAGGTAGGATCAGAAAAAATCTGTCTTCTTTTGGCGCATTCACAAGCGGTTGAGAAACTTGAATAACTTTCAAGGCTTAATGAGGTATTCGGGAAAAGGTAAAACTTGGCCAAACCATTTTTTTTTGACTTTATTTTAAGAAATATCATAAAACTAATGTAACTTTCCCTTTGGTACTTTTTTGGCACTGCGTGATGCTGTTTTTTAATTTTGTGCCGAACGGTTCGCTTTTGAGAAACTACCATCAACGTAATTTTTTTTATATGGTCCGAAACAAAATACAACCTGTATCTAATGGCATTTTTCAATACGAATTCAAAGATGTATCACATGTTACATTCATTTTCTCGGTTATAAGGAAAAATGCTTTTATTCAGATTTTATTATTTCTACACTTTCTACACTTTCAATACGAATGAACAAATAAATCATCAGACTGGCGGCTACTATGCACTCATGGACATGTCTTAACATGCAGTAACATGCAGCCTTCTACGTCCGTTTGTTAAGTCATATTGCAAAACTTTTATAGTACCTTTTGTAATTCTATTTATAGCAGGGTCATAGGTGCAACTTTCTCATAAAATTGGTTCATTCAGATCGTTGGAGTTTTATTAGATAAACACGTTTTCGGATTTAGGAGCGTAAACGCCTTTTGAAATGCTTTTTCAAGTTCGAAAAAGGATGATGGGAAAAACTAGTAAAAGAAGACGTAGTCCTTCTAAAATGGTTAAAGTTATTAAAGTATCTCGCTAAGGAATAAAAAACTATATATCTTTTTTAAATATAACTTGTGTCCTTGCTAAGGATGAAACCCTGCTTCATGATTGAAAAGTTTTGGCACCTATTTCAAAAATAAGGGTATGTAAGGTTTTTTTAAATTGCGATGCCAAGATAGGGGTCCGGTTTTGGGCACCAAATCCTAATACTTAAGTTTTCTCAGCAACGTATAGTCTTATCGCTATTTTTTCATTACAGATTATTATTCTATTAGCTGATATAGCAGCAGCATTCATATTCGCCCTACTGCTAACGTTGCTGTTCGAAATGCCTTTCAATGAACTAGCCAACATGATGTTCCGAACGAAAAGAATCTCAGAAAGTGATAAGAAGAAGTAATAACTTATTATATGTTCATAGTTCTAAATGTATTTTTGTTACGAAATAAACCAATTTTTTTGAAAATGAGAGTAATTATTTCTGTGTTTACGTAGTGTTTAGTGTATGAGTGACATTGTCAGTTATCTCTACTTGAAACATTCTTTTAATTTGTACGTACTCTGAGAGGATTTTTCTTCACGTTATCGATCATTATATATATACCTGGTAACCCATACAATGGGTATACACATTTCCGATTCACACGAAGACTCTGAAAATAGCTAGGAAAATGAAAGTGATGTGTCTGGTAGCTTCTTTATTAGCCATCACCCTCAGTGTCGAAGCAGGTACGTCTGAAGTACATTCTTTCATAATAAACATGACTGTGCTTATTTCACTTCTCCGTTATTTATCGAGATTCTGAAGTAATAAAGGCAGCATAAAAAAAATCTGTCGTAACTTACTCATTTGAATGAATGGAGTGCTGAGGTCCATCGAAAGACCCAAAACTTTTACTTTCTCGCTCTAAATAAAAAGCTTCTCGATACCTTCCACCATTTTTTAACGGCCATATTTGAATCTCGCTTTTCAAGTTACTAAAGTGTAGTAAGCTTCGATCTTTTGTAAAAAAAGTAGATTTTCCTGTGCGCAGCACCACGCTAATTGTCATCCCCATCCCGACCGATAAAGAGGATAGAGACCCTTATGTTCTCCAGCCCATATAATTTTCTTACACTGAATATTGCTTCGCGACACTTTAGCATCCATTGATAGCTATATTTATTTAAAAACTACGTCCCATATTACACCCGTGTATCGAGTATTGTTCCCTGGTGATAACGGTTATACTTTCAAACTTCCAAGACCTACTACTGAGGCTCACTTCCAAAGACTTTCTTGTATAACTACAATATCGACCACACATTGTTTTTTTTTGAGAATCAGAACCATGAATTTGTTGTCAGTTTTTCAATTTTACAATGGAGGGGTTTGTGACATTTTGAATTTTTTATGGCCATATTCGTAATTGGCGGTCCAAGAAAATGCGTTCTACATCAAACACTGAATAACGCATATAAAAGCTGCTGATTAGCAAACTCGATAATCGCGCTTCATCAACTTCAGTAGTTTCGAGATAAATTGAGGCTTATTCATGGCAACAAAGACACGATCACACATTTTCATATAGATTTGATTTGCAGTGCCCAGTTGCCCTGAAAAAGATGCAGCTACTCCAGTCTACTACCCACACGAAATATATTGCTACAAGTTTTACGAATGCAGCAATGGCATTGCGTACGAATTGGAGTGTGCTCCACCTCTCAACTGGAACCAGGCACACCGGATTTGTGAAGTTAACGTCGACTGTGAAAGCTTGAAGCCCAGATCTTAGTTAATTGAGAAACCTTGTACTAATCACTATATTTATTCAATATACTGATATGAAAGTATTTTAATTAATCTGCTATCCGTAGTTCTTTTAAGGGCGTACTAAGGTTCCCATATAGAATCTCGTGACACAAAAGTGAGATAGTAAAATTACGCGAAAAAACGTGTTAATTCAAAATTAAGAAAAAACAACGTAAATTTTAATTTAGTTTAGATTAAAATTTCGGTCGGCCTTTAGCAGTATCCATCACAACATTTGTTTAGTCTGCCTTATTTTCCATTTTTCAATCTGGTTAGGCATATGTACAATTCCTACAAATACAAAACGCTAGACTGCGACTGAGTGCTCAATAAAACAAGAAGGGAAATGGAATAAAGCAAAGATACCTCACAATTGTCCAGGTAAAAGTCAAATTTTGAGGTACATGCACTTAGATAGGAACCGGCTGAAGAGCGAATGTCATCACCACATTGCCTAGCAACCATGACGCAGAAGGTCTTGCGATCTGCCACTACATTACACCAGAAAATGTTCGCACAGGGTGCTACAATACGTTAGGTTAATGTCAAACTCAAGGAGGTCTGTTCGAACACTTAATTCAATATTTTGTTTTCATTATGATTTTAATTGTATATTTCAATTTTAATGCGACTTAGTGTTTTAATTTATTTTAGAATGATCTTTGATTTCCACCGATGGTGATAAAATCAACACATGCTGAGTTATAACGTTACGCAATACAAATTATTACGCAGGTGAAAGATATTTCGAAGCAGAACGACACTTCCCTACAAGCCCTAGGTGGGTACCGACCAAAAATCGTTAAACTATGATGATGGAGGTGGAGACCTTGTCAGAAATTTTTATTTTGCTTACTGGCTCTCGTCACTCAGGATGTCAGCGTCGGATGCATGGAGTAGGTACAATTACACCGAGAATGAAGTGGAAATGCTTAATACAAACAACAACAAAATTATCTCGATTGCTCCAATGGATACACATTTCGATAATAACGATGATATGATGGGATAGATATCTGAACTTGTATTTCAATATTTCCCTCACATAAAATGCCTTAAGCAGTGTAGATTTATTATTCAAGTTTAAAAATACAATATAAGAAATATTTACTAAATACAAATCAGAACAAACTTTTACTGGAATAGAGATTGAAGTTTATAATATAGGTATATAAGTAGAAAAAATATGTCAAGCAAATTTTATAGTAACCAGTAACCAAATTTTATAGTGACAAGTATTAATTAATATCTTGTTGAAATTTTAATTTAATTTCAGTCCATTTAGTGTTAACACGGTATTATTATTATGATTATTCTGGATTGTTGTTTGAAGACTTATTACCATTTATATTTTTTGTCTTATTTAGGTTCAGTAGAGTAGCTTTAAGCTAGACTTGCGCCAATATTAGGCAATATATTCTGTACTTTTTTCTAAATTACTTTTGTTAAAAGATTATTTGTTGAATTCAATTATTTAAACTACAGCGAAAATCGCCCAGTAGGGATCGAAAATTTTGTATGAACATGGGAGACTCGGGAAATATTCTACAGCTTTTAAGCTTTCATGAAAACGAATCGGTAATGTTGATGTACTAATATAATTACAGAAAAGCAACGTCAAACTTTTCAGTAGCAGCTGAAGTACTTCACACTTCAAAGCTTCCAATGTCGATAATGTCTACGATACGTAAGCTGATATTTTTCGTTTTCGGACCTAGGCGAAACCTCAATAGCAGCCAATATGGCAGTACTGGTTTTACTTATCAGTGTCTCGATGCCAAAGTCACAGCTCTTGAGACGAACCTTAGTTGACGCAACAAATGTATCAAAAGAAAAAAAAATAGCACTGCACAGCCAGTTCAGCGATATCAAACAGGGATCCCGCCCTGTTTGAGAAAAGAGTAGTGGTCGATTTTGGCGTTTTTCGCTCATGATTATTTTTGGGAAAAGTCAGGTGATATTTTTTAATAAATGGACCCATCCCAACACGTAAACCCTGAATATGCTGTCCCTTCAAACTTATACTTATTTAATAAAATACCACACTTACTTATTACTTGCCCATTTTTATTCATCCCGTGTTGAATTTCACCTACCCTCTTCCCTTTGGGTTGGAGAGTATGACTGATATTTAATCGAACACGAGTGCTGTATGTCTAAATCAGCAGCTAAGGTTTGGGACTGGTCCGTTTGATAACAGAATTAACCATTTTTTACTCAAAAATAATAACGGGTATGCATAAATGACTAGACCGACATAGATAGGGTTATGTATTTTGATGTACTGAATGGCTGCAAATCAAAGAAAATTGTACTCATGCAAACGACAAACAAATTTTCGGCCTAGATGTATCTTTTGTGTATTTCAATATGCTGATAAAAATCTGAAGTTGATTTAGCTAGTAGATTCTCCAAATTTCGAGTAAATTGCCAAACATTGCTAAGAATCGCAAAATTGCAGTTTTTCAACAAGATGTTTTTCAAAACTAGATGCAGAATTTTATGCATATCGACCTCGGTGGCCGAAATTTCAGCAAACATCAATCTAGCGTATGTGGCTCTACTGATATTTGGCTGCCAAAAATATATTGAATTAACATTCGTTATCAGTATTATTCTCTCTACTTGCAGTATTCATACGATGTAGGTATACATATCTGCTGCAATTTTTTTTTGATATGATATTGCATGTTATCGATCGTTATATATACCTGACTATGCAGTTGGGTGTGTGAGTTTCCAATCATAGAACAGATTTAAGATAATTAACAACATGAAAGTGGAACTTTTATTAGTTGCTTCATTAGCTATAATCGTCAGTGTTGAAGCAGGTAAGTCTGAAGCATACGACCCGGGCAAAGCAAACACCTCGGACAAAGCGAATATGATTATTTATACGAGTATGTATAAAAACCGTGGGTTGAATATTGGCATTCTAACCATGTACATACACAATTTCCCTTTAGCATTCAAAATAATAGTTCTTCTATTGTGGCTATTCGTTTAATGCCTATTTCAAAAACTTGAAGAGATTCTTTTACACGATCTTCTAGCCAAATGAAACCACATGTCTATCAAATACTTCTATATATATATATATATATACAATTATTATATTAATTAAAATTAATTGTTAATTGGGAAATTGGCAAAACTCTTAGGCGTGAGTTGACTCTTTTGACGATAAAATCAAGCTTTCGGCATTCTCTATGGAGCCAGAACTCTGAAAACACAATTGTGATGCTAGCAAAGAAAATAGGACAGATTTAAATTGTCAGACAACTTACTCGTCGGTGAGGTTGCAGCCACAAGGTGTTTCAGAACGAACGTAGAGAAGATCGAAAATTATAATCAGTATAAAAACAAAAGGACGCACACTGACACACACTACAATGTAATTATTGGATTTAAATTTAAGTTGCACTGGTAACCGATCAGTGACATGCTTAATAGTAGAAATTTACATCATTATTACCTGCTCTTGATATGATTTTATGAAACTACAATCTGAGGAATTTTCCTCCATTTAAAGCTGGTTCTGAAAAAACTACGTATTTTTGTGTCATTGCACTAAATTGTACTGAAAGTTGTTTCGAAGGCGTGGGAATTATAGAGTACAATCTACTTGATGTCATGATGATGCCACAACTATATTTGACAGACATTCTTGAAACGTTTTCTTTTGATTTTGATATTCGCAGTGCCAACATGTCCTGAAACAGATCCAGCTACTCCAGTCTACTACCCACACGAAGTATATTGTTACAAGTTCTACGAATGCAGCGATGGCACTGCTTACGAATTGGATTGTGCTCCACCTCTCAACTGGAATCAAGCTAAGAAGATTTGTGATGTTAACGTCGACTGTGGAAAACTAAAACCCAGAAACAGTACCATTTTGTATGAGATAAATGATATATAAAATTGAATAAATGATACAAGAATGGTCAACTTGTTTAATGCTGTTAGATCCTAATTGCAGTTTTAGTAAAGGTGACAGATTGTAACAACTTACTTTTCATAATGACGTAATTGCTTTCTTATCACAACTCATATTGTAAGTATACTGAGTGAAAAGGTAAACACCTAGGTATGGTTATTCGATTTAAATAATTTTTGGCATATATATATTACTAGTAAAATGACTAAATTTTCAGCTTGATTCGTCAACCCACTGCCGAAGCCAGGAGCGGTCGTATCGGCCAGTTCTGGATATACGAAGTTCGACACGATTACGATGGGACGCCAAAGTCAGGCGGGTCTGCCTGGCTGGCACATCACGCGGCGGAATCATGGAAGAGAGCTCTGAGGAGCAAAGCCCGTTGGTGTAGCGATATAAATGAGCTAGATCGCCGACGGCCCGCCGGTACGAAAGAGTCCCGAGACTGTCTGTTAGAGAAGAGTCATCGATCAGTCGGACCTCCCTCCTCTGGGCAGCATCGAGCATGGATAATGTAGTCGGGGCGGCAGCACCCCAGACGTGTGAACAATACTCGAGGCTAGGCCTTATCTGGGCGTTGTATAGAATGAGAAGGTCATGCGGAGAAAAGTACTTCTTAGCCCTAAACAAATAGCCTAGCTTTTTCCCAGCAGCTGCAGCTAATGACGAGATGTGTTCGGGCCAGATCAGGTCCTTGGTGATCTACACTCCGACCAGCCGAAATGAATGGCTTTTTGGCAGAACTCGGCCATCCATCGAAACCGGATGAGCGCTAGGACGCTTTTTGTTTTGGAAGCATTGAACTGTACAAGATTGTTGCCTCCCCAAGCAGTGATAGCCTCCAGGTCTCTTGTCAGAGAGGAATTCGTCGCTAGTCTTCTTTTTTCCAGCTCAGCGGCAGAGATCGGCTTGTCACTCTGAATTCCTGCATGTAGAGTGCTGTCATCAGCGAAGCTGTGGTTTTTGTTGATCGTGCAGGAAAGGAGGTCGTTGATATGTAAGAGAAATAGTGTCGGAGCCAAGACCGATCCCTGAGGAACGCCCGCGTTGACGTTGTGGGATGAAGAGGAGAATCCGTCAATTACGACGGATATCTTGCGGCCAGAGATAAAGTCAGCAACCCATCTGCAAAGCTTTTCTGGGAGGCCATAGGATGGAAGTTTGCTTAAGAGGTAGCGTGCCACAGCTGATCGAACGCTTTCGTGATGTTAAGAGCAACGACATGATGAGCCTCACCATGGGATGGATTGGACATGAGCAAATTTCCAGTTTTCTGGGAAGGTGCCGGATTCATAAGATATCTGGAAGAGACGCGAAAGAACTGGAGCAAGCTCCGCTGCACACCTCTTCAGTACAATAGCAGGAATCAAGTCCGGAAAAGAAGCTTTGTTGATGTCGAGCGACAAGAGAACTCGTCTTACGGCCTTATGCCTGAATGTTACCTCCTGCATAGGGAACCCTGTGAATTGACGGGACTTGGGCGTTGTGGGGGACGTCCATGGTGGAGTTGGCAGCAAAGATCTTGGCTAGCACTTCCGCCTTGGCCTTTGAGTCGAATACAATAAATCCATCCTGACACGTAAGTGTTCGAAGGCTACTGTGCGAGAGGTTCTTTTTAATCTGCTTGGCCAGCGACTAGAAAGACCGACTGCCATTGCGCTGCGACATTACCCTGTGTCTAACTCTTATATCATGCTGGTTTTTGGCATTGCGAACCGCTTCGTTATATTTGTTTCTGGACTCGACGTCGGCTTGTCTGTTGTCTACAGTGGGGTTTTGTAAGAAGGTTCTGTGTGCCTTGATCTTCTGCTGGCGGGCAGTGACACATGATTTGTCAAACCAGCCGTTGGACACTTTCACTGTGTGAGGGATGTATTCCTCCATTCCGACGTGGATAATTTTGGTTATCGAAGAACGAACAGCCGACGCATCCGCATCAGTGAAACAGACACCTTTCCAAGGTAAGCTAGAGAAGAAGTCTCTGAGCCCCTCCCAGTCGGCATGTCCGTAATGCCAAGTTTTGCGGACTGTACCAGTTTCTGCTGCCACAGCGGGTTCTGAGCGAGACCTAACCTCCAGAACACCGTGGTCTGAGTTACCCAGGGGGGACAGGGCAGCAGTGCTGTGAGGGATGTGTGGTCAGAAAGAGATCCAGCAGGCTACTGGCGTGTGACGAGACGCGGGGAAAAAAGTAGGGCTCGTCACCAGCTGAGTCAGTCCTTGGGTAAGAGCGAACGCTTCGGCTGCACGACCTGCTGCATCGGTCTCATTTGAGCCCAACCAAAGCTCACTATGGGCATTGAAATCACCGAGAAGCGGGATGATTGATGACATCAAAAATAATTCCCAAATATTGGACAGCTGCACTAACTTCAATAGGAGCACTATCTAAACTAACATGAACGTTGATTTTGACATAATTTCAGAAAGGTAGTTTGCGAAAAAATAAATCTGATATCAAAGTATGATTTAGTTGGAGGTTATGATTTTCTACATATTTAATAATTGATTTTATGTCTTCATTGATTTTATATTCAGCTATTTGAGTGTTGCTACAGCGGAAGTGGTTATACATTTGAGAGTCACGTGCAAAAAACTGAATAGTACGACGTTTAACGAAAGTGTGCAAATCGGAGATGTATAAATAATAATGAACTTGCTTTTTCAAGAACAATGAAATTATCTCTACTGATTCAGCTGATAAAAATTATTCTGATAACATCGATGATTTGTTTAGACAGATACATTTGTCAGTTCATAAATTCCAAGAAAGTAGTTTCACAAAAATGCAACTTCATCTTGTAACGTTTCTATTGGTTGTTGGCACATTAACCATCGAAGCAGGTAAGTATTGCCCTGATGTAATCTCTTTGTTTATATTATAAGCTAGAACGGATGTATTTTCATTCTGAAAAATAGCTACTACGATTAGATACACTTTATGTATTGCAAGCTTCAATTGTTTCATTTTCAGTGCCCCAGTGTGTTAAAATTAGCCCAGCCACTACAGTATACTTTCCTCACGAAATTTACTGTTACAAATTTTATGAATGTAGTGATGGACAAGTCTACGAGAGAACGTGTCCAGACGATCTGAATTGGGCACATACCATAAAGACATGCTCTGACACTGTCGACTGCAGAGAGATGAAGCGAAGGGCATAAAGATGTCATACTTATGTTTTGAGTTAATAAATTAGTGAACCTCAAGTATACGTATAGCCTTTGTTTATTTCTACTAAGTCTATCATGCATTCCAGGTACTATATTTCTGAGGCAGAATAGTTGCGAAGAAGTTTGCCCTTAGATTGCTAACAATAACGTTTTATGAGTCATTATATTCACAATAATAGCTGAAATAGTCCTGTTTCATATTTGCCAGGGTTGTATGATCTTAGATATTTATTGGAAATATGATTGTTCTTCATAGAACAACAGTTACTGTTGCTCTTTTCTATAAAGTTTAAAATTTTGCGAATCAGCCTGGAAAAGACAATTTCATTGAGAATTTTTTTGGAAAATTAGGGGAGATTAAGTACTTGGAGGTCAATAAAATTTATTACACATGAGCTCGCGATGGTTATGCCTGATAATACTTATAGACCCATGACCCAATTTCCATTTATTTGTAATCCACTAGCACATATTGAAAATGTTTAAGTTTGAAACGTGCAATGCCGATATACAAACATAAACATAATTAATGGTGCAGACTTTTGTTATTAAATCTAGTAGATAGCAAATTATGGCATCCAAGAAGAAGTGTTGATGATAAAAAATAATAGTGAATAATGTTTTTTCCCGCAGTGATTTTTTTAAGTGTGATTTTCAGTGGTTGCTTTGTGAGGAGCTTTTCTTCTTCAGGTAAGTAGGTTAGAGTGGATTGTTCTTCAGAAAATCCATTTACCGACAATAACGGAAGAATCACCATGAATTTTCAAATTTAAGATAATAGGTTTTCCCAGGCTTATAACGAGGACCTTTTCCAACATTTCCATCAGTCTACAATATATCCGTCTTTATAAGCTTTTCTGTCAATAATAATAGGCAAAAATAAATTCTAAGAAAATGGACTGCACGTGGCGTGAGATTATCATTTTAATTCCAGCGAAGTAAAAGCTTTATTTTTGTACACTTTATATGTATATCCGTGAATAATTGTTTTAAACTTCTAAAAATTTTCAAATGTTATCCTGAGAGGTTTTACAAATTGCTAATGTCTAAGAAGCTGTTGATTTTATGATTTATGGTGCCTTGAAATAGTACTTGATTAAGTTCCTTATTTGGTCAGTCTAACATTGTATTTGAATGTATCTTTGAATTGTCAATTTGTTCTAATTGAACTTACAAAATTTTAACATTAAACATGTAGTTCTTTGATAGATATTAAGCACTAACTAAACACTAAAACTCCGTAGCTCACAGAAACTGTAATTTTAAAATGCTTTCATAGAAATGACAAACGTCCCTCCAGTGTTTCATCAAGACAACTACGATGACTGTAACCTTGATAAAGGATTATACTGTAGTTTTACGTATGCGGTAAAACCCATCCAAGAAAATGGCACAACGCTATGGAGAACTATTAAGGTGAGCAACCGTAGTATCTTATACCAAGACTGTTCAAAACATAGTTGACTCATTTTTTAATTTTTATTTCCTTATCTAAACATTGTTAAATGTTAAATACATTTCACAGCGTTGTTTCTACATTGCAAGACAGTTCTGTTAAGCTTGGTTTTGATATCGATATTTATGTGGAATCGGCGTCCTTTGGGTACTTGTGAGTGGACAGTAGGGTGGAACGTTGTTATTGGGCAAAAAATAGTTTTATGCATTACCCATTCTAATAGTGATTCAAGTTTTTCGTTTTATGTAAGAAATTCTTGTAAGAAGTTTTATTGTGATAGAGCCACATCTTGAGGTGCCGCAAAAGCAAAACATATTTTTATTCCTTAAATTTTCAAATTTTCTAGAATTCTATTGTTCTTATTTTATTAACGGTTTTTTATGTTAATTATTTCAATTTCATTAAAACTACGCCTAAAATAATGGAACAAAATTTATTGTCGATTATCATTTTACGAGTGCCTATAGGCCCACTTAGTAAGTATTAAAACATGAAAAAATAAAGGTTTTTGTTAAAAAATTTACTTTTTGGCCATGCTGTAGTAAGAATCAGAGAATAGAAAAGGTACTTAACCTAAGCAAAAATATTTATTATTGAGACAAGAACACACATTTATTAATGTAATGCAAATAATAGATGAATAAAACATCATAAACAAGCTAAATAAATGTTCAATTCTCTCAATTACATTTTAGGAAAAGTGCTTCTTTGTTTCATGTTTGGCATCATCTTGTGTGAAGCAATTCTGGCTTTAACAAATCCATTTCTTTATTCTAGACCGTAAACACAGAGTGCTTCGGTTACAAGCTTGATTACTCTTTCCACTGCTTGTGTATGACATGGAAAACGTGGTAAATCAATAGATTGCACCAGGCCACATTCTCTTGATTCACTTATGCACTTGACTAAGTCCTCATCAGTTAGGTGCTTTGACATCGGTGGTTCTGAGATTGTTAAATTAGCCCAATTTATCATGTCGATGTAATCTTTAGCTTTGAAGTTTAGTTCAGGTCTCACAAACTTCCGTACCTCATTCTTCTGTTCCGATCTTGCCTTCAAAAGTCGTCGGAGGTCCAACTCTCTGATGTGTTTCCTCTCATCACTCAACATACAGAGAAGCATGTTTTCAGGGTGAGCTTAGTAGCTAGTTCTTTGAATAACCGGGTCGGTTACTTTGAGATGCTTGTCGCAAAGGTAACGTGAAAACGAAATCAGTCTCCATAAGTGTTTGAATCCATTATCACAAGAAGGCTTCAGATTAATGTAAAACCAGATGGGAGCATACACCTTAACTACTCTGTTAGGATTTTTAGGATTCTCTGTTCCAACATACAATCGGAGAATACGTGAATGTGCCAACTTTCCTAGTTTCTTCATGGCTAGATCAGGCAGGATGATTCAACTTGAAATCGATTTACACATTTCAAGTAAATACTTGTGATTGGTTCTTAGATCTTGTATTATTTCGAGGTTAGGAAGGTTGTCCTCAATCGGTGAGTACGTAACTACTGGAAGCTGATGAAATTTTTCAAGCAGTTTGCCTAATACTCCTCCAAATTCATTAGGCCCTTTTGTTTTTCCATCCAATGCACAAAACAGGTAACGCAATGACAACTCGTTGCAATGGAATAAACATATTAGCCACTGAAAAGAATTTTGAATGTCCTTTTCTAATAGAGCGATAACACCATTATAAGCTCCAGTGTTTGTAGCAGTGCCAATTGCAGTTACACTGTTTAAGTTCAAATCACTGTTACTATTGAAATATTCAACAACGCTATCTTTGATGCCTTCACCTGTACCGGAGGCAGAAGCAACGTGCGCCAAAAAAAGAAAACCTGGCTCTTTAACTAACGAAACGTGTTCTTCAACAATAGTCTTTATGTAAAACTTGTTCCTTTTTTTCTGTTTTACGATTGTCTTATCTTTTCTGCCATCAAAAAACAACGCCTTGTTCTCTACAGCTCGATTGTCGACACTGGTTGCAACTGCCTTTTTTCTATTACTAGCTCTAGCTCTTCGAATTTTCATTCTGTCAGTGACATTAGTTTTTTCTCCTCAGAAATCATTCCCACATCTTTAAGAACGGCACTTGCTATTGCTGCTGCAACCCTATCTGAAACTCCAGTTCTGTCACATATAGAAGCTGCTGTTGGCAATGGTAACATATTTTTTGTTAAGGTCTGAGAAGAGTTGGAAGGCTTTGCATTGTTAATTGATTCAGCCTGAAACTCATCTACTGTATCATAATCTTCATGTTGAAACGCATCAGTTCCGGTCATATTGGCTGATTCTACCGGCAACTCACCATCCGAATCATCAGATTGAAGCACAACGTCATTTTGTGTTTTATTAGCTGCCTCAGCTTCCAAATGGTGTTTGTATTTAAGCTCTTGTCGAATCACCTTTCACTTTCGATCCTTTCTCTGGCTCAAAATCTTAGTAGCAGACTTATTAAGTGTTCTTATAAACATTTTCCTATCAGTTCTTTGATCTACTTAAAACTTTTGTTCAAGCACTTTTTTGTCTTTTCTACACTTACACTCTGAGAACAACTTGCACTTGCAAGATGCTATATCAAAAAGATGCTTACTTTCATTAAAAAATTTGTCTACAGCTAAATCATAATTTTCTGTGCCTTTTCTTCCCTTCGATCTCAATATATTTCTATACTTCTCATGATATGCTTTCCCCATTTGCAGCATATGGGTGCGAGATACTCTCGGAATTGATGCTTTAGCCCAAACATGTTGAACATTTTTTATTAGAATATCTAATATCTCACTCACCGTTGGCTCTTTTGATGATATATCTAGCTTTAACTGATGTAGTATTTCATGACATCAAAATAAGTTGATAAATAAGTATCACTCAGTACTTTAGGATGACCGAAAATAGGACATTCCCACTGAAGTCTAGTCTGAGCTCGCTTTGCCAACATCTCTGACATCTCATTAACAAAAAACTTGTAAGTATTATGCAAATACACTACCAACCGACCCGATAAAAATTAATCATTCACAACTTGCACTTAATAACAACTACTTGCGTCTCGTACCAACACTTAGACTGAAGTGACCTCTGAAGCACAGAGAGACAAGTCGCAACATGAAACAGTACACTCCCCCTCCCAACTTCCAGTACTTCGCTCCGCTCTAACCGTACATACTATGTCACCAACTATGATCAGCTGTTAGCTAGTGCATCTTAGTCACATAGAACTGCCATTTTTAAGCAGAAATGGACAAATACGACAATATTCTGGAAACCCACATATATATTGAGAATTGGTAAATTTCGCTAAAAAATCACAATCTCTAACACTTTGCGGCACCTCTTTCGCTACTCCAATCGTGTTCAAACTTTACAATTGACTTAATAATAGCAAAATGCAACTTTTTATCACTATTACATATTGTTATTGAAAACAATATTTTTTCGTTCCACCCTAGTGGACAGTCATTCGATTCTTGGTGCAAAGTTTGCAATTGACCCCATGAGCTGGTGCGTTGCTGTGGTGAATCAACTATGAGTTGTCTCTATCAATGCCCATATAGAAAGATTCAAGAGGGACATATTAGTGATCCGATGTAATTCATGTACAGTAAGATTTTCGTCTCGGGAGGGAGGGGGTACCTAGTATATATTTAGTGATATATTATTTTTAACATAATTTTGTAGGAACTATCTTCAAATCCGTATAACTACAGACACGATATACTGAGACACAGTATTTGCGTAACTAAGTCGTGTCCGGGAGTTAATCCAAAAAGCTCCCAACTACTCGAAGAGATAAAAGTATGCTATGACCAAAAATATAATTCTTTGGGTATATCAGGATCAATATCCAATTTGAAATGTGAGGGAATATCTTCAGAATACCCAGTGGATGGAGTTGACATATTTGTTGCGTAAGTTTGATTTGAAATTCAATTTACCAACTATTTTGTATTGAAAAATTCAATAAATATCATTACAATATGTAAAACATATGATTTTTATTAATCAATCTTTTCTTACAGATACGTATTCTTCATATACATGGGATTCATATTCATTGCTACTCTTCTATATTCTATATGTGATCTTCGAAAGATATTTGGAAGAAGAGTTGGTCCAATAATAGAGGCCTTCGCAATCATGAAGAACTGGAATAGACTGAAAACGATTACACCTTCACCCGATGTGGAACGTCTAAGATCTATACAAGGTATCAGATTCTACAACATGGTGTTGGTTATTCTAACACACGTGGTTCTGTTTAGTTTGATGGGACCGATAGCAAACACGACAGAAACCGAAAATGTAGGTATACTTCTAACATGCTTTGAGAATATTTAGACATTATGCAATTAACATGATTTCCTTTCGAAACCAGATGTCTTTATTCAATGTTGCTAAACAAATCATCCCAACGTTTGGACCAAACATCAACTTGTTTCTGTGGTACAAGAAATTTTGGTGGCATGTCACGAGAATCTGAAATATTATGTACGGTGGATATTTTATTCAGAATATAACCTTCTTGTTGATAGCTTATCTTCCATGTGTTAATTTCAGCTGACCAGTAGATGGACCACAGTTTTCTTAGCAAGTGGTCCGCTCTGCGTTTCAACATTCTTCATGATATCAAGCTGGTTACTAATACATGGATTGCTAGATGCTTTCAAGCATAAAAAAGAAATCAGCTTCAAGGTGCTTATTCTAGCTTTTGTCAACAGATATATCAGGTAACTCATATTAGACACGAAAAAAGCAAGACAAATATTTTTGAAAGACTGAGGTCTCCGCATTACTATAAAAATTTAAGTATTCAAACTCAAAAAGATGTAGACTTTTGAAAATCATAATACTTTTCAATAAAGACCAACTGACACACGGTTTTTGCCAATACCGATAATCGGTCGATACCAATGTTTCAAAAATCGATATATTAGTAGCCCCTATCATGAAAGCATTTTGAACAAATGTATTTCAAGGAACCAGACGCATTTGAACATCCCTATGTAAAGAACTTTTCCATGGCCAATTATATCAATAGAAATGCGTTTGTGGTGATACCTGCAGAATAAGAGAAAAAACACGAAAGTTCGTGTTTGCAGGTTGATCACAGATCCGGTCACATTGCTCACATGTTTCTCATTTAACAGCTGTGAAAACCCTAAAATCCAAAGGAAAATCTTCCAGTATGAAGTTACCACTTAAAACGTAAAACTAGAAAGCATTTTACGATAAGCCAGTTTTGCAAAATTGTACTACGTGAAACGCATTTTTCACAGACCTCAACTACTAGGTTTTCCATCTGCTGTGAGCAACATCAGATTGATGAAACCGGTTTTTTTCAATGCAAGTAGCATATCGATTTGTTTTTGAGTCCACCACTAGGAGAATGTTAAAAATCCCGAAAGAAACATTTCGACAAACTTTCCAATAAAAAAAAGGATATAAAGCAATCTGTATACTGTACGAAAATTAGAAAAGAGGCTACATTGGTACAACCAATGGAAATCAAAATTTATATATCGTTTTTTTTATCAATTCATTTATCTCTGATTGTGATTAACTTCATAATTTGTATCTGTCGGCCTAGGGGTTAGCGGTTAGGTTTCTCTTGTGAGTGCATCAATAACGATCCTCCACACCTATTCATATTTCCCCTAGTAGCTCCGACCTCCTGAGGAAGTCGATCAACTTGTTTGGGAAATATCCTTCAGGTCTTCTGCTTGGTGTACTACGTCTCCAAATATGTTGTACCTGATTCTGGCCGTTGCAAGGCATCTGCACAATACATGCCTGACCGTTTCATCTCCGTCCATGCACAGTAAACTCGTGTGGTGACGCAATTTGCAATGACCAGTGTACAGTCCTACTAGAGCTTTGACGCTATTCCTGTTCAGCCTTAGCAAAGAGTCAGTTACCTTCATTGTCAAGATTGGTATAGTTGCCTTAGCATGGGTTAACCCTGCACATCCCTCCCAGTATTAATGGACCTTTCTGTCCATCTCAGCAGAGATTATTTGTTTAGCCGTATTGTATGCGATCCCAATCGCTATCTCAGGCCATATGAAGGGTGTGCTTGCCCCACTCTTTGCCAGAGTTTCAGCTGTCTCGTTTCCCTCTAGACTTGTGTGTCCTGGTATCCATATGAAACGGACTCCATTTCCCTCCCATATGCCAACGAGTGCTTCTTTGGCATCTGTCGGCCTATATGGGCAACATAGCCGTTTCGGCCGATTCGTACGGAGGGTAGACCATGTAAGGTCATCTTCCTTGTAAGGCCAGTTACTAAAAGGTCGTAGTTATTGTCATGCGATGACAAATTCCTTATACTCACACTTATATCCATCGAACTCAATGACATTAATAAAGCATCCCACAAACCGGCGCGAAATATTCGCTTTGGCTGCGAAAATTTCGCGGCGATGAATTCGCGATCAGATTAAAACGCGGCGGTTTACGGACAGGCTCAGACTTGTGCGAAGCGAATGCGATTGTTCCAGCGTTTTTATCGCGGCGTATTTCAGTTCGCCTTTGACCGCGTTTTTGACGCCGTTCTTCAAAAATTCGCAATGGCAAAAACGGAATTATTGATAGAAATAGTAAAAAAGTATCCTTGTTTGTATGATTTGTCGAACGATGAATACAGGAATGTGAGAAAGAAAGACAAGATTTGGATGGAAATAGGAAAAGAATTAAATACAAATGGTATTTACCTAATATTTTTTATTAACTTGTTAAATAATTTACAGTCTACACAAATGTGAAAACGAACATTCTATATATTGGGCATAGGCATATCAGATTAAAATAATTTACGAATTTGTCACGAGTAGAAAATGCTAGCCTTGCTGCCCGCCGAGGATCATTTGCTATATCAGTAAAAGCTCCAAGCACGGGTTCTGGGGGATCTAAGAATTGAAAATATTTGTCATCGCCACTTTTACTTCGTAAAAAATTGTGTAAAACACATGCCGTACGTACAATTAGAATAGTAGTATCTACTTTAGTTTCTAATGGCCTGTAAAATATTCGCCATTTTTGAGACAAAATACCAAACACATGCCGTACGTACAATTAGAATAGTAGTATCTACTTTAGTTTCTAATGGCCTGTAAAATATTCGCCATTTTTGAGACAAAATACCAAACGCATTTTCCACGACCCTTCTAGCTCGACAAAGTCTTACGTTGTATTTCTCTTTTCTGACGTCTGTTAAAATCTGCTTATAAGGAAATGGTCTCATAAGGTATGGTTTTAAAGCAAATGCTTCATCACCAATTAAGACGTACAAGCAGATTTCATTTTGCCCAGGGAGAAATCTAGGTGCAGGGACACTCATTAAATTTTGTTCAAATCGTTTTCCCATGTTTGAGGTTTCGAAAATACCCCCATCACTATTTTTTCCGAAACCACCAATATCAACACATATAAATTTATAGTCCGGGCCAACAATGGCCATAAGTACTATTGAATATTTATGTAAATAGCACCAGTAATTGGAGCCACTGTTGTTAGGTCTCTTGATTGTTACATGTTTACCGTCCACGCTGCCAATGCAATTGGGAAATCCCCATCTATTTTCAATTTCTTCAGCACATTTTTTCCATATATTCTCTGTTGGTTCTGGTAAATATATATGCTCCATATGTCTGCATATCGCTTCACAGACTTTGGTTACGATTGCACTCACTGTTGTAAAGCCAACTCGAAAGCTATGCCCAATGGTATAGAAGGTGTCACCAGTGGCAAGGAATCTATAAAAAAAATCGTTTTTAGGTGATGAAGTAAAAAAAAGGTGGAAGAATATCAGAGACACATTTGCAAAATATATAAAATCTACCAAACCAAAGACCGGCCAAGCAGTGGGCAACATAAAAAAATGGCAGTGGGCTGACTACATGGAATTTTTCCGTCCTTTTTTGGCATTTGCCAAAACGTCGTCTAATGTGAAAGATATTGACGTCATACATTATGAGACTGCCGAATTTAACTCAAATATATATCAGATGAAAATGCTGATGTAAATGCAGAAGATGCACAGAACGCCTCGGCAACACAGACAGCACCACCTTCTTCATTGAACACTACAGCAGTGACTACTCCAGGGAATAGCTTTCCGCAGACTGCAACTACACCAAAATATAAAACGAGCAGAAAACGCTATGAATCACCATCTTCGTCTGTACAACAGCTCATTAATTATTTTGAAGGTAAAAAACCTAAAAAAGAGAACGAGGCCATTGATTCACTTTTCTTGGCACATGCACAGACTGTGAAAACACTTCCCTTAAAGTGTCAAGCCCGAATAAAACTAAAAATAGCCGAATTAATAGCGCACGAAGAATTTGAACATATTGAAGAAATGTCTTCAGCGTCTACCCAGAATTCTGCAAGTATGTATGATAGTAGTATGTCGTCCTTCCCAAGCGGCACTGGGTTTACTCCAATAATATACCCAACAGAGGAGGCAAATTCTGCCTCGAATTATTTAGCAACATTTAATCCTAGTCGCAACATGTAGTCCAATTATTACAATAAAATATTTATTTCACAATCCCTGAAGTTTTCGTATTCGATAAGCCTACTAATTTTAATACATATAATTTTTTTACCTGAGTGTAATAGCAAGTCGTTCTTCTGGCGAAATAGCTTCACGATAATTTGTGTCAGATTTTCGTATTTCATCTTTCACCAAGTTCAATATTTCTTCGAAACACTCTGGAGTCATTCTAAAATATACGTAAAAGCGCTGTTCATCCAGCCGAAGTTGTGGCATCAAGATATGGTATTCCCCAAATTTATTTCGTTCCAAGTTAATATCATGTACCCACTTCCTTCGTTTCCTAAACAAAATTGAAAATATTTGCTTTATGTACTTCGTTAAACTTAATACATACCCAACTATCAAATGGCGTTAAATAAACATAACTTACCGTGCATTTTGTTCCTCTTCTAAAGCAAGAAATGCCTCCTCTTCTTCTGAAGACGAGCTCATTGCAAAAGGCAAAAATAAAATGTACGCAACCTGTCGAAACCTTCACGTTCGCGGAGCGAATAAGACGCTTTGGTATGAATAAACAGGCGAAACAGATTGCGAATTTCACTCTGAATTTCGTTGCGAATACTTCGCCGCGATTATTTCGCGCCGGTTTGTGGGATGCTTAATGCTGCAGCGAGTCGCTCTATCTTTATTTTGTCGACGCCGTCCCCCGCTTTGTTGACATCGATGGTCGACATTAAAATTATAACACTAGTTCAAAGCTAGACGTAACTTTTCAATTAAATACACTATTATTTTGTAGATTTCTAACGCCATCTCAAACATTTTGATCTTACATAGTGAGGCCATTTTGGTCAATCAATCAATCATAAAGGCAAACCGTTTGATATCAATATAAAATTTAATAAGACTACTTTGAAAGAATTTTCACGAATACATTAATGATAGCTTTCAAGTACTGCTCACTGAGAGTGAGTATGAGTATGAGAATATATTATTTTATATTATATGTAATTTAAGTAGCATAAGCAGATATTTTGGTCACAACACTAGCTTTAAGTTAAATAACAGATATATTAAATTTGCCTTATATGGAACCTTGTTCTTTGCAAGGACGTGCGGCAGAAGTTAATAAAACTTGAATTAAATAAATGATAATCAATAAAGGAAAATACTTTATTAGTTACATAATAGGTCAAGGTGTTACATAATGATTTATTTGTTATACTTATCCAGTAAATAAAGGAATAATAACTGTTTATTTGTAAGCCTGACTCTCCGTGGATCAGCCACCTACTACCAGCAAATTAGGTCGTTAGGCCGTCATACGTATCGATATTGATCGATCCCTATTTTTTATCTAATCTCTTCAGTTCATCAACTGAAAATGAAAGAAGCATAGCACCATAAGGAGTCAACTGTATATTTACGATTTTTCGTAATTTAGACATATATTTTAGGTTAACTCCTACGCTTGCAGCAATTATAGCTTTTCAAGCAAGTTGGTTGAGGCACTTTGGTGACGGTCCGAATTGGAATCATCATGTTGGGGAAGAGTTCATCAGATGCAGGAAAAATTGGTGGACGAACTTACTGTATATCCACAATTTTGTGGATCCAGGAAATATGGTAAGTATCGTTCAATATGTATTCGTTTCTTGCATATTGGACCAGCATATCTAAGCAGTTCAGGAACAGTAACTGTACAGATTGTGCTGTATAGCTTCCTCATATGTACGAAAACTATCAAGTACTGATGAAACTGCTTAAAGATAAAGCTGTACAGCACGAAAATACCTTCAAAGTAGTACCTTATTTGTTGAGTACGCTGTAGCAACAATCTATTCATTTGAAAAAAATGCTAATTTTCAAAAATATCTTTTAACAATACGTGCACAACAGAAAATACAAAATTCATCAAAAATGCATAAATTGAAAATGTGCAGTTGAAACTAAGGCTGGTGGTCATTTTTTGCGAATTGTTCAGCATTGTAGCTCCTTCTGCAAATTGGTCATATGAGGTTCTCCTTTCGAGATTTTTTTTATCCTCTACAACTCTTATGTAGACCACTTAGACCAATACTTCATAACTTTTCTAATGTTCTTGTAAAAGTGATTCTCCCAACTTGGCGTTTAGTAAAAATTGCTTGTAACTCTAGATGAAAAGCCTTTTTGTATACAAGTACTTCTAATAACATTATTCTATTGTAAAATCCGCCTATATAATTTAGGGCTCCTTATCGGCTGGATAACCTAATCTACATGTATGCACAGTTAGTCTACTTAATTTTATTTGACAGAGGTGAACACAAGTGCCATGCCTTCTCCTGTGGGAATTATCAAAGTATTTCAATGGATTTTCCTTATTTTTTCCTTTTTTTAGTGCATGCAAACCACGTGGTACCTAGCACTTGATTCACAATACTTCCCAGTGCTATTATTAACAGTTTGGTGCATCAAAAAGTATCCTAAAATGAGGTGGCCGCTTCTAGGAGGTCTTACGGTGTTGTCGATACTAGTGACTTTTTATGAGAATTACACCAATCGGTTTCCTGCTCTCCTCATGCCTACGCCAGAGTAAGTGGTGAAACAATCATTTTTTTTTAATTACCATGTCCAGCTTAAATATTAGAACATGTTATAGGAAACTGAAGCAAGCACCAGCATCTTTACATAACTTATTAACTGGTTCATATTTTACGTTTTTTTCATAAAATCAGTGTACATATTCAGGTTCTTTTGGTTAGAACGGAACGACCTGTAAAACTTGCTTGTGATAAGACTGGTTAAGTTTTCGTGTTTGAAACACTTTTATTTGTAGCCTTGCATGCACTCCGTTTTTTCATGGTTCTCTTCCATCTCAAAAAATTTATCATAACCATACGGAAAAGGAATATAAAAAATGCAAGGAAATGGCCGATGACGGCACGAGACTCGAAATGACAAACGTTTTATGGGGGCAAATTTAGAACGAAGTAAGGCAAACATAAAAGCTGCACCAGTTTTATGAAAACAAACCGCAATCACTAAAGCACTGCATGGTCGCTAGTTTCCAGCATGAGGAAATCAATTCGAGATTTGTTGCAGTTGGCTGAAATATGATTTTACTTCAACACAATACATATAATTCGAATTCTTACAGGTCCCTATATGGTATTAATCACACGTTAAAGAACATGCAGTGGCATATCCAGTACATAGGACTATTTGGTAATTTGGCAGGCCCCCTAGTAGGACTGTACTTTGGATATATATATCATAATAAGAGAGATACAAAGTTGTTCGTATCAAAGGTAGGATGCAATAAATAGCACCGCTTCTTACTTTTTGGAAGAGCCATGAAATCAAAAACATGTCAATCAGGGTTTTGGGCACATGGTATCAGGACTAAGTGATTAACTACATGGCAGCAAAATTTCAGTTAATTTTATCGTGAGAACTTTACCATTTCTACTTCGTCTTCTAAAGAAAGTGTAATTAATTTTTCTTCTAGTAAGTGAATACTGGTATCTTACATTGCTCATACAAACTATTTTTTAGATTTCTAAGTGGGTGTGGTGGTTAGTTGTCCATGTGGCATGTTATGGAATCATCATAATTCCAGGAATATTTTCTCTTGACATAAATAAAGAGCACTCGCCGTTTTGGGCATCTATGCATGCAGCTACCGCAAGACTAGTCTTTGCAGCTGGGATTGGATTTGGACTTTTCGGGCTGTCGCAGAGGGTAGAGTGTGAGTTGGAACATGTTTTATGGTAAACCAGGGACCTGTAACATAAACGCTACAGTTGTCATTATTTCGGTTCACAACACTACTTGTAGCTGTATGTGCGACGCCTAGTAATTACAGGAGAAACATTACAATTGTAGGCGTATTCCGTAACACAACGACCACACTTGTAAGATTGAGTTACAGAATTTTCTACAGTTGCAGTTACTCATTTATATCTCTGGGTAGGAATTGGTAATGACAGCATAATAGTAACGTCGATAGTGGAGATTCCTATGCTGTTCTGGTTTTTTAATTTATCATAAAACGTGAGATGGACCTAAGTCACAAAATATATCCAATATTTGCTGTGAATTTTTCATTAGAACTGTTTTATACGTAGAATAGTACACTTGTAGCTACAATTATTGTTGAAGATCACTCACTTCTTTAACTTGTAATTACAAGTGTTGTTATTTGCGTTATGTTACGGAATTCAGTGAGACTTGTAGGTACAGCAAATTGTAAATTGTGGACTTGTAGTGTTGGGGTTACAGGCCCCTAATCGTTTGATAGAGGTACGCGTTGCAACCTAAATAACGGCCTTCAATTTACGTAGTTTTTTCTGCCTTAAATTCTATCTATACACAAAAAATTGGAAACCTTCTGAGAGGTTTTTAGTTCTATTTCAAATGTTTATTTTTCAGGTTACTTAAAGAGAGTGCTTGAGTGGCCACCAACGTACGTACTTGGACGACTTACCTACAGTGCTTATCTAGTCCACATACCAGTACTACTCTTCAAAATAGGAGTATCACGATCACCGACATTCTTCAACGAGTTTCTTATAGTAAGTGTCTCTCCATAAATATACTGAGTGACAAAAAAGGTGAACACGTACGTTTATTAGAATTCAAGAACTTGTCTCATATCGATTTATCTTGCCAAGTGATAAAATGGCCAGGTTTTTGTGTTATGTTTTTGTGGCTGCGTGTATTGTTTATTGATAAAGAAGCATTTAGTTTTCGTACATTTGCGGTGTCAGTTAAATGTTAAAATTCGTGCAGCTTATTGAGAAGCCTTTTTCTGATGGCTCAAAATACCTAGAGTGCGTGGAATTCGCCGAGTGTCCCAGCTAACTGACTTTGAGAGAGGTCGAATTGTCGGGTTGCGTGGAGCCGGTCTATCGACAAGAAAAGTTTCTAGGAGGACCAACAGTTCCTTACGCTGGATACTGCAGTGTGGACGAGCGTGGGCTCAGGATGGTCAAGGACTGTGAGTGAGGGGTTCTGGACGTCCCAGAGGGACCACAGAGCGACATATTCAGTATTTTTATCTTTCGGAGGAACAGGATTGCAATAAGTCTTTATGATCAATGATAAAGATGGAGAGTACCTGTATATGGCTTTTTGTGCCTGTAACTTAAGAAGCATAATCAGCCAATAATTTTTTTTCAGTTCTTGGACCTAGGCGGGACCCTAGTAGCAACCTACATGGCAGCACTGGTACTTACAATCGGTATTGAGATGCCTACATCACAGCTCCTAAAACTGGCCTTAGTTGACACAACAGATGTATCGAATAAGAAAAAATAAAAGTGATTAATAAAAAAGAAGTATAATTTATTTAATGTTTATGCACAAGTGTGAAAATTACAGTCATGTTTGGTGGTAACAGATGCTTGATATACTCGTACATTTCAAACTTCAGTTTTTTGGCATTTTTATACAGGGTGTCCCGGAAAAAGTGTGCAATAATCTACCAGCGGTTTCTAGAGCTCAAAATAGGAAGAAAAGTTTATATAAACATAGGTCGACAAATTTCCCCTAAGGGTGCTACGGTCTTTTAAAGGGGCTTCCCTGAAGATGGTTTTTCCTCAATATTTTCGAAAAGTGTTGTGACAAAGACATAAAATTTGGTATTATAGCCTACTTCTTTATGCTGGATTTAAAAATATTAACAATTTTACACAGTTTTGTTTGGAAGCGTATGTAACAGGGACGGACTCAGCTTATTTTAGCCCCAAAATTTATGTAAGATTCTATTTTTGAAATTCAATTTTAGAATTTGAAAATTTAGAGTTTTCTACATAAAAAGGTGCTTTTATTGAATATCGAGAAATTGTGCAATATTTTAATAAAATCAAACTAAAAAATTTGTCACATGACAGGAAATGTACTGCGAATTCAAATGAATTATTGAATAATTAGCCATGGCAACGAAAAAACTAATTTAATAATTGGTAAACATTACAAAAATACATATTTCTATTGCAACATAGCTAACATTTAGGCAAAAACAAAAGAAATACGTTTTTTCTACGAACGAAATTGAAATTTGTTTAAAAAAGAAGACATACAGTTGGATTTACTTAAAACTAGCTTTACAATAACTGTTTAAATAAATTCCCATTTTGTTGGAAACAGAAGTCTCGCTCGACGAACTAATGATTGCGTAGCCCGAAAAGTGGAAAACCTTTTTCTTCTTATTTCATTTGCAGCCTGATGGATTCTTTGAGGTAAATCTTCTTGAGTATTTACTTCAGTCGAGTAAACTAAGTCTTTTAATGACCCCCAAAAATAGAAATCCAATGGATTTAGGTCAGGTGAACGTGGCGGCCACGCTATAGGACCTCCTCGGCCTAACCACCTGTCTGGAAAATTGACATTCAACCAATTTCGAACATTGTGTCCAAAATGTGCAAGGGTGCCATCATGTTGAAAAAACATATTTTCTTGAAACTGCTGGCGCACATCCAATGATATTATATCCATGAGCTCATTCTGAAGAAAGTTCAGATACACCTCTGAATTAAGACGATTGGGAAGTACAATAGGCCCAATTACTTGATCCCCAATTACTCCTGCCCATAAGTTCAATGAAAATCTATGTTGGAAATTTGTACGGCGAACAACTTTTGGATTTTCATTTGACCAGTGATGCATGTTATGGAAATTAAAAGCACCATTCCTAGTAAATATTGACTCATCCGATCATAATATTCTAGGAATAGTGTTTCCATTTGCTAATATCCACTGGCAAAACTCGATTCGTGGTAAAAGATCTGCCTCCGTTACATGGTGCACCCGTTTGAAATGATAAGGATGTAATCATTGCATTCTTGTCATTCTTCCTATCTAAATTATTATTTTTAGGATAACTATCAAATAGGTATTCATAAATTTTTCTTACTATTGATCGAGGTATATCCATAATTTCTGAAACACTTCGTATGCTTATTTGCGGATTATTTTCAAACATATTTAAAGCAATATCCATACGATGATTTACCAGTGGCCTTCCTGAGCCCTGCATGCGCTGAAATCTTCCATTGTTTGACAAATTCCGGCGAATATCAGTAAACATTCGACGTCCAGGAACGATTGGGAAATCTTCTTTGATATTCTCTTACGGCTGCCAATGAACTGCCATTGCAAAACCCGTACACAAAATGCATGTCAGTCAGTCCTCTGTCTGTAAATCTTGGCATTTTAAATCGATTTAATAAATTTTTTGATTATAATCTAGTAATTTTACACTACTAACAATGTCAGCTTAACGTCAAAATAAGTCATAACAAATCAAAACAACTTTTGTTTGCAGTCATGGCTAACTATGTATAATCAACAATTCATTAAAGTTCGCTGTACATTTCCTATCATGTGTCCGTCCCTGTTACATACGCTGTAAAATTATTAATATTTTTAAATCCAGCTTAAAGAACTAGGCTATAATACCAAATTGTATGTCTTTATCTCAACACGTTTCAGAAATATTAAGGAAAAACCATCCTCAGAGGGGCCTCTTTAAAAGACCGTAGCGCCCTTAGGGACGTTTGTCGACCTATGTTTATATAAACTTTTCTTCCGCTGGTTGAATATTGCACACTTCTTTCGGGACACCCTGTATATAGCTTGAGCCTCCAACTTCTTCAGTAATATGATAGTTTCACCTAACATTTTTTAAAAATAAATACCCTCAATCCGATTCGAAGCTTTAGAAATAAAAAAAATGGTTTTATATAAAAAAAATATCAAAATAATATGATGGAGATAATCCCAAAGAACCCATTATAGTCAGACTATTATCTGTTGTATCAATTGTTTATGATATTCGTTAATTTTCTCTTTCCATGCAACTGGCGAGGAAGTGATGCAATCGCGAAATATGTCGAAAATGAGATATTATGTAAAAATCATATTACCTATTTCCGCCTATCTGCCTGTTTGTCGGTGTGTCCGCTAATCCTTATCCCATCGATAACTTCGGAAGTACGACTCGGATCAGATGAAATCTTCACACATCTTCACTATTTGTACTACGCCAAGGACGGAGTGGCAGTGCGCAGATGGAAGAAAAAAACGAGAAAACGAAGATTGCTCGAGCCCCGTTTTATGACGTTTCGGAACCTCTTTACCATTTTCAGACAAAAATTTGTAGGGTTAAAAATTGGGGGATGGGGGAAGGTATACCTCAATATTCCAACCTCGGTAATTCTAAGCACCTATTAGTCATATTTCATACGTTTATAGGCTTTCCCGTACATTTGCCCATAAGGCTTGAAATGATAAATATTTACAATACGCGTCTCGGTTTCTGCTTACTGTATTCATCGGCTTCACGGACTCGATGAATGTCCTGCTGTTACTGTCGGGGTGCAGTGCTGCTGAGTCTGACGACGAAGGGCCAGAGGCGACGTTGCCAGAGGGACTATACTATCGATATGGCAGAGAGAGAATGTTTATGGACAATAATATAACGGTTTTGATCCATTTAATTCCTCTGTTATACAAGTTTGTAAGTATTTTTTTTTTCTCAGAGAGTCTAGATTGTGCTAAACATAATCCTTTGCGAACCTATGACAGCATTGCGTGGAACGTGCAAAGTCCTCCTACTTCACGGCATTTTTTATTTGGAAATTCAAACGTTGGATCGTCCTAATGAGATTTTTTCTTCATGAAGGATTCTGCGCACAATCTGTGTTCAAAAGGAAATGACACTACTTGATCTGCAACATTTTATCAGTCAGAACAATAGAAGGGATTTTATTGAATAAAAAAGCGGATACAAAATAACCACTCTTTATTTGTATTTATTGTCGATAATTTGTCGTATAACACTTTTGTGTTATGGATCGGAGGGCACAATTTGTTGTACAAGTTTCACAATAAATCACTGGAGAAGTCATAACGTTTTACTTTTATTTGAAAAGCATCATCGTTATGATGATTATACAGGGTGGGCTATGAAAGTGTTGGCGATTTAAATCTTAAATTTCTCGGAAACGCGGGGCTCCGGTTGGGGAGGAGGATGAGCTGCTAGCCGCGGTGCTCGACCGATTCAACATTTTTGGCAACGTGAAGTTTAGTGGTGAGGCCAGTTTTAACTTCAATGGCCATGTTAACACACAAAATTGTCGGTTCTGGTCTGAAACTAATCCCCGACGCTTGCATTAACGTTCACTTCACAGCCCTAAACTAGTCGTGTGGGTTAGAATTACGTCAACCGGTATTATTGTACCGTACTTTTTTGAGGACGAAATAGGGCAAGCGATGACAGTTAAAGCTAACAATTATTGCAATATGATAACATACTTCTTGGTGCATGCTCTGCAAGAACTCCAAGGCAATACCTCTAGAATGTGGTTTCAGCAAGATGGGGCCACATGTCATACAGCTAGGGTATCTATAGAGTTGCTGACAAATGTCTTTCTCGGAAAACTCATTTTGAAAAGGGGGGATATTGAATGGTCACCACGTAGCCCGGATCTCCATGCGATTATTTCCTGTTGGGCTACCTCAAATCGGTGGTCTACGAGAATAATCCAACTAATTTAGAGCAGCTGAAGAGGAATATTGTTCGGAAAAGTAACAAAATTAGAGAACAACTTTTCAACGAATTTCCAAAAGTCATTTGAACAACATTATTTTTAAGTCTTAAAAATTCCTATCTTTCTACTTTTTAAAAATTAATTTATTCTTCTTTTATATTGCGTAGTTATTTTTTAATTAAATATTGAAATTGCCAACACCTATATGGCCCACCTTGTATATGCGAGATATCGTAAGTTCTAGCATGGATACAATGCTACTTACTCTGTGTAGCTAATACTTTTAATGCACTTGTATCACTTTTTCTTTCTCTAATATTTCCATCTTCTTTTCTTCCTATTAGAGGAACCTGTTTTTTTAAGCCTCAACCTTCACCGTCAAAAGGTTCTTAAGATATCACTTCACACTATCTAGATGCAAAAATAAAGTTGTAGTGACGTATCGATGAAAACCTTATGATAGCGACGGTTGCAGTATTTGAGACGTTTGTCTCGCACAAGTGAAAATACAGCCACCTAAAAATCATATTCACCTAATAAATAAATGAGAAAGAATATGAAAATAAGAGGAAAAGAAAGAAAAATTACAAATTCGTCGAAAACAATAGCTAAACAGGGTAAAAAGGACATTAGGTTTAAAGACTTATGACATTAGTTTTGTGATCATGCTAGGACACATAGTCTTTGTAGCCGAATAATATCGATGTCAATCTGACAGTGCTGTTCAAATAAGAGCAAGATTTTCAACAAATTGTACTATTCTATCGCACTTCCACCAAATCGGAGAACCTACAATCTACAACACTTTGGCATCAGTCTATCACAATAACACTTCTTTTCATCCGCATCTCAGTACTTTTGTCGTTCTCTCTACTAGCTTCTACTTCTTCCCGTATCCTCCCCCTCCTCCAAAGCCGAATCCAAATCCTCCTCCGGACCCCCCACCACCACCGCCTCCTCCACCACCACCACCACCACCCCCTCCATAATTTCCCCCTCCACAGCAAGGCTGAGGTGGCGGTTGAGGTTTAGGCGCAGGCGCACAGCACACGGGGGCAGGCGCAGGTGCAGGGTAATAAACTGGCCTTGGCGCAGGATGGTAGACAGGCCTTGGCGCAGGATGATAGACAGGCCTAGGAGCGGGTTGTTGCACATACACTGGGGCAGGGCGCTGTACGACGATCTGAAATTAAATATCGAATTCGTGTATTTATTGATGCCAAAGTGACCCTCCTTCAGGTAGAGTTTTAACATTTGCGATTCATAGTAGGCTTAGCAGTTGTTATCATAGATCAGCAAAGTCCTAATGATTCTGAATACATTTGAAACGGTCATAATTTTCAGAGTATCTAAAATGCTCTAAGTTCTCTGAATTATCAAAGTGTTTTGAGATTTTCGAAAACCAATATTTAACATTTTTCATGTTTTCCAAAATTTTCAGGATTTCCGAAATTTTGATAATGTTCAGTTGCCACGACGTTTTTAATATCATTAAAATTTGCAAAGTTTTATGTATTTTAAAAATCTCCAGAATTTTAAAAATTTTCACAATTTATTAAACCAAACTGTTAGACATTTTTGATTCTTGAATGTATATGTTTCCGAAATATTAAAAATTTTTAAATCCCTGAAATCAAGGCTTTCAGATTTTTCAAAGCTTTCCAATTTCCCAAATAATTTTATAAATATCATAATTCTCCAAGTTTACTGGAAATTTCTGGTTTAGAATCTTTAAAACTTAAAAAAATTAAATCTCCAAAATTACCAGAATTTAAAAATTTCTCAAACTTTTAAAATTTTTTTGTTTTCAAATTTTTCCAAATTTTCAGAATATTCAAAATTTTCATAATATCTTCAAACTTCACCGAATCAACTCCTGAAGCGTCAATTCGAAAAACTTGAATTTCCAAAATTTTTAAATTTCTCAAACTTTTCAAAATTTTGTGTTTTCAAATTTTTCCAAATTTTCATGATATTCAAAATTTTCAGTGTTCTAAATGTTACAAATTTTCATGACTCACAATTTTTAAACTTCGCTGAATTTCCGCAATTTTCATAATTTTCTCATTTTTCAAAATTTTCAAAACCTTCAAAATTTTCACAATATTCAAGATTTTCAAAATTATGTCGTCAACAAGAGATGCAGGCATTTGGACCCCCAGAGTAGTGAGTATCCAGGTACTGATTAAGTTTCTAGTATAACTCCTGAAACTTATTATATGATTTTCATATTCATAGAACTCCATTGTCTGACAGAATCAAACCACATACCTGTTTTAACCCATTTACGCCTAATGTACTATGAATAGTACAGCCTAAACTTGTTTGTTCCTGTAGATATTTGTACGATTTGGTTAAATTGAATAGCTCGCGGGGACAGTTTGCGGGTGGATCTCGTACAGTACGGAGTAATTTTGCGTATTTTGCAATATTTTGTATGTGAAATCAGTTTTTGTGTATTGGAAAATAGAAGATGAAGGAATATGGCTGCGCTTTGCAAAGTAAGTAGGTTTTTTATGACATAAAATAAAAAAAAAACTAGTTTATTTTTATGAAAATATTATTTCCTTAATCGCGGCTTATAGATTTTATGAATTTATGATGTGTTTCATTTATGCTTTGTTTGTGAGGTTATGATAAAGTTAGGTGTACTATATCTAGTACATCAGGAAAAAAGGGGTCTACGAATATGTTCATAGTCAAAACAAAAATAAAATGGTTTTAGGAAAATTATTTTTGAATAAGTAATTTTTTTGAGAAGGAACATTTGTTTCAGGGGTTTTTCTTTGCATGAGGCGCTAGCAATGATAGAGGATGACGACATTGCAGCTGAATCTATCACTTTGTTACCTCCCACTAATGCATGCGGTAACATAACCGACGCGGATTCTGGAGACGAAGAAAGACTGGATATCAACAACTTGCCAGGAAGCTTAATGCAAGCTGAGGTAGAAGTAAATAAGAATCAAAACGAGGATATGTGGAGTTCAGAAGATGAAATACCACTCAGTGAAATCAGGGGTAATAATCGGAAAGAAGTGAAAAAGAAGAAAACATATAATTACGTAAAAGACGATTTGCCAAGAAATGAGTATGCGTTTCCAATAAACAACGAAAATCAAAATGAACAAGAGCAGTCCCCAACCGAGATACTTTTTAGTCTTTTGATGACGAAATTCTGAACATAATAGTTGAGGAGACAAATCGGTATGCTCAGCAGAAAAACAGGAATATTATGGTTACCAAATCTGAAATCAAATGTTTTCTAGGCATATTATTGTTGAGTGGCTACAGTAGTGTATCTCGCAGAAGGATGTATTGGGAACAATCCAGTGATTCACACAAACTCACTTGTTTCTGAAGCTATTTCTCGCGACAAATTTGAATTTGTAATGTCTCACATTCACTTCCTAAACAATGAAGCCCTGGATGCAAATGATAAATTTGCTAAACTGAGATGTCTTTTCAATCACCTAAATAAAAATTTTTTGGAATACGCAGTACCAGAAGAGCATCATAGTATTGATGAGGCAATGGTTCCATACAACGGGCGACATGGTTGTAAACAGTATATCCACGAGAAACCAATACGTTATGGGTTCAAATTTTGGGTTAGCGCTACTACTCTTGGTTACATCTTATGGTTTGAACCTTATGAGGGTGCTTCGACGTATGTGAACGCGGCTTACAAATCTTTAGGTGTTGGCGCATCAGTTGTATTGAGCTATGCTGATAGGCTAAAAAGCAAATGGGCAAATCTTAGGTTTCATTTTGTATTTGATAATTTTTTTTCTTCGCCAGCTTTGTTTGAAAGCTTGACTGAAAAAGGCATATGTGGTACAGGAACAATTCGTGAAAATCGTATACCCATGTCTTCTTTGAAAAATTCAAAAAAGGAACAACGTGGAGTGTTTGATTATACCAAAGTAAAAACTTAATTTTTGTAAAATGGAATGACAACAAAACTGTAACTTTTGGGTCTACAGCGATTGGAGTTGAACCAGTAAATTCAGTAAAGCGGTATCCTCAAAAAGAAAAAAGTTTGTGTATGTAGATCAGCCAAAAGTTGTCAAGCTGTATAATAAATGTATGGGCGGGGTGGATAGGTCAGACCAGAATATAGCTCAATAAGAGTACAAATCCGAGGCAAAAAATGGTATTTCTTGCTGATCTCTCAATGTGTAGATATGGCCCTGACAAACGCCTGACATATTTATAAAAAGAGAGGAAATAACGTGGATCAATTACAATTTAGTAGAAGTGTGGCTACAACTATCTTGACACAAAATAAGAAGACTTATACGTACCAGCAAGGTAAATCAAAAAATTTTGGTGACATAAGGTATGATCGCTTAGATCATTTAGTCATTCCACAAGGCAAACAAACAAGGTGTGCAAACTGTCATGAGCGCACTACTACTAGATGTAGAAAATGTGATATCGGCCTTCACGTGAAATGTTTTGTTCAATATCATACTCTTTAAAATTTGCAATATTGATATGTTTCAAAATAATTGTACTATTTTCAATATTTTTTTTATTATTATTGTTATAGCTACCTTTATTCCTAATGTACAATGTACAATGTATATGTAATGTACATCTTAAAAAACTAACTTTTTATGTTTTTTTTTAGAATAAATTGAAAATACCTCCAAAGCGTCGTCTTTTAATAAGGTTTTTTAAAAAATAATAAAAAAAAAGTTCTTTGCAACTCTTTAGGCATAAATGGGTTAATTTCTACGGTTGGACAATGGAGTCGAATGAGTATCTAGTTACAACACTAGCGGTTGGTCACGTTATGATTGATGCGTCGTCTAAAACAAATGAATAAAACAATATACTCACTGGTTGAACTGCAACAGGTTGAACCGCAATTGGTTGAACTGGATATGTCGGGGCACAGCAGGCAGTTCCTCCACCATAACCTCCTCCATAGCCTCCTCCAAATTTACCTTTTTTGAACAAAGTACCATTTGCAGTAAGGGCTAACACTAAGAGCAGTGTTAGGACCTGAAAATTTAACAGGTTATCTTCTCCCAAATATAGTTTCAATGTACTATGTTTATTTGACAACTTTACGAAATTTGTTACATACAATTTAGAATCTTTTTCGTCTTTGCATTATTTACTTTCTGTATAAGTATAATTTTCTATGATCCACCTATTACTAATTCCTCTTGAGCCATCTCATGTTTACCGAAGAGATTTCGATGTGAAATGAACAAATATATGAGTCGTTAAACAAAGATTCACCTACTTGTGTATGTTCAACCCAAAATCTAGAACGATCACCCAAGACGAGGAAAACTCTGTACATGAAAAAAATAATAGGAGCCACTTCAGGACGATCTACCAATCAAGTCACTCTTAAAGCAGGGTACGTCATGCTATATAAAGCAAATTAAATCCAAAGAAGCACTAGGATCTAATAAAAGGACGAATTCTCAAAGAACTTCGGCCTAAGCTAGATCCACATGTTTAGCATACCTTTTTAGTATCAGAAATTATAGGTTCAGGTATTCTAAAAGTTTCTGCTTTTCACAATAATTCGAAACCACCAACATAGCCCAATTGAGCAAGTCCATAGTATAGTAGAAAAAATCAGAAAAGCTTAGAGAAAAGACAATACTGTAAGGATGCATGTCTTGACGTTTCTCAAGCATATACAAAATCAGAGATACTGATCCTCAAGCTTTTATACGATCCTTAGTTCTTATCATAATAAAGGACACTTCTAATGTCAAGCAAAGGAATTCGCTTATTGAATTACATCAAATTTGAAAGTTCTCCAAAGGAGTGTACTAGGACCCATTTTATACCTAATTTTCAGTACAGAAACAACTTCAAGTCGTCGCACAACTTCCACAAGAAAACTTGAACACCACAAAAGTTGCTGAATAAAAGGGCACAGTCAAGAACGTCAGTTTAAGTCCCATTTACCACTCGCAGAAATAATATTGAACGGTAACACATTGCCGCAGTCAGACTATGCCAAACACCTAGGGATGTAATTGTACAAAATGCATTTTCACAAAAAGGAAGAACTTGAAAATAAAGTTCAGCAAAATTCCCCGATTATTAAGTAGTAAATCAAAATCGTTATTAGGAAATAGTTTCTTATTGATCCTATTTGAACGTACATAAACATACCTATTGTGAAATATACAATTCGGACGTATTGTAACAAATATCGTGACTATACATATTCACCCTAACTCCTTTGCTTTGCGGTCAATTTAATGAGAAAAAGAGGACAATAAAAATATTCCGCGGGACGTATGCAGCTAAGAGTAGCTGTGGATTGGTCTATGATTACCATTATTCTATTTAAGACATTAATCTATTGTAGTTAACTGTATACCTAAGGATGTATCGCTAGGTACGCTTCTTTCATGTACTTCATATGTGTTACTGAATGTCTATAGTATTGTATTTTCAAAACAGACTGTATTCACAAAACAATGAATGCTTAATGATTAAGGTCGATCCGCGCAGTTCTGTGAGGTTTCTGCGGCTTTTTGAAAAAACTACTTCTGTAATTGACAGATTTTAGCGTTGTGATACAAGGTTCATCATACTCTCTGAGGATAGGTGATCAAAAAATGATAACAATATTGAAGCAGCATCAGTAGGGATTGTTTTGGACCATACAAGATTGAGAATGGGAATGAAAAATGTCACTGTAGCAGTACGAAGGCTTTTAGGGAAATGGGGTGACTTCGACGTAAAATGAGAAAACATTTTCAGAATCTAGATAGGAAAGCTAACAAAAGTAGTACTGACTTAATTGTTGACACATACCTGTATTATGATCGATGCGATGTTTGTGACCATCTTGGAGATATAGCTCTCTTCGTACTCACAAGTCAGACACTCATTGTTGAATGTTCTCAATTTTCATCCAGCCATCGTATTTATTATATCTTTTGATTTTATCCACATTCTCATCAAGGATATTAGGATTTTCCCTGATGTGAAAAGCCAACTTCTAATTCATGTAATTAATCCCAGTCCGCAGATCAAAATTATAGGCTCAACACGGTGTAAACATTAATGAAGATTAGTAGGTGAATCACTTAATATGAAAAACAAATTGTACTTTAACACAGACTAGGAAATCACATCATATTACTAATTGTTATTTTGTAATTTTTGATGACGTTGGAGTATTTAGTTTCCACGTTAATTTGGCCGTTATGTGAAACCCTGACTACAAGCCGAGTTTCCCGACACGTGGCCCCACGAGCTAGATCTGCCTTATTTGTGGAAGACTTCAAATACCAAGAGGTTCTAGTACGCAGAAAGTCTTTCAAAGATGATTGTTAGTGATGCTAGAACTGGTGATTGGCCATTCCAGGATCGGAAATGTGACGGAGAACAAACTCCCCATATCTTCCCTAAGAGTGTAAAGGGCCAAAACCCCCTGATACCAGATTAGTGATTCTCACTCATTATCTCTTTGAAGGAAGAATGGGTCAATAGAGAAATAACTTCCCCATCCCAGTATCTTGACGAATCCTCTTTCAAGAATAGAGGGACCAGTGAGGCGAGACGATGCCAGGAAGGCAAAGTCGTGCAGCACCCTTAGTTCAGGAATGCGCTACTCCTCGTCAGAGTTTGGCCTGATCCAAATTAGTGATCCTGCGTTGGGTCCCCGGACACGGCGGGGTGCCGGGTAACGAGAGCGGTCCTGAGCTTAGGCTGGACATAAGCAGGAGCAAGGTCAACATCTCCTTGAACAAAAACATTTCTTTGAGATTCTATCTGCCCCGTGTGATGGGAATAGGAGAACAAGACAGTATTCCTCTTTCTAGGTAGTTGTCCCATATATTGCAGCCTGAAGGCTGAAATTCGGATCCATGGCGTTTGGTAGTGAAGTCGCCCATTCGCTGGAGAAGAGTGTTGGTACACTCGAGGTCGGCAAAAGAGCGTCGCCTCCCCACGACTACTTCTACTACTACTTCATAAATTGCCGGCTTTCGCTATACTAAACTTTATCTTGTTCTTTATCGTCTAAGGGGGCACTATCTTATTTCTATTACAAGGTACTGGTACTGTAGAGCTGGGTAAATATGTCACCTTTGACCATTCTAGCAAGCCCTGTAAGTACCCAATCCCAATTGTACTTGGGTTCTTTATGGAAATTCTGATGAACCTACCTAACGCTTTGATGGAGACCAAGGTTTGTGTAGTACCAAACTTCAATGCAGAGAATAAATACCTCAAGTTTAGATTGTGATGACACTCAGCAGCTAGCATCAGCGATGTTCATCAGGGCTTGTCGTGAACCCCTTGAGCTACCTGCAGTCGTCTTTTTCTCTCCCTAGTCCTTTATGTGAGCAATATTAGATTTGCGTCTACTTGATGATAGGTTCTCACTACATCTTAAGCGGCGTTTCTAACATGCACCGTGCTGAAGTGGTACATGGACACAAATACTAAGATCCAGCTCAAAGACTAATTTTTCGTGATAACAGACAGTGACAGTGAAAAGCTTAGCAGAAACCAAATAATCAAGAGATTTTAATATAAAAAATAATTTTCTAGCTGTGGTAGCCTTCGGCCAAATTGCAGTAAGAAATGCGACATAGAACTACGAGAGCAACACAATTTTTTTGTAATTTTGTTGCACACAAATATTGGACAAGAAATAGAGATCATTTTTTGAAAATTCCCCAACCAGCAAAGAACTCATTGCCATGTTGGACCGTACCAAGAATGGATAGTTTTGTACCTCGGGCTGAAACTCATCAAGCTATCGATCTAAAAAACACTTACTTGGAATGATCCCATATTTCTGGAGCCAACAAATTAATGTACTACTTACCGCAATCATCCAGGATATTTACGTATTCTTTCAAATTAAATATTAAGATATTTCATCACATGTTAAAACATGTATACGTTTAAAATCAGCTACACGATGTATGAACACAAAACATATATACATATTGTAGATTCATCTACATTATTATATATACTAAGTGAAATATAAATCCGAACACTCAGTTTGAATGGTTTTATTTTAATAAAATTTTTTATAAGTACTTAATGAAGCATAATAAGTAAATGATAAAAATTTCAAAATGATTGCACTGATTTAAAGCCCTTTGACCTTTAATAATGTGTGGATGCACCCTGAGGTGCTACGCATTCCCCAACGCGCCTAGGCATGCTTCTGATCAGGTGGTCAATGTCCTCCTGTGGTATCTCATTCCAGGCAACCACCAACTCCTCTCGAAGTGCTTCTAGAGTCTGAGGAGGACGTTGCAAATTGAGCAATCTCCTACCCATCATATCCCACACGTGCTCAATTGGGGATAAGTCGGGAGATCTTGGTGGCCATGGTAACAATGTGACATCATTATGTTGAAAGAAGTCTATTGTGATTCTTGCAATATGTGGTCGGGCATTATCTTGTTGGAAAGTTGGATCTGCCAGGGTGTCAAGATAGGGTAAAAGATGGGGTTCTAGAACTTCGTGGATATAACGCTGCGCGTTCATGTTACCTCTGATGAAGATTAAAGGTGACCTGGAACCATAAGCTATAGCACCCCAAACCATAACTCCAACAGTGTGATGAACATGTCTTTCAACAAAAAACTGTGGACTCCTCCTTTCACCACGTCGCCTTCTAACCCTGGCACGACCATCGTGCATGCCTAAACAAAATCGAGACTCATCACTAAAGACAATACTATTCCATTCCTGATCCCAGAGTGACCGTTGTCTGCACCACTCGAGGCGATTACGTCGGTGTTCTCGAGTTAAAGGGAGGACCCAGTGTGGCCGGTATGAAAACAAGCCAAAACTTCTCATTCGTCGGTAAACACTTCGCATGCCAATAGGTCTTCCGTGTTCTGCAAACCATTCATTTGCAATGGACCTGGTAGTGGAGAAACGGTCCCTTAAGGCCAGTAATCTTAGGCGGCGATCTTCACGGTCTGTTGTTCTACGGCGGCGTCCAGTGCCCCTTGCTCTTTGCGTACGGCCTTCTCGAAGCCATGCCTGACAACACCTATCCACAGTGTCTACACTTCTTTGCACTCTAACTGCAATTGCCCGAGAAGAAAGTCCAGCTTCCCGAAGTCCCACTATACGGCCCCTATCAAACTCACTAAGTTGACGAAATCGTACAGGTCTCCGTACTCTAGGCATCGTAACCGATCGTAAAGGATGTCAAGAACCAAAATCCCCCAACGTTGATTCCTTACTGCGGCTGAAATATTCATTTTTAGAGCGTTAGTGAATTAAAAAAAGCAGTATAAAAACCGGAATGTCCAACTGATAAGGCTGAAAATTTTTTCACTTGTTATTTACAGTAAGATAAATACATTCACCAACTTTTATTAAAATAAAACCATTTAAACTGGGTGTTCGGATTTATATCTCACTTAGTATATATACATCTTTAGGTTATGTTAGATATAAAAATTGGATGTACTATGAATAGTCACAAGGAACATGTATTCCTTCCTATGGAATCATTCATATTTATTCCAATATTACTTGTAAACATTATGTGTAAGATATTTATGGTTTCCGAGCAATGGGCAGAGTAGATACAGGGAATACAGGGAACTGAGTGTGTACTCAGTGGCCTCAGTGCTTATCTTACCTCTTTAATCCCCTATGGTGACCTGGCCAATGAAACAACACGTATTTAAATATTAAATAAGTACATGTGGAAACAGATTTTACATCACATTTAGGCAACACGTACAACCACAAAACGAGTTCACGTGACCATCAGCTAGGGATAAATTAACATTTTGTAGAAAAATCTACATAATACCACAATAAACCAATATAATGTCAAAAAAAATCGACATAATGTCACTTCAAGATACGTAATACCCGTGCGGGTCGGCACTTTTCTAGTGACTAAAAATGAATGCAAAGTTTTTTTTTTGGCATTAGAACTAGGTGTTCATGCAGCCAGTCACTAGGCTGAATGATGGATCATCGGTTTGATTTTGGATTCATGTTTTTCCCAAACTGGAAGTCTACTGTTATAGTGGGATGATGCAAAGTACTTATAGTGAGGTGCATTATGTTTATACTTCAGAACTTCTAGAAGCTGAATTAGCAATTGTATTCAATAAGGATTTTCAAGAAAGTGGGATCAGATACTGTTTATTGGAAGGTCTGTTCGTTATTTTTGGTCAAGTTTGACCTATGTATCTTTGGATTTCAAGAACTTTTCCTATATGATCCCTTTTTTACATCTCTCGGCACTGCACTATCAGATTTTGTCCGTGCCGGGAGGGTGCACGTTATGAACGCATTCACAGTGGACAGCTAACGAGGACGCATTGAAACATATTTTACAATAGGTGCATTTAAGGAAGTCAGCACTGTACAGCATAATGTCAACATTACAGCGCTGTCATTTCGTAACTTAAAAACTCCAACGGAATCCGGTGACGTCAGTGCGACGTCACCATGCTTAAACTTGGAGTAACCCCGTGTCATTGAGAAATCAAACGTCAAGTACGAAGTTTATTATTATATACAAAGCTTCTTCTTCTATTTTACCTGTATTATAACTCCAAAGCAGGTACAAAATGAATCAAGGTGATATGCAACACAGCACGCTCTACTGTTGGACGTGCAGCGTGCACTATCCTATCATGTTTCACTTTTTCTAAGTTTGTTGAGTTTCAGGCTTGTTATTTTAATTCGTGCTGAGATGCATTCATTCTTTTGACATAAACGTTACTGTGGCAACCGGTCACCCAATAGCATGACGATATCCTCCTATAAACTACTACAAGTAGCCTTCCTGGGCTCATAATTTATCGCTGTGGCAATCTGATACTTTTTATAAAATATACGACATCTAACATTTCACCACAAAAAGTGGCAGTTCATCTGATATA